GGGTGGGGGGTGGGGTGGGGGGTGGAAGTTGTCATGGTTATTGGGCGGAGGTGGAGCACGTAGGTGCGTGGTATAGGATGTTGTGAATCCGAGACTTGGAGTGGGGGATATCTGAGTCGACTCGGGGAATGGTTATGAAGGAATAGGTATATATATAACAGGGACTTTGAGGTTGGGAAAGTCAGGGTGAAATGGTCCAGCCTGGTGAATATCAGATCGTCGGGTACCATATGGCCTTGTTGCCTTAGATTGGTTGACACTGTGCGACTTCGTTCCTTCCAGTCAATTTCGCAACATCAGATTATGGACGTGTTTACTCAAAGTATTTCCACCCCTAAACGACCTATATCTGGTAGCCTGCTATTTATGGCCCTGGCTACATAGTATATTGCCAGGTATCATGATGTGGAAGGTGCGGAATATCTGTAGCTCTCAAGTAATCGACGTCTTACTTCCCGGTCCTGCTCAATTTATGCGGTCAGTATATAACACATAAGTACTTCATGTCACTTTATCGAATCGTCATTGTTTCATTTTTGGAACACTGAAAAATATCTTTCCCCAGCAATTGCTAGATTTCTACTCTTTTCGACATCCGAGTCATGGTAATAATGTTTGGTAGTTGGGCGTCAAGCACTCCTCTCGAGTTGCCTCCAAAGATGCCACGGTCGCAGGTTGCGTTAACCAAGATTCTTGGATTGTTACAGCCCACTTAAGAGATTGTAATATATATAGTTTGGGTTAAATCTACCCTAAACGTACACTGCTCTTTCGTTGTTTCATAACTTAGGTGCCAAGCCCATCTTATCTCAACGTCGAGAATGGCCTTAAGAATCCTGCCCTTCATCCCCATCGTACATGGACTGCAAAGATCGCCATACAGAATAGTGCAGGTCGTGTTAAGCCCATTCATATCATCCCTCCAAATCCGGGTGGTACCCGGATGCCCGCGAAGAGTGTTCGTGTCGAGTCGTAGGGTCGACCAACAAAGTGTCGACGGAGGCACCGTCCATAAGCGCAGATATAATTCCTATGCCAGAGCTCTAAGACCGAGTAGACGGTTTCCCTTGCCATCGGAAGTATGAAGATTCCCAAAACACCAAATGAAATCACAGCGAACCAATCATAAAACAGTCACCCCTCAAGAGAAGCGACCAGAGAATCGCCTCGAATAGTTCATCCGCTGGTAACGAGCTGGCGGCGTCACCCCATCACAGTGACCGTAACGCTCGACTTCGACGCGTCCAGCGCCCGCTCCAGGTCCTCATCCAGCTCGTCCGACGACCCAAGCGGCTCGGAATGGCGGCGGTTGCGATCGCGGACCTTGCGCGAATCCAGACGCATGCTGCCTCCGGTGCCGGTGCCGCGCGAGCCGGAATTGTTGTACGTCGCCGGGAGATATTTGCGGGCCAGCGGCCGCAGCGCGGGGACGCTGATGCAGATGATCGCGAGGTTGCATTCGACGACGATCCAGGCGAAGACGGGACCGCCGACCCCTGGGGGAAGTCAGTGTGGAACCAGTGTGATGGAGATGGACGTGAGGCGACTGCTTACAGGTGTCATCACTCTCCTCGAGCGCCATAGCCATGCTTGCTCCCCTCACGATCGACGCAACACATGCGACTAGGCCGAGACTGACTAACACTATGAGGATGAGCTTCTCCCTCAGAGCTCGATTCATCCTCCATATCGCGCCAACGGGCATGAGCACCACGATCAAGTCGGTCACGATGTTGGTGACCGTCGCCGCAAGGATCCTGGTACCCTCGTCCGTACATTCTTCCCCCGTCCGGCTTTCCCAGTACTTTTGAATCGGCCAGCAACTGAAGAGCGTGGCCACGAAAAATGCGATGCCCCATCCAGCCACGACAGCGATGGTCACGAGAACGAACTTCTTGTACGCTTCGTTCGAGGTGGCGCAAATGACTCGCCGGTACAGGAAGAGGGAGCTCAATTTCGCGAAGGTCATGATCAACACGAAAAGCAGCTGGATGATCCACATGTGCAGCTCGTTCGTCTCGAACCATTCAGGTCGTTGGTCCCATTGATGTCGATCCCACCCCACGTACTGCGCGTGGACGGCGGCAACGCAGAGGCCAAGATTGCACACGAAGGCAATGCCAATAAAGATATCATCGATGTATAGCGTCCGAAGGATCCCCAGGCGAACGTAAAACCGGCCGGTGATGATGAGGATGGTGGTGATGGTGAAGCATAACGAGATGACCAAGAGATAGTTCCCTCGCGTCACTGGATTGACAAAGTTCGGTGCGGGCCATTCTGCCTGCACCTTCTCAGGGATGAGTTTGACCATGCCCGATAGACATCCGTCACTTCTCGATCATAAGATCGATCACGGTTAGTATATATCAAGGGATTGGACTGCAAGACTGCGAAAGAAGCCAAAAACCTAGCAATAGAATGTGGATAGTGTAGTACAAATTGGGAAGTGAGGCATGATATCCTCTCCTACGCCGCCCTGATTCTTAAATGTACCTATATCGGACCCAGAAGTGAGTTTCCAGAACCCCATGAACTCGTGGCTGGGAATTGGACCCCATGATCCTGGGATTCTGGGAATAATGTTTCGTCTCACTCATCGTCTTACGTACCGATCGCGACGTACGAGAGTCCAAAAGGTCCAAACCCCCTGAGAATCCTCAAACATGCTTCATGGCCTGGTCCGCTAGGGACTATTGCACCGGCCGACCAGCAAATGGCACGGCTTGCATATGCACGCGACGCGTAGAATGTGCCGGAGGACCAAAAGAGGAACACATCCAGCATGCGACAATTGGATCGACCATTGACGGTAGGGGAAAGGTGGTGGTGAGATGCTTACAGGTACAGGAAATCCGAATGTCGCTACCCCTCGCATGACATTGATACTGTAATTTGTCCAATGTCCATCCATAGCCATAAGGCTCACTGTAATATTGAAATGTCCGGCTGGGATGTGCTCCAGGGCTCCTTCTCGATCCTGCAGGCCGTGCCGTGTGCAACAGGCCAACCGATGCGGGTTCGAGAAGATCCGCCGTTCCGCCCCTTATTCGTTAATAGTTCGGCCAGGAACCGGGATGAATAGCTCAACATTCTTGGTTTCCCTCGTGGTAATAAGCACTAGTCACTTATTTCCGGTACTTATCAGGTGTTAAGCGTCAGTCGGAGCATATTAACCGAACAACCACGTTTCGCACTACGATGAAGCGAGAGGCTAGCAAATATGACGAACAAGACATTGCCAAGCTCGACGGTACAGTTGACTGTTGAGACGATGCGCGAACTGCGAAGATACAAGAATAGACAGGAGATACACACACGGTATTCGGTAGGAACTTGGAACCTCAAATTAACTTACAGCGATGATCCTTACTACGTAAAGCATCAAACCCAACCCTGTCGTGACAGTCTGCCAACAAAGATACCTGTGGTACTCAGGTACGGATCTCCTGTCCGGAGTCCCAATAAGAGGGATATCCTGGATCGATATGCGTATCAGACCTTGGAGGACTCTTCATCAACCCCTGCCTTGTGCAGTTTCGACTGCATGCAGCGGGGACGGTTCGATCCCCGTTCCCCCGAAACACGCATACCAATTGTTGATTGGCAGAAAGGGGACATATCGACTCTCGAGCCATCGTGAAATCCTTCCCGAATCCGTCCCGATCGCTCCACTTGGTTTAGCCTTTAGGGCACAAGGCGTGAATAGCGCAAGCATGGCTGGGTGCGAATAACGGGGGAGAATGAGGCCGCCGGGGCGAGATGTCTCACGCTCTGGACGTTTTGGTCAGGTCAGGACTGCAGGTATTTTAGGAGTTGGGACCGGTGACCCACTGTCATGAGTGTCACTACATCGCCACCAGGCACCAGTAATGAGCGTATTAGGTATTTAACCGACTGGGCAAATCCCATCTTCTTAGGGCTTATCTTACCCATTGCATAAGCCGCCCGAATTCGGTGATGTGAGATGGTTGATTTCTCAACCTCAGGTACCAGGGACATCTCCATGACCGAGGAACTTGAACAATCGGAAATCATCCGAAAAGATCAGGTAATAGCCTATGTGACATTGACCACAAGGCAGACCTTAATATTGATATTGCCAAATGAGGAACGCAAAATCAAGTTGGTGCTCAGGTGGAAATGGAGTCTTTGACGTTGGCTGGTGTGGGCCCCAATCGCAGGCATCGAGTCCCCGCAGGAGAGTGAACCGCAAATTGCTGCTTCGCCGACCCCTGGGATCGGGTCATTGGTAATCGGAGGGTCCATGCTGTGATTGATGACAGCCGAAAGATGACTATTACTTGTAAGTTCCATTAGTTAAGCTTTCTCATCGACAGTCAAGCATAGACAAGACATGAGTTTACGAGTTAGTGACACGTTCTATCGGGTATTATTATAGACGTTGTAAAGCGAGCGACGTGCGACCAATGACCACGAATTGCAGCGAAGACTTGGGGGACGCCGTCTAGAACGTTGACCGTAATTAACTTAGTACGTACAACAAAGTAGGCTCTCGCCAATCGGTACTCTATGGCAATGGGCTCAAAATGCAGCCCATGCGCCGATAGACTGACAGCCATATGGGTGAACAGCTGATATAGAGTTTGATACTTTATATCAATCGAATCTGGACCATCACAGCTGCTGCTCCATGTCCTCAGTTCTCATGACCTGTGTGGAACACCAAGTAACAGTATTGGAAGGCCCCAGAGAGAGTACACTCTCCTATTGCAGTATCGTCGAAGTTGGTATTAGTCTCGGTTTTTGTTCGTGGACGCTCCCCTGGGATCGAAAAGCAGATCCTGTGTATCTAGTGATACCTGAAACAGATGATGAACCCCCTCCAGTGGTCCCCCATCTGAGTAAATAGGAAAAAACAAAAGCCAGATTGATCCGGGTCTACACCAAGAAATAAACATGCCTCGAGAGGACCAACGAATAGAGCTGCACAAGTCAAGCAAGCCCTAGATCTGATATGATCTGAAAGACTGAGTGGAACTTTTCTTTACATAGTGCTGCTTCATGACCACCGATGAAATCGTGACAAACTGGCCTTCTAAAACGCTTCCCAGAATAATAGCCAGTGGAAAATATGGAACTGGTAGTTACCCAGAACGAGCCAGGAATACCTAGGGGAGCGCATACAATTGTATACATTAAATTCTTCTAGTCAAGGCTTAAGTTTGTCATTGCGAGTGGTAGCAACTAATAGGTCACCTTGTTTTAGTTAGTTATCTAACGATAATTGACGAATCTAACTATATCTAGGAAATTTGTTGGCTGTTGATGTGGCGATGTCGAGTTGTCGACCAGTGACAGGAGGTCAGGGGCCCGAAAGTCAAAATATTCCCCCTTTTAGCACCAAGCACCAAGAATCAAACTCCTCACGCCAAGCTCCTACCGGCCACAGCTCGTATTAATTAATGGCTTTTTACTCGGAAGTCTAGAACAATCCTCGATGGCTGGGAATTCTGATGCGGGGATACGTATTTGATCTCCAAGATTCTCTGGAGTAAACATCGCACCCTACCTGTCGTCTACAAAGGATGATGCGCTACCTCTACGCTTCTGACACTGCATATCCGACACCGCCATACATTGCCTGAACGCTTGCGAACACTGCCCTTCCTAAGCAATCACTCGCCCGAGTATCGAAACTGGGGAACCGCAGGTACGTACCTGTGCTCTGGAAGGGTGATTACCACGGGTTGTTGTCCAAGCCGTGACCAGCATCATCGTTTTCGACTGCAGATCGCCTCACTGTTTGAAGAGAAAGTCCAAGTGCGCTTTCGTCTAGTCCTTCAAGATGTCTGATCAAGATGATGGATTGAGACTGTTCATAACCGATATCCTTATCCTCTTCTCCATCGGCTTCCTGTCCGTCCAGTTCTTCAAATTCGTATCATGGAGCTATATATACATTCGCGCATCCACCCTCCCTAGATACCTCCCCCCACAAAAGAAGGTTCCAAACTGGTCTCTCGTCACCGGAGCCACCGATGGTGTCGGCCTCGCCCTCGCGCACGAGCTCGCCTTGCACCGCAACTCCTCCGTCATCATCCACGGTCGCAACCCGACGAAGCTCGCGACCGTCGCCTCCTCGATCAGGTCCCAGCTTCCGCCGAACTCGCCCATCCGCATCGAGACCGTGGCCGCGGACGTGGTGGAACCGATCGCCGCCAGCCGCACGATCGCGACGTTCCTCGAGGGGAAAAACATCCGGATCAGCCTGCTGGTCAACTGCGTCGGTGGGACGGTGATGTTCGGGAGGAGATATGACGGCCTTGACGAGATTAGCGAAGAGGCGGCTACGGGAATCATTAATCTCAATACCGTCTTTCCGGCGATGTTGACTCGCGCTGTGAAGCCGCGGTTGGCTCGGCCGGCCTGCATCATTAACCTTGGATCGTATGCCGGGACCGCCGGGTTTCCATTCCTCTCTTTCTACGCCGCCAGCAAATCGTTCAACATGACCTTCTCCACGTCCCTAAACCGGGAGATGCATGCACTGAACCAAGACATTGAGGTCCTCGGCGTGGTGCTTGGGAGCGTCCGCACTGAGAGCTCCGGGCTGATTACGAGAGACGCGTCAGGGAAAGTCGGACTGGAATATCCGGCGTTTTTCATCCCGACGCCAGAGGATATGGCCAATGCCATCTTGGCTCGAGTGGGTTGTGGAAGGCACGTGGTGGTCGGTTATCTTGGCCACGCGTTGCAGGCGATACCGATGGAATGGCTACCTAACGCCCTGACGGAGGTGATGGCGATGGAGGCGACCTTGCGGAGGTGGAAAGCGGAGAGAAAAGGGGAATAGACGGCTCAGATACTGAGGACGTCGGATGATGAATGGAGAAATCCTTGTCCGTAATGGAAAGGGAGTAGCTCCTTGGGATTGAGGTCAAGACGGTACTATGAGCGAGAGAAGAGTGGTTTCGGTCGAATCTTCCAACGACTAATTTCGAGGGGTTTCTATACTAAATTTGCTACCAACGCGAAGCTCATACACGCAGGGAGGTATGTTGGAGAAATGGCTTCTCGGACTACCATTTGAATCCGTCTCCATCAATCTGCACTCGAAGAACGCCTTGTATTTCATTTAGATAAGGCGTCGAGGACAACCTTGGTTGCCTCAATAACCTTTTCCTCTTCGAGCCGTCTCGCCACGAGTTGCAAGCTAATGGGCATGCCAAGAACAGCTTGAGCATCATCTAAGTTCAATGTCAGCAACATATCAACCTTGAAAGTTTCCAGCCTTACATTCAGAATTGATCTCTTCGTCAATTGAAGTGAGGGGTTTGAAACCAGCACCGGTCGCCTTGTCGGCATCCTGATCCACTGAGAGGCCGGTCGGGAATGATGTGGCTGCGTAGTCAAGGACGTTATAAACGCCCGTGTATCCAACATGCTTGAACTGGCCGTTCTTCACCGTTGCGAATGGGGTTGTAGGCAGCAGGAGCACGTCGATACCAGCGTTGTTCCAACGGTCCAGGTATCTCTTCTGGATTTCGTTCCGCTGGATGTGAAGTTGCCACATGTCATATCCCCCCACTTCTTTCGCCTGCTCGTACGCGGACATCTCTTCTCGGAACGGCTCACCAGTCCCCTTGAGCGTTTCTCTGACCGATTTGCCTCCATCAGAGACGAACGACCGCGCGAGCACGCTGAGTAACTCGGCATGGTCTTCATGGGACCAGTCGACCAGTTCATGGCCAGCTGCCTTCAACTTCTGAACGGTGTGCTCGAGAGCTCGCTTGACGGGGGGAGTTGGCGTGACCATTCCATCATTCCACAACACTCCGATCTTCAGCTTCTGGGGGAGCTCGGCACTCCGCCATGGAATCGGAATGCAGCGAGGGTCAGAAATCCAAGGCTCTGCGCCAACCACTGTCTTACAGTACAACTCTAGATCGTTGAGATTTGGTGTCATGGGACCGTTCACACTTAGCACGGCTTCCTGGCCGGCCAACCCTGCACGGCACCGCGTGGTTGGGAATCGTCCTGATGAAGGACGAAGTGTGAAGATACCAGTGCAAGCGGCTGGGATCCGGAGCGAACCACCTATATGAGCAGGAGTCAGTGTTCTGCAACTAACCATAGCGGAGCTAGGGGGATTGACTGACCAATATCGGACCCGACGCCGACTACACTACCTCCGAACGCGATGAGTGCGGACTCACCACCAGAGCTGCCTCCACTGGTGAGGTTCCTATTTCTAGGGTGGACGGTCCGGCCAAAGACATTATTAACGGATTCTGCGATCATCATGGCCGTTGGAACATTCGTCTTAACGTAGAACACGGCGCCAGCCCCGCGGAGGATCTCCGCCAAGACACTGTCATACTTGGCCGGGTCATTGACATAGGCAATGAATCCGACCGTGGAGTCAATTCCCTTCAAATTGAAGTTGTCCTTCAAGGAAATGGGCAGACCATGGAGCGGACCGATAGGCTTGCCTGTTCGTGCGAGATGCTCATCGAGCGAACGGGCCGTGTCAAGGGCTGCCGCGAAGAGCGTCTCGGATAGGCAATTTGTCTGGATATCGCAGTCAGAATGGGAACCGATGGATCATTTAGGTACGGGTATTTACCAATTGATGAGCAGCGGCCGCCCTCTTACAGAACGCCTTTGTCACCTCCTCGCTCTTCAACTCCCCTGAGGCGAGTTTCTGGAGCAACTGTGTCGCCGTGCTACCGGTAATCTCAAGCTCTTTCTCCGTAAACCAGCCCGAGGATTTCGGGAATCCAGTGACATCTTCTTGTGTCTCGGCCGGAAAGATGTCGGCTGGGATACGCCATTCCGAGGGGATACTGTCAGATAGCGCCTTTCGCTTTGCAGCGGCAATAGCTTCCCATCCCTGGTTAGACATGTTGGTCACTGAGGTCTGAAACGGTAAGTAATAGATATTTCTTATCTCCGGACTATATCCTGCAGCTTTATCTCAGCTTGGCGTGTTTTTGTTGAGATTTCCTCAGCGAGACATCCCACTGTAGATAGACACATTATAAGTACCGGTAGAAGCTGTTGAACGAACGGCTTATCGCGGTTTAGCCTGAGCCTTCCCTTTCCCCCACTACGTTCTCGGCATCTACAGTACAGGAATTCGGCGCTGTTCGGCCGATTGCGACTTTGCGACTTCGCAAGTTTGATACCGAGCCGCGCCTGGGAAAGGCGCCGTGTCTGACTGGTCGACCGGACAACTCGACGACACATAGTTCGGCTGCTCTCTGGACTCCGCACCGGATTGGCGGCAAGCCGGCAAAAACCAACATGGAATACGAAGATTACGAGCCAGTTGCCGAATCACGATTGGTACTGTTGCGTGTGGGTCCAGGGACCGGTGCCGCGCGAACTGCCGCTACAGCGCTGGACTGGTTGGGTAATCTTGAGGCTAGAGATATCTCCAAATCCCCAACCGAACCAGTAACCACCGCCATGGCAGTGGATATATCCCCCTCCGCTTGCAGGGAACTGGTTAGTCTTATTATCGCTTCGGAAATTGACTACCATATTCCCCATGGAGTCCAAGACGTTCGACACCGAAAGCGGCGATAGATGTGGGGATCTGCATTGTCCCAACCGCCCCCCAGGGTCCTACCACGCGACCTGTCCAAGAGGGGAGTTCTAGACTTGGAATCCCCAGATACTACTAAAGGACATCAGCGGACAGGTCGCGCGGAAAGGCATTTGTGTTTTCTTTCTTACAATGCGCATCCTCTTTCGACGGTAACCTCTATCTAAAGGGTATCTTGGACTGCCCAGTCCGACATTCAATATGGGGTTCAAACTGCGAGACTATTTCCGGGTGGAATACAAGCCAGGGGAGAGGAAGTTGCTCCAAAAGATCGACTTCTTCATTCTTACCTTCTGCTGTCTGTCCTATCTGATGAACTATGTGAGTGGAAATCCTTTGAACGGCGGAGAACATCGCTAACAGGATCCAACAGCTGGATCGGAGCAATCTAGCCAACGCCTACGTGACGGGAATGAAAGAAGAGTTGAATTTCCACGGGAATCAATTGAACATTATCAACACCGTCTTCACGGTTGGATATATCATTGGGCAAATCCCGTCCAATCTGTCCCTGCACTATATTCCGCCACGATATTTCTTCCCCGGGATGATGTTAGTCTGGGCGGGGTTGACCATGGTCACGGCATCCGCGAAGAGGCCGGAGTCGATCATGGCCATCCGGTTCTTCCAAGGTATCGCGGAATCATCGACATTCGTTGGTACGCACTACATTCTTGGGTCGTGGTACACCGAGCGAGAACTGGGGAAACGAAGCGGGATCTTCACTGCATCCGGCTTGGTTGGCACCATGATCGGAGGATTTATTCAAAGCGGCATAAACGAGAGCATGAACGGTCTTCACGGACTGTCCGGCTGGAGATGGCTCTTCATTGTATGAATCCCCTGGATGATGAAAGGATCTCCGACTAACATGTGTAAGATTGACGGTCTTATCACCCTCCCGGTTGCCATATACGGCCTCATCTTTTTCCCCGACACGCCGCAGACCACCAAAGCATTCTACTTCTCCGAAGAAGAGAAGAAGATGGCGGTCGCTCGAGTCCCCAAAAAGCGTGAGCGGTCCCCCCTCACCATGTCGTTCTTCAAGAAAGTCGTCCTCTCCTGGCACTGGTGGGGCTTCGTCGTTCTCTGGATCATCGCCGGCGAGACCGAGTCGTTCAGCACCAACACCCTGCTCGCGCTCTACCAGAAATCTCATCCGTACATCAAGTACACGGTATCGCAGAACAACAACTACCCGACCGGCGTCGCCGCCGTCGGCATCGTGTCAACGCTCTTTTGGGCCACGCTGACCGATATTCTCGCGGGCAAGCGATATCTGGTCGGCTATTTCATCGGCATCATAGGCATCGTCACCTCGGCGATGATTCTTGCCGCATCGAAAGACCCGATGAATCCTTCGTCGACCACCATGGTGTTTGTGGCGTACTATATGGCAGGTACCGTCTACGCGTAAGTCTCATCTGGAAGCCTGGAGTATCTTCTCGACCATTCTAACGCGTCGCAGATGCCAAGCGACCTTTTTCGCGTGGGCCAACGATGCGATGCGATACCACGAAGACGTGTACCGTGGAGTGGTCATCGCGGGTATGAATCTGGGCAGTAACTCCTTCAACGCATGGTGGAGCATCTTGTTCTATGGAGTGTCCATGGCACCGTGGTTCAAGGTAAGCCGCTCCTCGCACGCCTATGAATGCAGGGATATGACTCTAACATGGCCAACAGCGCGGTATGTGGGCGATGATCGCGTGCTCGATCCTCCTCGCTATCTGGACCGGAGGATTGTCGTTCTTCCAAGTACGGGAAGAGAAGGCGCGAGCTCGGGAGCTGCAGGAGCAAGAGGGTCATCTGGAGGAGAAATCCGTATCGATCGACACCAAGGTATAGCTTGAGGCGTGTCTGGATGGTTTTAAACAGCGAATTAGAGCGATGTATTAAAATCTGTAACCAGCGAAATATATATACCATTGTTTATCTCTACATACCAATTCGTTCCTAGATGATTTCCACGTAGATCAAGTAGATAAGGTGCTCACCTGATTGATTCGACCGCTTTCGTATGTTGCTGTCTCTTCCCCACGGCAGAATGCAGTGAGCCAGTGACGTATTACCAGTTTACCACCGAATTCGGGCCAGTCTCCAAAACTTCGGCGTCCTCCGCGGCTCCGCCATCATTCCCCTCCACACTCCATAACGCCAATTCCCTGCACAGATTTATATCCACCGAAATATCCCATTTTCCCATCCTCATCCCTCTCCCATCTTCCATCTCCCCAATTCCGCTAACCGATTCCCTCCAACCCACCAATCGACCTGCAACCGCCCGAATTCCCCTCCCACATATATGCCCTTCCCCTCGTCAACCACCACGACGACCTCCAACCCCACCACTACCACAGCATCTCCATCCAACCCCTCCTCCCGTCTCGCCCACCTCTCCGCCCACTTCTCCCCCACCACCATGACCACCCCCCCTCGCCCCCCCATCACCTGCCACATCCTCGACACCACCACTGGCCGCCCTGCCCCCTCCATCCCCACCACCCTCACCTCCCTCACCGCAACCCCCCTCACCTACACTGCACTCACCAACCCCGACGGCCGCGTCACTGCCTGGACGCCCGCCCCCGCCACCCCCGACCTCCGCACCACCTTCGACAAATTCGCCGCCGCCGGCGCCCCGACGCTCTGGGAGGTGCGGTTCGAGACCGGGGCGTATTTCGAGGGGAAAGGGGTGAGTCCTTTTTTTCCAGAGGTGACAGTGCGGTTTCAGGTGGGGGAGTATGGGGAGCATTATCATGTGCCGTTGTTGGTGGGGCCGTTTACTTATACGACGTATAGGGGGTCGTGAGGAGGAAGGGAGGGGAAGGTGGGTTGATGGGATGGTGGGGGAAAGATACGTTTAGGAGCATCGTGGGGATAGGGTTGGGCTGGAATGTATGCGATCGGGACGGCGGGCTCTCCCTGTGTGACTCTTGCTCGACCTTGATCTGCAGACAAAGGAAACTGCGTGAATACGGATCGAAGAGGCTGTATATCTTCCCCCTAGTCTGCCAGCCCTGTGCGTCAATGGAAATTAGAACCCCATCAACCCTTTCGGATAGGCCGATTTGAGAGACTACAGCGGGAACGGGAGATCTCTTCCCCTGACACACCCAGATCATAATTACCAACACATAGGATAAAGTCATGGGCGACCATTGAAGTAATAATTCATATTCGCATTCTCTCCACCTATCTCTTCCGATCATGTTTCCGTGTCTCCCTATATAACAACCCATACTACATCCCCCATCTCACATGAATCCCATTCTGTAACCGGCAAACTGTACGATACATTATAAACTGCACACATGCTTTCCACCGGAATCGATGGAGAATTAGCGAATCCCGATGCCCTGGCTTCTCGAATAGTTGCTTCCCTTCCAGCCCACTCATCCCGCTCCTCGCGGTATTGCCGTCATGGTCGTCGGTCGGGAGGAAGCGTCCATTGCGCGCTTCTTACCCCCCGAGCGGAGTGGAAATAGAAGGCGCGATCGGCCACCCGCTCCGGTCCGTATAAACAAATCGTGGTGCCGGTATTTTAGAGGAGGGAAGATGGAATGCGAAAGACCAAGAAGCCATTGAGCGAGGAGAAAGCACAAGACACGCGTTCGGAAACGCACGTGGAACAAAATAAATCGATTGCAAAGTGCAACGACAAGGGATCCCGCCGACCGACCACCTGGTATGTTTCGTTGTTGTTCGCCCCCCATCCGTGTTTCCCCATTTTTGGTAAAAATAAAAGAAAAAAACGCCGACCCAGACCGTCCTCCGTGCCGTTGGCTTCGTGGATGAGAAGAGAAAACACACAAGACGAAAGGGGATTCGAAGCTCGGGCGAAAGGTGACCTGCGTGGAAGAGTCTCCGACACGAACCATCGCATGAGAAACTCTACATCAAGCTAGCTGGCAAAGGGTCAGTGACGGTCCTCGTACGCTGCATGTAGTGCTGCAGAATCAGATATGATTGGATGGGGGAACTTACTTCCGTTGCACATTAGCCTGGTTCCCTCCAGCAACGCCCATCATCCCCATCCCCACGCCATTCGGCATATTCCCCATCCCGTATGGCCCCGCCGGCATGCCCATGCCGACCATGCCGACATTCCCCGGCGCACCGCTCACCCCGAGCATGTTCCCACCCATGGGGTTACCGGCGCCCGGGCCGTCGAGCATATTGGACAGCGCGGCGCTGTTGAGGCCTTGGGCCTGGGAGACGGGGCAGTCTTTGTGGGCCATGAGGAGGGTCTTGAGGGTGACGATTTCTTCGCGGAGATGGTTGACGGTGGAGGTGAGGTGGTCGTTCTCGGTGGTGTAGAGTTCGCATTTTTGCTGGAGGTTGGCGAGCCATTGCTTCTTGCGCTGGCGGCACTTAAGCGCGGCGACGCTGCGATGGGTCAGTATCTCGTCGTGGAAGGAATTCAAGGAGAATGTCATACCGATTCCGCTCCAAAAAGTTCTTTCGCTTCTCTTCATCCGTCATCTTCTTGCCCTTCTCGTTCAGCATCATTTCCTCGTCCTTCATGTCTTCGTCGTCGTCACTATTTTCATCGTGGGTGTTACTTCCGACGCTCCCAAAGCTCTGCTTGCTGCGCTTATTGGCGTTACCCTTCGCGGGGGTTTCCTCCTCCCTCTTCCTCCGATTGTTGGCGGCACCCTTGGTCGCGCCCTTCCGGCCTTTTGATCGCGTCAACGGCTTCGATGCGCTTGGGGGTTCGCTTTCGCTATCCGACATGTTTTCGTTGGTGTCGGGAGCGGAGATACTACCGATGCTGCTGTGCTTCCCGGCAGGTTTCACCATCGGGCTCGCGTCGGGTCCAGGAGCAACCGATGTCGGCGGGTTGGGGACGGCGAAAGAGTTCGCACCGTTCCGCGCGCCGTTGGCTTGGGCGAGCATGAAGAGGCCGTTGGCAGCGTCGTTAGCGTCCCCAGCAAATGGATCATGCCCGCCCGCTTGGGTCGTCGCTGGGTATGCTTTGGTGTCCATCCCCGTGGTTGCCGGAGGCTGTGACGTCGGAGGGTTGGCACCACCCTTCGCCGCGTTGACCGCGAGTGCGGTGCGTTGGAATTCGAGGGTGCCAGGTGTCTGGCCTCCTCCCGCAAACGAATTAAACAGAGCTTGTGAGTTAGGGCTCGGCGCAGGAAACATTGTGCCGCCACCGCCCGGAGTCAGACCGGTCCGTAGCGATGATTCGTTCGGGGTAGGGAAGCCACGCGAAAACGAGGGTTCACCGAAGTAGTCGCCGGGATTAGCTGGGCCAGCTAGCATGGCCGGGCTCAATGGCCCCGATCGTAATGAGTTGGTCCAGCCAGGTGTATTGCCGGGTAATAGGGATGATGGAGAGGTCAGGCTTGCCACGCCAGGTAGGAAAGACTTCCCCGGTGTCTCGGTAGATGACGACCCAAACTGCGCTTCGAACGGGTTGGGTTCGTATAAATGTTGTTGGTTATTGTTGTGGAGGGAGGAGAAATAGTCGGGAGTGTCAGTGGCGGTCGATGTCTGTGCTGGACGAGGAGGAGGGGCGAGTGGTTGGGCATTGGATGTTGGATTCGAGTCTTGAGTAACCTTTGAGTCGTTTCTTGCCTCCGTCGAAGGGGCTGAGGTCGATCCGGTGGTATCTGCATTGACTGCATTAGAACTGAATGGAATCTAATGATGTGCGATGATGGAGGATGATGCGACGATACCTGCGGCTCGAGAGGTGGAAGAGTCGTTGGCTTCTTGTTTCAGCTCAGCGTCGGACTCGTCCTTACTCGGCTCTTCAGGCGCAAGACGGTCAGCACTTGATCGACACACAGTCAAACAGGTGAAGAGGGTCAATGAGGGTATGGGGCAATGGAATCAAGGCGTTCGTGATGAATACAATCGTATCGTGATGAGGCGATGAGTGCGCGCGATCAAGACCATGGTTTTCCATCGCGTCAAAATGTGCACGACGCCACGATAGCGACCCAAGACGACGGTGATCGAAGAGTGATGAGGGAACGAGACTAAACCCACCTTCCGACTTTAGAGCATTGGAACGCTTTGTATCCTTCGGTGATGACATTCTGTTGTTGAGGTGAGGTGAGTTGTTGGAACTTCGAGTCGCAACTGCAGCCATGGCGGGCGGTGACGTCGATGGTGATGAGGGAGGAGGAATTTAACGGGGCGTCGATCGGTTCAACCGCTGATTTGCATCCGCACCTGAACGTCAGGACTTTGGAACGCCAAACCGTGGAGAGTGACCCAAAGTGCGCACAGCTTTCGAACGAGGAGGATTTCTCCAATGCACGGTTGATGGGAGGGAATGTTAAATGTCTATAGTAAGATGGAAGAAAGACGCCATTAGTGATGATTGCAGGTGAGAATGGAATCAAGTGCGATGGCGTGGTTTGGGGGAAAGGAACTTTCGGCCAAGTATTACGGAGGTGGAGAGGAATAGCGTGATTGGTATAGTGGAACGGGAAAGCCGGGGGGACAGTTGTGAAAGGTGAGGAACAGAAGAGGAGAGTCAGACTCTGTCAGAGAGGAGAGGGTAAGTGGTGAGGAGAGATCGGATGCAACATGGAACGAGGCGTATGCAGCGAGAAGGAGAAGACTTCTCTCTTCTCTCTTCGCAGATGCTCGAATTCACCATCGATCTGTTGGTGGCGACCGGCAACAGAATCTGTAGGCCAGATCCAGTTTTCTAGATCATCTTCCTCTCGAATCACACTCACTCACTCACTCTCCTTCTGCAGTTCTGCACGCTCACTCTTTTACAATCAATGAACCACCTGGCGTCGAACCGTTCGGCAACCTTTGTCACTTTTCTCCGCTCCTCCCTGACCGGGACAGCGGGAGGCAGCACGCGAGCGCAAAGGGGAGGGCAGGAAGAACAGTTCACTTACCAGTGGTTTACTCCGTCACGGGGGAGCACCTCAAGCTGGGTCTTTCGATGGATGAGTCCAATCCAGTCACCAACGTGAATTGGTACTGTACCAACCCGAAGATGGAAGATCTGATTCTTTGGGACCACGGCAGGATGAGGCTGGACACGACGTTGCCGGTAATCCAAGGACGGTTTGCGAGAGCTGGTGCAGCGATGTGGTGGTTTCGAGGTTCGTCACTGTGTAAAAGAGTTGGGTTGGAAATGGATGACGCAATGTCTCTTTCACTGGTGAGTTTCACTGGTTGCCGGTCCCCCGTTTCGCCTTTCGGTTCTGCGCAAACCCAGCCGCAATATGATTCGATCCAATAAACCAGAAATCGAAACGGTGAAGATCGTCCTGCAACTTTGCGCTGATTGTAAATTGAGGGGAGCTGGTTGCGATGCGTACAATACAATCGCGTGGTCAGGGCCGGGGATGAGGGAAAAACGTCACGTCAGACCTGCGATGAAAGATGAAAAAAAGCGAGAGCAAAGGAGCGAAGGGGGAGAGGACTGCGTCATTGTGCTGGGGCAGCCTGGCTCCTATGCCCTCCATGAATGTCGCTTTGTAAACTCGGCATGGTGCCCCCTGCTCGGGTTAGCGCCGTTTTCACCATTTAAGTCGCCCGAACGAGCGGGATCCCTGCGAAATGCATCGGATTGGCTCCATTTGCCCCCTAAACCTTGCCGATGGCGAGGAAAGTAGTAGGTGATTGGTGCGATTTGCTCCGTGCATTTCTAATCCGTCCAAATCGGAGCCGCATCTCGTGACTTTTGCGGTCGTGAAGGATCTTCGTGCCGGTTTGCCTTGCCTTCGCATAAGACGGGACATCAAAGTCCTCACGTGATGTTCAACCGCTCATAACCATTGCCAATTGCCAATTGCCAATTGCCATGCATACGGTGGTTATTAATAGTTCGTACCTTACTAAAGACGAAGAACAGCAAAGATGAATTATAAATATTGAAAAGGAAAGGCTCGACTCCCCCTCGAGCACCATGGACGCCGCGAGCCGCGAGCCGCGAGCCGCCTGCATTGTATGCCAGATCTTGTGCTCGGCATCGTCGTACCACAGTACTGCTTCTATATGCAGCGGATAACAACACGACCGGGGCGGTTTCACTTGGCCACGGGAGATGGTTTAGGTGCTGGAGGAGACGGAGGGATGTAGGAATGGGTACGGGAACTGTGTCATTCGTGATATCGTTCCGTAAGACATGCTTTACTAGTAGATTACGTCGTCCATCCTGTGATAACTCCACTCCCTCCTCCCCACCGTAGCGTCCAGTTACCTTCTCTCCCTTCCCCATGAACCTCATTCAGAACCCGACTGGCCCCACCGATGTTCAACATCGAACCCCCACCGATTCACACACCCCTCCAGGTCCTTCATCAGCTCGAGAAAGTCGTCGTTCATGATCATCTTCGTAAGCATCTCATCGACCTTCGTCCGACGGGCCGCACGGTCAAGCTGGTTGTACGCCTGGAGACTGGCCGTCATCTGCGCGTCCATGTCGAAGAGTACCGATGTCGCACTAGAGTCGACCGTGTCATTCTGTCCGGCAGATGTTGTCGGCGTCCCAGGTGAGCGAATGCTTGGCGGTATGGTAGATGGCCTTTGAGTCGTCAATGACCGAGAGGAACCAGACGTCAGCAGGGGGGAATTAATTGGTGAGCTGATCGGTCTCGGGGGGGTTGGATGGCCCGTAACCGAACTGGCGGATGCGGTCGCGGACAGTACCTTCGCGTTCGCCGCGCTTTGCTGAACTCCTGATGTACTAGGCGTAGGACCCAAACTCGATTCCAAGATCGCAAGTAACCTGTTAGTGGCCTCCATGGACCTCGGTGCCGATTCAAGTTTCCTCCTCTTGCTCGTCGTTCCGCCGACGGGTTGCGTGCTGGTAACCTGTGACCGCTCGTTGGCGTCCCCCTTCTCTACGGCGTACGACGGCCGCCGAAGTGTAGCAAGATTCTCAACCACACTGGGCCGCGATAGCGAGGACCGCGGACGATGATGCGGCAGCTGTCGGACGGGAGGGAGATGATTGGAAATCGAAAGTGGCGCGGTTGGCGCTGTAACTGGCCTTGCGGTCTCCGTACTCCCCGACACTGCTGCTGGCAGAGGCAGATGCCTTGGATGCTGTGGCGGGACTTGATCAAGGGCTATGGCTACCGTCAGTTCACAGTAGATAGATGTGAGGTACCATCACCTACTTTGAGAGGACCCATGAGTGGGACGAGACATTGCCGCCGGCGTTTCAACCGTCCGATTTGCTTCGTTTCCATGCTCTTCTACAGTAGGAGCCATGGTTCCAACATTCCCGTGTGAATATGTCGGAGTGGGGATTCTCGGTTCGTAGGAACTATACGATGGAGCTGGCTGGGTAGCTGAGTTGGTCGGTTCGGACATTGTAGGGAACGGAACTCCTTGACTGGAAGACGACCTGCTTGGCAGAGTAGAATTGCTCATAGATGGGAGTCGCGAGTTCACCCCAGACGACACGCCTAAACCTAGTGGCACTGCACCGCTCGCCGACGGAATACCACCCCTCAACGACGTATCCGGCTTCGCCTTGTCGACCAATGGACAATTGAGCGCCTTCAGCCGCTCCAACGCTTCATCGAATTCCTTCACGGATCCGAGCCGGAGTTGGATCCGGGTGATCTGGACTCGGCGAAATAAACATATGCAATCACCATGGTTCCGACGGTCCTTACCTTCTTGTTGTCATCCGAGCTATAGCGCATGGCAATCAGCAGATCCGTCCTCCGAAACATGACAATGGTAGGAATCTGGTTCTCGAGCAGCTCCACGCCTTTCTGCGATGTGATTTTAAGAAGGTTGTTTGCCTTCTTGATTTCCTTCACGATTTCCACTGTCATCTGGGAGGCTGATGTTAGTTTAACGGATGAAATCAACCACAAGATCTAGTCAAGCATACGAGGACTTCATGATTCCGGTGGATCTTCAGCTGATGCTCATTCGCACGGAATGAATCGAAAACCGCGAACATATGCTCTTTCGTCTCATGGGTCCATGAGAATTCGGCTTGAGACGCATCGTCAATTGCCCAGGAGTACTTCAGCACCTGCAGCGACAGACAGGTCAACTTCTTTTTGCCCATTGGAAGTGATCCGATGTTATAGCTTTGGCTCTCCAACGTAGGGACTTGGATGTGTATAGGAGAGTGACGCGGAAACAATAGGTATGTCTGGTTCAATACAGCACTCACACAATTGACCGCCCGTCCATTGAATCATAAAGAATGCAGTGTGGGATATTGTCTGATGGAGGAATTAGTAGTGGGTTAGTGGGGGATTGCAACGCTCTCAAGGATTCCATCATCACCGCCTACAGGTACTCTGTACAGGCACATGTACAGTATTAGACTGGTGTCATCTGTTCACTCTGACCGCTTTTGATAAGGGAAAGAACGCTGTTGGCGCCTGCCCCGTTCAACAAACATTGGTGGTTCAGGAGGCAGGAGCACTAATGAGGTTGAGAAGGGGAGCGATTGGATATTAGCCAGAGATCATCCGGAATTTAGCCATAATTTAGCCGAACAGGGTTCTACCATTCAACGCGCTTCGCGACGGGAATGCGCTCCTGGAGAAACGTCTTCATTCAAACGCTATTGAACCTTGAGCTCTAGAAAGTCCCACCGTATGAACGTTTTTACTCACATGTGAATTGTTCTCTAGAAACCACCATCGCGATCTCCATTTGACGAACCTGAACCCCGTTCTACATCTTTCCCACCGCCAGCCTCAGCTCCTCCAATCCAATCTTTACTTCGATATCCCTGCCAACCCATGAGCAGTCGAACAGCGCGCATCGCCATAGACTTATCCACGGAGAATCATTGAGGAGGGAGGATCGTCGCTGGGCAAGATGGCGCCTCCGGCGATCCCAGCCGAAGACACAATCGAGCGGACCCCAGAGTATGAGGCTTTCATCAAGGGTCTTGAGGAGTACTCTGAGAAGAGAGGGTAGGTGCCTTTCTACAATCGTATCGTTCGATCGCTAATGTGGGTTGTCCCTTATTTAGAACTCGCCTTGATAAAGAGCCGAAGATCGGTGCCCGTCATCTCGATTTACTCAAGCTCTATAAACGCGTGACCGACGAAGGAGGCTACGATATCGTCTCCGATACCAAAGGGAATAAGCTAGCATGGAGGAGAATCGCATCCGAGCTTCTGCCACCTTCGGCGCAAATAGGGACGTTGGCTTTCATGGTGAAGACCGCGTATTATAAAAACTTGGCGTGAGTGGATATACACTGACCAGAGGCATCGCCAAGACTAACTTTCCTCAGCGCATATGAGATCTCGACTCTCCACAAGAAGGAGCCCCCACCAAGGGAGATCCTCGAAGATCTCACCGCAAAAGGTGGTGACTTGTTGAATCGTACCCTTGAGAATTATCGACCCCGACTAAACCGTGAGACGGAGTTCCTCGCCAATGGAAAGGAGGGAGAAACCGATGGCTCCGATGCCGACGGACAACGCACTCCCAAGGATGACAAGATGGACTTGGATGAGCTGGCGAACTCTGCTGGCGCTAGAACTACAAGATGTAAGTTATTGAAGCCCAAAGACTCGCGCGTCTCATCAGACGAGGTCTAATCAGCTTGTCCAGCACTCCGACATAATCCTCCCCAGCGAGCTCTCTTTCAACCCGACGTCCTACCGGCAAGGCAAAGTCGGACCAGCATTAACCAGACACAATCCCCCACTCCTGTTGCGGCCAGCCAACAACCCACAACGAACGGAGTGAGCAGCGTCCCTCCAAATTCTGTCGTCCTTGCCAACTACGACCCCAAACCTCAAGTTCCGTCGGCGGTGAAGCCGGTCAATACTCCATCCAACAACCCGGAGCTGTTCCGACAACTCCGGGAGAGGCAGACGGCCAAGAAACCTTTTCCGGGCGTCCAGAAGGGCCTCATGATGCCTGGGACCGGGTATCCTGGGGCAAATATCTATATTCGCGCCCAGATGGCGTTGATGTCGGGAATCCCGACGGAGGTCAAGTACGCATTGCACCATCTGGTCAAGATTTCTCATGAACGGGGTGATAAGTATCGGTTCGACGCGTTCTCTAATCTCGCGGAGGCCCTTATGGGAGTCGTGCTCGAAGTCAGTGTTCTTTATTACGGAGTCAAATGGCAAGTGTCCTATAGCAATGAGGAATCGGCCGAGCCATATGTCTTGAACGGTCTGGAGGGAACCCGGAACCTCTTACAGAAACTGGAGGAACTCCCGATCATCGAACCCGCCGACAGCTTGGAGACCCAACACTTTGCGTTATCCATGCAGAACGTAAACGAAGCCGCCCTTGTTCTGCGCAATATGGTTCTCCTCGAGGAGAATGCGAAGTACCTCTCGTCAACCCCCCTCATCCGCGACACAATCGCCATTGTCCTCGACCTCCCGAACCGCCCCGCGTTGAGCGAAGTCAAGCACTATGCTCTTGAGATCGTCGAGCAGCTCACCAAGTTCTTCATCCTACCCGCGGACGATCCACTCTACTTGACTCTGCTTGCGCAGTTGAAGAGCGAAGATCGCGGCACCCTCATCACGACTATGAGAGCGCTGAGCAGGATCGGCATCGATCTGGAGACGAAATACACGTTACAAAACGTCCCCGAGACTACGTTGTCAAGCATAAACGACTTCCTCCTTGTCGATGATGAAGAGCTACGAGGAGCATGTCTAGATTTCTTCTATCAGTTCACCGCCTCTGTCGAGAACGTCGAGTTTCTCCTTCACGCCATCAATCTCGACACCCTGGTCGCCCAGCTGGTTCGTCTACTTATGCATGGCGCTCAGTACATTAATATGACCCCGAAAGTCATAACTCCCCCTAAGCCCCAGCCTCCTGCAGAGATGCCTCCGAAGCTTTGCGCTTCGATCCTAGATAAACTATGCCGGATCGACGATCCACGTGAATTGGCATCTCAATGGTAAGCTTTGAGCCGTCTTTGATCTATTTTCATCTCTTAATGTGGAACAGGATACGGATGTGTTTCGAGGAGGACCAGGCCTCCGAAATTACCCAGATCAACCTCTGGAATGCATACAATGCCACCTTCTCTCCCAACGCCCAAGCCAACCCCTCGCGGCCTCTGATGAACGCCAAGGATTTCATTTCCAACGTCTCCTCCGTTCTCCCCGCCGCCACCGCCCAGTTGACCCATGGCAACCCTCCGAAATACACCATCCGCGGAATCCGCCCCCGTCACATTCCCGTCGATTCTCGCGGGATCCCGTACATCAAGTGCAAATGGCACCTGGAACGAACCGAAGGTGCCATGGACGTTGACTACGCCGCCCCCCTCGAATGCGACGAGCTCTCCCCCAACGTCGAAGAACTCTGGAACCACATTGTCGCCTCCCACCTCCACGTCCCCCGCCGCTCCGACGGCAAATTCGACCCCTCCCCCACCCCTCCCCTGGGCCACCGCTATCTCTGCCACTGGGGCGGCTGCACCAAATACTCCCCCCACGGCGCCTCCGGCCCGCGCGAAGCCGCCGCCCACGTCAAGGTGCACCTCCCCGACGACTCCGCCAAAGGCGCGCAGCGGCAAAAATACAACCGCACGGCCGACGATCCGGCCGTCACGGTGCGCACGGAGACGCCGCGCACGTACTGGAACACGGCAACGGACGAGCGGAACGACCCGACGGGGTTACCGCTGGCGTCGGTGCTGGTGCTGCGGAACCTGGCGCGGCAGATGGGGAAGCTAGACGCGGCGGGGGAGGCGCGGGGGACAGGGCGGCCGTGGGATGCGGCGCCGGTAGGGGTGGGGTTGGTGGAGAAGGTGTTCGCGACGTATCGGGAGGAGCTGTACTACGTGATGGCATTTAATCTGTCGTTGCGGGAGTATATCCATAGTCTGGTGCGGGCGATCGCGGCGGTGTCGGGGGGTGTGTTTTGAGTTGAAGGACATGTATTCTTGCACTTTTATGGTTCGGGCATAGGAACACGGTCGCACGGTGTTTATGAGGGCCGTCAAGGTTTATCGATCTGGTGGAATGGCGATTTACGGTGCTTTGCATATCGAGACGATGGGCGCAAGCTTCCGTCTCGATCGGGATGACGAGGCGCGTATCATCGAGGCTTTTTCGGGTTACGCGTCCACGACGCGGTCAATGGCTCATAGGTGTACATTAGAGGATCCATAAAGTCTAATGGCATTTCACTATCCAGTAGCGTCTATCCAGCGCCGATGAGAGCCTGTTGTAGGGGTATATATTGGCAACGCCGATTGCCCCTTGCTTTCATATCAGGCTCGTTCGGTGAGATCGGTGATGAATGCAATCCCATGCGCCCAATCTGATGCGCCAATCGTCCATCGAAAACGCCGAAACATGCCTATTGTGCTGCAACTCAGTCCATCACTGCCATGACTCCATAACAGTATCATGGACTCCCCTAGGGTCCCCTCTCGCGCCTCTCGTGACGGGACCGGTATCAGATCCTTCATTCAGTCAATTTCAACCCTTCCACCGCGCTCCGCAGCTCCTCCTCCCGTTTTCCCCGCCAAAACCGCCGATGCTCCCTTAACACCTCGTCCGCTTCCAGCTCGTCCATGTCCACCAGGTACCCACTGATATGGACGATTTGCCACTCCGTAGTACTCAGGGTCTGTTCCTTCGTAGCCAGCGCCTGTCGGAACTCCTTCGGCAGCCACATGTTGCTGGGGAGGTCCTTCGAACCTTTCTGCCGCATAAACGCGTCAACAATCGCCTCCCGGAGCGGCGAATCCGGTGCTGTGTTCTCGTAGATCTCGTCGATTGCCTGTGCATGCCTCTCATTGCTAAAGTCGAACCTGGCGGCGTCCCCGTTCTTATCTCGGATCGAGTTCAGAAACAGCTGCATAGCTTCATTCTGCAGCCTCCGCGCCGCGATCCGGTCGCCAAAAATCCACAACTGACAAAGATCAATCCAAGCCGGCCCGCCGCAGCCGAACATGCCGAACATACCGAACACCTGCCCGGTATACAGCCACGCGACGAACGCCGCGACGATGCGCGGGTCGTCGTCGAGGAGGTTTACGGTCTTGGTGGTGCCCTCTCTAAAACGGCCGTTGAGGGCGCGGGAGAAGAAGGGGGAGGCAGAGCAGAGGAGGGCCTGATGGATGTGGAAGGTGGTGAGCGGGGTAGAGCCGACGTTGAGGGTGGCGATGGGCGAGGTGAGGATGGAGATGTCGAGGATGGGGAGGTTGCATTTTCGGCGTTTGAGTTTGTGGAAGGGGATGGTTTTGCGGTTTGAGGGGGATGGTTGGGGTTCCTTGGGTTGCTGGAGGCTCTTTCGGGCTGGCTCGGATGGTCGTCCTTGGGAGTGTCCAGTCGGCGGTTGGACGATGGATGGGGCGGTAAGTGGTGTCATTGTATTTGACTGATTGATTTGCGCTCGCGTGCGAGAAAGAGGATAATCGAATGAAATTTGGAGGACTGGCATGAAGAGTGAGGGTGTCTCAGGGAAATGAGGTTGATGATGGAACATAGGGCCTCGAGGAACAACAGGGAAATAATCCAGTCGCGGTTAGTGAGTGTTCACCGAATACCGTGGCTCGTGTTAACCTCCTGGTAATCAACACTGTCGAGACTGTAAGAGGTATATATCTAGGAGAGAGTGATGCTGGAGAGAAGCATCAAGGAGGTTACAGGATTGTAGGTACGCAAAGGTGACATAGAAATGTGAATAATTTAGCTCTAAGTACTAGTAACTAAGAGGACAATACACTAGGTTACAATGCCCATCTCAGCTTACTTTACCGTAAGTACCGGCACTTCTCGAAAACATGGGGATATCAAATAATTAGGAGGATGCGAGGTTGGTTTCGGGTGACATGATGGTGAGGAGGCGCAAGGCTGCCATATCCATCATGAGTCAAGTGCAGGCAACAGCTTCAACATTTCCGTGTCACAACAACAGAGATCACTGTTGTCATCTTCACGATACCAGTGAAATATTCCATATTTTCGTTTGGAGCAGTTATCTTAACTTCTCAACATGAAGTGTTTTGGCAAAACGTCACCTTTGAGTCTTTAATGTCAACCCACGATGCGGAACCAATCCCGCGCCCCGCCATTAATTAGCCCCTGACGCTACTCTAGAGTACCTTACCTCTCTGTCAGTGTCCAGGTCCATATAGATGTCCTCGACTTCCATGACTGCCAACATATATAGTCAACCCGGCGTTGGAGGGATAGACACTTTATACGGGAAAAAAAGGCAAGGAGGAGAGATAAGACGAAGAATAATATGTAGAACAGTTCTTGGTACTTCCCGAGCTCGGCTGCCTCTCCATGAACCTGGTGAACGGTAATGCAGAAGTGTTGTTGCATAAAGAGTTTTCACCCTTCTCATCTTGTAGACTTTAGAAAATAGTTATATTGCAATACCAGAGACATCTCAGCCCCTGCATATCTTCATACTCTTAAAATTAGCCTCTTATATATTCTAAACTTAAACTAATGCCTTTGTAGTGCCTCTGTGTGGTGATGAACGATGGGATGCCTCAATATACCTAATTAGGAAATTCACGTCATACACACAATTTTGGGAACTCGTGTCTGCTTTATGGTAAATAAAGACATCCCCCTCAGCCAATGGTCATTTTAACCGTACAGCCTATTAGTCGCTGTCCTACGGCTGCAAACCGCCATCGGTAACATCAACCTTATCAACGTCTATAACCCGAAGACAACGGCCCGAGAATCCGGTGCTGGGAGACCATCCAAACAGTCCTATCAGACATCGAGGAAAAAGAAGTCTTACTCCTAACACAATGACACGACCTATAACTCCTCACACCGACAGGCGAGGTACCATGGAAAAGAAGCATCCAAGAAAGTGTCATCGACCTTACATTCGCTACCGCGCAGCTCCTTTGCCCCCTGTTCTCTGGCTTCGCTCTTTCTAATAATGCGTCGTGGCGCCATTGTCAAGACGTTTCTTTGAATAGACGTAGAGAAAGAACTTTTGCTGCTTGGAGCGTTGATGGCGTCGACTACCGCCGAACTGATGAAACTGGAACTGAAGCAGAGGACTGTGGACTGCGAACAAGACTGGAAAACTAGGGAAAATACGGCTTCTTTACAATCCTTACCATGGTTGCAGAGAGAGTATTTTCGACGGACCCTCGTCTTTCGGCGGTATTGACCCTCTGATTTCGACCTCTTATATACCGCCGGGAGAGTTATGGGGAACTCCCATTGCTGTATGTTTTTGATTTTGGTTCTTCCTTGATCTCCGCGAAAGCTGAACGCGGCGACCATGTGGTTTTGTCAGCTCCAAATCATACACTTGGTTGCTAAGGGTCTGGTCGACATAGTGCCATGCAAACACCGGCATTTAAGGAGGAGTCCTTTGAGATCAGCCTATCACCCGAGCACATCAAGAATAGTCGGGTTTGATATGTACTTTGCCCAGTACGCGACGTACCTCATGACTGAGACGATCTACAGAAAGCATTGCAAGGATGAAGGAAGGAACTGGAAAGGGAGCTAGCTCTGCAACAATATATATATATTTATATATATACACTTGAGTACGGTATCTGGCGGTGTACATGCCATTTCGTATAATTCCTCTGTTCAGTCATCTCTACGGTACCCTCTCCCCAGCTTTCACTTACCAAACACACTAAATATTCTTCGCATGTATGGAGAATTGGCGAAAACCTTGCGGAAGTGCCAGAGATGGAGCCGGAAGAAGAGCCGGTGGACAGGGTGAGAAAGTACAAAGAGAGTGGTGAGATCGAGAAAATTCCGTATCCTCTTCTACGAGGATGATTTCAATCTCGGAGGAGATTTCCTTTGCCCCCATCTTTCTCGCATTAGTTTTCCACGACAACCGCTCTCATGGACGATAGTGTTTATAGAATGTGGATGGTCTGGCTGTTGTTGGAGCCGATATGGACCGGGATTCCCCACGCCAGCCCCCTCATCCCCAAGATGCGTCATCTCAAGGCGTCATCTCAAATCAATGGGATATCAACTTCAACATTCCAAATATATGGTCATACAAATCTCAAACCCTACCCATCATATATATTTGCCCCTCTGCACCATAAAGGAAGCCTCATGCGCTTCTTGAACGTCCAATTCCTCCTACGATCGTTATACGCATTCTCGAAATCCACCACACGAACAGGTCCATTCCAAAGAACCACTGGCAACTCATCTCGTCCCGTATATCATATGTCCGGGATTCCATTCATTGGATCATTCTTTAGCACCAGCCGCAAAGCATCTTCCAACATGTCATACCCAGTCCAGAAGTCTGACGACGACTGGCGGGCAGTCCTGTCACCTGGTAAGACGTCCAAACTACTTCACACTCCATCCGTTTGGCCCACCCGCCGCAAAATCAAGCAATCACCATGACTGACTCTCCTCGAGCCCAGTTCAAAGTCATCCGCGAAAAAGGCACCGAAGCGCCGTTTACGGGAGAATACGACCAACACCAGCCCACCACCGGCGTGTACAACTGCGCCGCGTGCGACGCGCCGATCTACAAGGCGAACCACAAATTCAAGTCCGGGTGCGGATGGCCCGCGTTTTTTGACGCCGTGCCGAACGCCGTAGTGCGCCATGAGGATACTACGCTCGGCATGACGCGGACAGAGATCGTGTGCGCCAACTGCGGCGGGCACCTGGGACATATCTTCAAGGGGGAAGGGTATGATACGCCGACCGATGAGCGGCACTGTGTGAATAGTGTTAGTATCAAGTTTCACGAGAACGAGAAGAGCGAGGCGAAGGAGTCGAAGGCATGAGTGTAATAATGATCAATCGTAACGGGAGTTTGACGAAAGCTATGACGATGGTTTTTCTTTGATACTGACGACTTCATGGTCTAGCAAATGGCATCTGTCAAATTCCATCACTTTCAGTCACAGTCTCGTTCCATCGTGGTCTTCACTGAGTATGCTTCTTCTTTCAATCTTGCGGTGTCAGTTCTATAACGGTAAAAGTCTCCTACATGGACATACCCCGCCTGAATGCTAGACCATGTGTAACCCGCGCTCTTAGCGGCTTCTCTGTTTCGCTCCGGAAATTTTAGAGTGCACGATGTTGACCCAATGATCGAAACGCCGTTCCTTATAAAATGAAGTATGAATTCGCCGTAATAGGGGCAAGAACCCTAGTTCGGTTCGAACCCTTCAACTTCACCCCGTCCCCATAGCCCAGAAAGGCAAAGAGCGCACCGATGCCCGTCGCGGCGAATCGATGTCCCCTCTACCGACCTCTCCACAAGGGCGGTGATCTCCTCGCCGAAGAAATCTACTTCCAGGCTCGAGGTCGCGGAGCCCGCGCCCGATGTCGAAATCCGGAGCCTGCCGACGCTGTCTCCGGGAGCACTACCTGGCGATGGAGATGTCGTTTATGTGCTTCTTAGAGCGTACGCCCGACCAGGCACGCGCCGCATCTAAGCGAACTAAGAAGGAGAAGAAGAAGAGCAGATTTAACTTACGTGGAGGAGGCGAGGGAGAATCGGACGGCGGTGGAGGGATGAGCCTCTGGCGCCACCGCCACCATTTCCTGTGAGCGCGCGCGTGATGGACAAGCTTGGATGTCGGTGTGCCGCTGCACATACGACTTCCGACATCGAAGACGGATGCACCGCATGTTATTACGGCCCAGAAGCAGTCGAGCGACGTACCAGACGATCACTACCTGCGCCGCCACTAAAATCCCACTTGTACCGGGCGTCAAACCTCGCCCTGCACGACCTATAAGACCGCTCCCTCCACCGCTGGTAAAACCTCCTCCCCCACCGCTTGCAAGGTCTCACCCTGCAGCCCGCCTGAACGCTTCAGACAAACTATCTCGTTGTGTGTCTGGGGCGGCGGCCCGGAGCACTTGGACGGTCGGCCGCCCCCGCAAGACGAGGCATCGCATCCGGAGGCGGAGCGGCGATCTTCGGCTCCTCAAGGGCGCGGTGGATGGGAATATGACTGGGACGCGATGCGGAGGCATATGAGAATACGAGGGGGTGGCGGACCGGCGGAAACGTCATGGGAAGAACGGGAAGAGGCGTCGCTGGCAATACGAGAGATGCCTGTTCTCCAGCTCGGTTTCGGCCAGTGTAACTGGAATCCATTGGGGCGAGTCGGGAAGGGTTCGGATGAGTAACAATGATAAAGTGGAAGATAGTTCTAAGAGGCGCGTCGGTCTTGCCGGAAGCCTGGGTGGGAGAGGGAAAATGGATTAGCTACGGAATCCGGATTTGACAATGGTGGATGAATACTGAGTAGTAATGGACAAGCATTTTGTTCGGCAACAGAGCGCAATGACCTAGTGTATATGAAAGGGCTAGTTAGCTTGCCAGTGCATGGCGATGACTGAGTGTCGATTTGTCTATGATTAGGGTTTGGAGTGCAAGTTCGCGACAATATTGGTAATAGTTTGTACCTGATATCCTTTCACAGTATATTCCTAGAGTACGGTTCGGATGTCACGTCTGTGACATTTGTACATCGTTGATAAATTTGTTCAAGACTGGACTACTTTATTCACACTGAAGGTGGAGGTCCGATAAGTTGCCGTCAAGATTCTCATCCACCGCAATTAGGACCTGGGTTGAGGCTGGACTCCACCTACAACACTTAGATCGTCGAAAGATATCAATGCTGGTCATGAAATCCAATTCCGGCTTGACGCCGCCATGATATGACTCGGAGCTATAAGCCGAAAATCATTCCAAAAAGCCAACCGCTTTGCGCCGAATACGCCGTCGCTACTCATCTCATGTCGCCCGAACTCGCTCATAAAACACCAAATATGCCTGCCCGTTCTGCAACGCATCGCCCGGATGCCGCTGCTCCGGCCGGAATTCAGTCACCGTCGCGTCGTTATAATGCATCCAGCAATTCATGCCCGGGTTCTTGACCAAGGCGGTGTAATGGCCCCCCGTAATCGTGGTGCCGATGTGCCGAATGACGGCGTATGCATTGTAGATATACGGCGGTGTCATCGACGGCGGAAGCGCGCTGTCATCTGGCCCGCGGTCCCGCGTGTTGGTCTGAATTTCATCGTCGGTGGGAGGAGGGATCATCCATCGCCCGAGATCTAGCCCGGTCAGAGGGAAGTTGACCGGCGTGGCGACCTTGATATCTGACAACGAGGCGTCGAAGCGCTTAAAATGAAAGACCAGGATCTCAGGGGCGCGAGTGAATGTAACCTGCTTAGTGGCAGCGCGATATTGGTTGCAGGTCGGGCAATTCCACTGGCCATCAATCTGATCTTCCGCGCAGTATCGGTCGATGCACTCCCCGAGCCGCGGATTACCACCCCGAGGGATGTCGACAGAGATGCTGAAGAACGGCTCATATATTGTCGACGTATTTCTGCATGTCCCGCATTTAACGCGGGAGGTAAACTGGCCGCCGAAAAGACTGGTAATGAAGCTTTCGTTGCGCTTAATATGCCGGTTCCATTCGATCTTTGCGGCGAAAGCCTTGCCGATCCGCTCTCTTTTCGCCTCCTCGGCTGGAGTGAGCTGGTGTGGAGGTGCATTGTTCCAAGTGGCGTTCAGGTCTTCATGCATGAGGTCGATCAATACGTCCCAAAATTCCTTCGCGTCCTGTTGTTGACCATCCGACCATTTGGTCGAAATTCTCCCCATGAGATTCTGCGGCATGTTAGTGCACATAGATGGAAATGATGCGGATCACGTACCCGGAATGTGGATGGTCGAACAGCGGTGACATCGTTCTGCCAAAGGTGTAAGAGGAGGTTGGAAAAGTGCTGCGAGACGAGACCCCGGGAACCTTTCCAATTCTCGGTCTGGATATATTTGCGGTACGAGCCGTCTCGGAGAAAAGATGATAATCGCAAGGTGCCGCTCAAGGCTTGGACCACGGAATTCATGAAACAGCTGTTACCACAATTAACCAATCCGGCTTTCGGTATCCGAATATCCCGCATATCGTAAGTGTAGTTGTAGGAAACTTGCGGGGGACCTCGGATGGTGGGATAACGTGTCGAGTCTCGTTCATGTACACCGTTGTAGCTAACTCTAGGAGCGGCCGGTGCCGGCCTTGTTGGCACCGTAGGGAGAGAGCTTGTAGGGGGCGGTCGAGAAGGAGGCGAGACCATCGACTGCTTTTCCAAAGTGGTTACGTCAGGGAAGCGGCGGAGGAAATCCGCTGTCGTGCGCACCATCGGGTATTCCTCACTTTCAGGAACGAAGGTCTGGGAGTCCATGGGCAAACTCTCTTGCTGTGCCCGCTCTGACCAATGCTGCACTTCTTCGGGCTCCATCTCCGGCACTTCTCGATGTGCCTTGTCGTATATCGGGCCACTACCCGGGAGAATTGGCGCTTTACGTGCTGGCCGCGACGCCTTCATTGCTTTGGTCGCGGTCGTGTGGCTAGACAACAAGGACTGAGTGCCCAGAAGCTCGATCCATGCGTCGAGTCCGCCTTGGAGGAGAATCGGCTTGAGCCTCAAAGGTTTGGAGTTGTACTGTAACAGCGCATCGTAAAGGATTTTCATGGCCCCTTCTGATCCATTCCGCGGAGTGAGGGTTGTGAAGTTCACGGAGGCGGTGTTCTTATCGTAGAAGACCACGTAACTGTACTCCTGACGACGAGAGAAGGATTGCTGTTCCCCATCGGGTGACAGTACAAGCGAGTCCTCTAATTCATCCGCAGACATGTCTTCCCGCAACTGACTCGGCTCGATGCACATGACATTGGGAGCGTATATATGCCCTTCATCGAATTCGTCTCGGTGCCGCACATCAATTAATAGCACGGTCGATATTTTGATCAAGTCATAAAGCTTCTTGGGGCTTATGTGGGCCCCGAATGTCGCCGAGGTGCTAGCTCTTCTTGACTGTTGAGAGGAAACATCGCGCCGACCGTCAAAATACGATTGTTCCTGAGACGTACCAGACCACTGAGAGTTGGATCCTGATGTCTGGGTGTAATGTCCACCTGAGCCAACTATGCTTCGAGGTGTCGCACGAGGAGGTGGAATGCTAGCGGGAGTCGCCATATTGCGAGCTGGGCTATACGTCGGACTTGGTTCTTTTGGAAGCGATGGGTTGAAGTTCGTGTCCAATGGAAGTTTCGGCGGATGGGGAGGGCGGTGAGTTGATTTCGGAATCGATCTCGGACCCGCAGGTCTAGGCTGCGCGCCTGCTCCTGATTGCGATGCGCGAGTAGTCGTGGACGTGCCAAAATCAGATGGTGACGGCATGCGCAGCGGGGGCTCAGGGTATGATGATGCCCCTTCCTGGGACGGACGATCGCCGTTTGCTCCGGATCTTAACCCGGCGAACCTTTCACGTAGTGGATCACTGAGCCGTGACCCGGCAGGAGGATAGGCTGACCCGTTTACCACGCGCCCGTGTAGATTCTCGGGTTTCGGTCTCACAGGCGGCTTCGATCTTGGAGAGTTGGATGAGTCAGCAGGGGTCGAGCGACCTGAAGTACCGTTCGGTGTTCCTGGTCGGTAGGCCAAGTATTTTGAAGCATCCGATGGGTAATGCGACGATTCCATGTTCCCGCCGTTGCCCGATATCGAGTTTCTGTGATGTTGTCCTTGGTATGAATCAGGGCTGTCTGCCGTTGAAGGCCGGGACTGAGACTCGGCATCATACGCTGCCTTTGTTTCTGGTAGAATTCCACTCCTCCGGTTGTCATTGATGATTATCTCTTTGATATTCGAGAACTGCGACTCTTTGCTCTGAATCTTCTGCACAGGAGGTTAGACCAATGTATCCTTTACTTCAGTCAAACACGTGACAAAGACAACTTTAAGAAAGACTTGCATACCTTTACAAGATCCCGATACATGCGATGCAGGGTACCTCGATCCGTTTGTAACGTGATATAGTCAATGTGGCGTGGGATCCGATTAACGACGATCTCGTATGCGACTAGATATTCGATATACGCTAGGTCGGGGCTCCGCTTGAAGGTAAGCAGCGACTCGCTAACTGACAGTGCTTGACTGGCTTCAGTCACCAAGAAGTTCATCTGCTATAAGTTAGTGGCGCGGAACGGAACGGTGATGTCGACGCATACAGGAGCCTGCTGATCGATGTTGTTCACCCTCCCTTGTGCGAGAACGGTGATATCAATGAAATGCCTCATCGCTGGTCCGACTGGAGGTCCTCCGCTACCATTTCTCTCCCCTCCCGTCCATCTTTCTGGTATTGAGCTTCCGTCGCCCCCATGATGGGGATGGCCATTCATGGCGTACCCACGGGCAGAGATGTGCGATTGCCTTGGAGAATATGGCGCGGGAGCGTTCATCTTCGAACTCTACCCATCCTGGGAACAATAACTCTTCGGTATGAGCCTTGAGTCTTGAAGGATGGTTTGGGGCGGAACGACGATCTCGGTTCGAGGGTGAGTGATGACGGATATGGCCGGGCGGTGCCCGGTGGCTTCGGGCTGTAGGGAAGTTGAGGCGAGAGGTGAATGGTCTGCCTTTGTCAGTTTATAAAGCAGACTTCTATCGTCTCAGGGAAAGGCATATATCGGAGGTGATTTGTGAATTGCGGTACGTTCCGCAGCGTCAACGATGACTATGGACTTCTGTTGCGTATCAGTGGGACGGGGGGGTCTCATGCGACAGTGATGGGTTTCCATTCAGGCAGTTAGGCAACAAATAATTGAGTGGATACCACATCCTTGCTAGTGTGGCTTAGTCGCAGAGCCGCCACATCGCCCCGCCACTTGCGCCACTTGCGCCACACTGCACCCCGGCCACCTCCACCTCCGCCTGCACCGACATGACACTGTGCAGCACCAGTGACCAGGCCACCGTCTTGAGCTCCCAGCATTACGCAGTAGGAACGTTGCGTTGTCGATGAACACTTGCACGACCGTTACCTCCAGCTTCCATACTCTGCCTACATCTTGTCATCGATAGTCCGGTTCCACGATCTGGATTCGCCGGTGATTCTTGACCGATCATAGCGATAATACAGTCCCCGAACCACTCGACCTTCGCTCACGCTACCTGTACCTTGCCACTCCCTCATCCGCCGCATCCCTCAGGTTTACACGAAGCCGGTAGTGTATCTCAGTTGGCCAGGTTGCAATCATGGCAGGCTGGTTCTCTTCCTCGAATAGCGCTCTGGATGAGCAAATAGAGCGTGCGACCTCTTCAAGCTTGTATGACCAAACATCGTCGGAGACCAGAGTATAGGCAACGCTGACCGATCGCAGGGAAGATATCGCGCTCAATCTTGAGATATCGGATACCATCCGATCAAAGACCGTTCAACCTCGAGAAGCGATGCGATCCTTGAAGAAACGAATAGGCCACAAGAACCCTAATGTCCAGCTCTCCGCACTGAATGTATGGCCACCCACCCGTAGTCCGTTGGTTGCCGATCACTCACTAACAGACATCCTCTTATAGCTGACCGACACATGCGTCAAAAATGGCGGCTTGCATTTCATCACCGAAATCGCCTCTCGCGAGTTTATGGACAACCTTACCTCCCTTCTCAAAGCGTACGGAGCGGCTGCACCCAACGAGGATGTCAAAGGCAAGATCCTGGAGCTGATCCAAGCCTGGGCTGCCGCTTCGGAGAGCCGGAGTAGCCTCTCATACATCAACGAAGTATACAAGACGCTTCAACGCGAAGGATTCAAGTTTCCGCCAAAGCCGGACGTGGCGAGCAGCATGTTTGACAGCAGCGCACCTCCAGAATGGATCGAGTCGGACGTTTGCATGCGCTGCCGGACCCCGTTCACATTTACGAATCGTAAACACCACTGCCGGAATTGTGGAGGCGTTTTCTGTCATTCTTGCTCAAGCAAGACCCTGCCGCTCCCTCACCTGGGAATCAACCAGGCTGTCCGCGTCGATGATGGTTGCTATACGAAGCTGACCGAAAAGCCGAAGGAGGTGCCCGCTCCAACAGCGGTCGATGCGGCTAAGTCAAGCAAAACGGTATACCAATCATCTATGCAGCCTCGAGACGCGAAAGTTGCCGATAGCTTCGATGCCGATTTAAAGCGGGCATTGGAGATGAGCCTGGAGGAAAGCAAGGGGGGTCAGCCTGGACATGGATATGTTCCGCAGTCGCAGCTTCAGAATACCAAGCCAACAGCGGTCAATGGGAATTCAAAGTCATCAAAACAGCCTGAAGAGGATGATGACCCGGATCTGAAAGCGGCGATTGCTGCGTCCTTGGCGGACATGGAAGAACAGAAAAAGCAGCATGCTGCTCAGCTCAAGCAACAGACCGAAACATCGAATGGCAAACCACCCGCCTTCGCCCCGAAGAATGATTACGAACTCACACCTGCAGAGGCAGAGAACATTAGCTTGTTCGCGACTCTTGTTGAAAGGCTCCAACATCAGCCGCCCGGAACGATCCTCAGAGAGCCACAAATCCAGGAGCTATACGAGAACATCGGGAGACTACGTCCCAAACTGGCCCGAACCTATGGAGAAACCATGAGCAAACATGGTAGGACAATTCCGTAAGGATGACTAGGCACAATACTGACGAGTTTATTAGATACGCTCCTCGATCTACACGCCAAGCTCTCGACTGTTGTCCGATATTATGACCGGATGCTTGAAGAGCGGCTATCCCACACATATAGCCAACCTAGCCATTATGGAATGGCGCCACCGCAGCAACCCCCATCAAACTTATATCCCAGCATTGCGTCCAATCCGACTGGCCCCCCTACTGCTCCTCCCACCGGCGGTCCTGAGAGCTATTATGCTGGCGATTCCGTCCCTCCCGAGCCATACGGCCAACCGCAGCCAACATATGGGGGTTACCCAGCGCCAAATCAAGCTCCGCATTCACCCTACGACAATCGATCATCCGCCCCTCCAAAGTACAATCAGCCTGGACATGATACCCGATATCAGCCAGGAAGAACTTACTCCCAGCACTCTCACGCGCCAGCCCATCCGCAACAGCGTGCCCCAAGCGCCAGTAACCCCTACGAACACACCCCCCCGGCCCACGCCTCCCCCCATATCCCTCAACGCACATCCTCGCACGCCTATCCACCCAACCAACCCCAACCCTCCCAACCTCCCAGCCAATACGCCCCCTCAAACCCCGCAGCAGCCGACGACGCCACCGCCTTCTACTACGCCGACCAAGCGACCTCCCCCCAACCCTCCCACGCGGCCCCCCCGCAAAGTTTCTCCCCCAACCCTCCCCAATCCCACGCGGCCCCCCAACATCCTCCACCCCAGCAGACCCAACCGCCGCCGCAGCAGTATTGGAACCAACAGCAGGCCCCGCCGCAGGGCCAACCACAGCCGCAGAGCTGGGCACAGACGCCGGCGTACCAGCCGCCGGGGGCGGGGATAGCGGGATCCGCGTTCCCGAGTGCGCCGCAGCACGCGCCGCAGCCGCAGAAAGAGGAGGCGTTGATCGAGCTGTGAGCGATTGAAGGAGGGTGGGGCACGGATGGGTTTCCGTATATCGAATGGCGAGCGTTGCGATTTTCATGGAATTCATAATGGCGTGGCGGCGATTCCTGTGCGGAATGCTTACTACGGCATTTTATGGCGCATTGGGGGATCGGATTGTAGGTTGATTACGGAGTTGTACTATGATGTTCCCGGTGAAGGTTGGTGAGAGGAGCACGCGCGGGTTTAAGACACCTTTAGATGGATAGTTGGGAATGTGATTGACTTCAAAACAATATTCACTTAAGAGCTTGGCCCGAAAATGCGGGCTTGGTTTTCACCACCATTGAATACGGTCTGGAGTCTAAACGATGTAACAGTGATATGAATACGGAGTTGACAAGCCCCGCTTCCGAGGAACGAAAATATATCAGACCTCCGCCGCTCGAGCGATGAAATCAGCCACCTCATCCGGATGCGTCAAAAAAGGGGTATGACCCGTCTCGATCTCCTCGGACCGCTCAATATCGACGCCCGGCAGCGCCACGATATACTTCTGCTGTGCCAGTGACACCACGAGATCCTTGGTGCACATCAAGAACCAGCCAGGGCTATCGGAGTGTCCCGCATATTCAACCGGCGTGCCGAGAGCTCTATGTACGACGTATTAGCGCGCACACGAAGCCTCGAAGCCTGTGGACTTACGCCACCGACTGGGTCTTCAGCTTCCCCGACATCTCTTCCTGCTTCTCCTTCGGCAGCCCATTATAAAACATCTCCGGGCTCGCGATCCACGCGACCTCCCCATCATCCTACACAAATCAGCACGCCGCACCCAAGCTCGATTCCGTCGCCCGCAACCTACCCTTATTTCTGCCACGCTCCCCATATCCACCCCCGATTTCGCCGCCCACTCCGCCGTCAGCTCCCAATGTGACTGCCCCACGACCGGCAAGCTCGTCGCGATGTACACCGTTCGCCGTACGCACGGCCCCGCGCCGCGGTCCTTCACGCCGAAGCCACGGATGGCTTCGCCGCCGACGACGCCGCCGTAGGAGTGCATGACGAGGACGCAATCGTTGCCGTCCTTGTCTATGACTTGGTGGAGGACGGCGCGCAGGGCTTCGACGTCGACTTGGAGGGGGCGGGCGGAGCCGGCGCTGGGAAGGGCGAGGTCGTCGATGCAGGGGAGGGATTTGGCGCGGAGGGAGTGGGAGAGGGGGGAGAAGCACCAGGGGCCGTGGAAGGCGCCGTGGACGAGGATGATGGTGGGTTTTGGGGTTGACATGTTGGACTTGAGGAGAAATGGAAGGAGAAATGGATAGAGACTGTGAGAAGAAAATGAAGATAAGAGACTGTGGAAGGACAGTAAGGAGAGAAGGGGGGCTGATACGGCTTATACTGTACCTACGATCTTGTGGCGTATGTCGTGGAACAACATCGATCTACACAATCGGCCATCTGATCGATCGTTTAAGCAAGGAGATTAAGTTGCATGAATGGCGGGACGCCAGTATCGACATCACGGTGACGAAGATGTGCCGTACTACTAGGCAGCTGCTACGAAGTAAGGGATATCGAGGGTATTCTCAGTTCTCAGTTTCTCACGGACGGGACGAGTCAGAAGCAGAGTGTCAGCCCTCTGGTAGGTAGGCCTGGCCGTTTTTGAACCTATGAAGGGGGCGCATTTATCAATTCTTGGCCATATTGATCAACCCTTGTTACGTGCGAAGACGACGATTTAATATGTAACTCGTAACCGAACAATGGGATGAATCAAGGGGAGAATGAATTGAATTGAGGGTCTAAATCACGTGCAGATGCAGGGAAGTGGCGCGGTCACGTGATAAAACTTTGCCAAGGCTGGAACTTTTGAAGCAACACCCTGCATCTTCAAAGTTCAGCAGTCGATTGATTCTCCCAACAGCGAACGTTTACACCCTCCACCCATCCCATCACGATCTGAGGAACGGCAGAGTACCGCTTGCTCGGGGGACCATCAATCACGACAGCACTTGAATCACACAGCAATGGATCACACGCGAGATCCATGTCCGTGGGTGGCCCTAAATGATTTCGGAGGCGCATTCTGTATGGGGGTAAGGATTTCCATGCCGTCGTTCGAGGCTATAGCTAACGAGATTCATTCATCAGGCGATCGGAGGCGCAGGTAAATGACTTCGATTCCGATTCTTCGAGCGGGAACTTACATAGTGGTAGTGTGGCACGGTGTTAAAGGCTATCGGAACAGTCCCTATGGCGAACGAAGAATAGGCGGTACGTTCGGCGAACTCGGGAGAGAGGAATGACAAGCTGACTGATGATAGCACTCACGGCAATCAAGGCTCGAGCACCGGTACTGGGAGGGAACTTTGGCGTCTGGGGCGGCTTGTTCTCTAGCTATGACTGCGCCGTCAAGGCCGTTCGGTTCGTCCCTACGTCCAACGTCCTCTCGATATCGACAACGCTAACTTCCCCGTAGACGGAAAGAAGACCCGTGGAATGCAATCATCGCTGGCTTTTTCACCGGCGGCTCGCTGGCGGTCCGTGGTGGACTCCGACAGATGCGAAACGGCGCGATCGGGTGCGCAATCCTCATCGCCGTCATCGAGGGCGTCGGCATCGGCTTCCAGCGAATGATGGCCGACAACACGAGGCTAGAACTCCCCCCTCCGCCTCCCGAGGCCGCGACGGCTGGCAAGGTGCTTGCGTGAGCGACGACGCTCCGATCCTCTGCTTCAGTGTATTCCAAATGCGATTTTCGAGGGGTATATTATTCCCGGGTATGGATTGTTGGGAACAATTCGGCGATTGCATCAGGTTGGCGTTTCGAGACGTTTTGGCATCTCTGCTCTTACGAGTACGCTAGAAAGAAGCGAATCTTCCGTCTTCGTTTCGATTAGCGAGGCCGGTGGTACGTCATGTGTATGATAATTGTCTTGGGGTTGATCGGTGAAAATGACAGCAAATACGTTAAACTGCCAAACCTACCCACTTCTCCGGGTTCATCACGCGAGGTGGAATGGAACTCGCTTCATTTGAACTACATGTGAACCCGCTGATGATAAACTAGACGTGGGGTATATTAGAAACATCGGACCGCCGCGGTCGCGTGTCCTCTCTGATCCACCGAAGCAATAACGAAGTACGAACTCGCTCGCGCAATACAACCACCATCGATACTCGTTTGTTCTCCCTAGTCTCTTCGGACTATCCACACCCTACAATGCCCAACGCTCCGCTCGTCCGTTTTAAAGCATAGGATTGCTATTTGCTGGCATTGGTAGATAACCCTCACTTCGCGGTAGTCAAGGTAGGATTATCCTCCAACGGCCCACTTGTAGCACTCATCCCTTCCTTGGCCGGTTCGGTAGCGGGAGTAGCAGCGGGCGCTGCATCCTTCGCCGGAGCGGCAGGCGTGGCATCCTTCGCCGGAGCGGCAGGCGTGGCATCCTTCGCCGGAGCGGCAGGCGTGGCATCCTTCGCCGGAGCGGCAGGCGTGGCATCCTTCGCCGGAGCGGCAGGCGTGGCATCCTTCGCCGGAGCGGCCGCAGCGGTCGTCAGTGGAGCTGCAGGAGCCGCATCTTTCACCGGCTTGGCCGCAGCGGTCGTCGCCGGTGCATCAACAGCGGGCGCGGCGGCGGGCGCGGGAGCAGGCTTCTCAGCAGCGGCAGGGGTAGCGGCGGTTTCTAGAAAAGCGACGTTAGCAACCGGCTCCTGAAATGGTCACGCGTACGACAGAGGGGACGAAGGGGACGTACTAGCTGGGGCTGCCGCCGGGGCCTTTGCTGGCTCGGTCGCGGCGGCGGCGGGAGCCGCAGCGGGCTCGGGTTTCGCAGGCTCGGCGGAGGGTTCAGCTGGCTTAGGAGCATCGGCAGCAGGCTTCGCAGCATCTGCCGCAGGGGCCGTCGCGGGAGCTGCAGCCGCAGCCGCAGCGGGAGCCGGAGCAGTTGCAGGAGCTGGAGCGGCGGGGGTTGTCGCGGTCGGTTTGGCGTCTGCGGCGGCAGCGGGGGCAGTTGGGGTAGGTTCGGTGGGTTTGGCGGCTTCAGCGACGGGTTTCTTGGACTTCTTCCGGAAGAGGCCCTTGAAGGCGCCCTTCAGCTTGTCGACCGCGTCGAGGGCTGGATGGATGGGTGGTTAGTGGTTTGTTTGATGGGGTTGGTGTGGGCGTAGGGCGTGGGGGGGTGGGTTACGATGGCTTGCGGGTTTGGATCTTGATATGGAAAAGGATAGGTGATGTTTGGGTGTTGTGAATAGGGAGAGCGCGACATCAGGGTTGACTTACGGACACCAGGCATGATTGGGGTTGGGAATCGAAGGGATAAGGATATCACAAGACCACGGCCACGATCGACAGGCTTCCTGTTGATGATAAGTAGCTATCACTCAATCTTAGACCTAGACAATACATACTTTATGATTTCAGGAGAGATGGACGGTGGAAGAAAGTGTGAGATGGAGAAGGATGGACGGATACGGAATTGTTATATGAAGTCGGTGATTTGAAGGAGCTCGGAGTGGCATTCGCTGATCGCTGGGGGCGGCTGGACTTTTGGGGGGAAGGGGGGGTACATTGCCAGAAAGACCCTGCAGTTGCCGGGGGGCGATGAGCGCTAACGGGCCTAAGCTCCCAGCTGGAATTGCGGAGGGCCAACAGCGCCCAACATGTCCCTGAAACGATGATCCTCCGCGGTTAATCGCATGCAGCTATCATCGGGGCTCTGGCGAAGGATCGTGAGGATCGACAGGTTTGCACTTGGCAACGATTGATGTGCTTGGATGGTTTATTCTTCTCCGTTCTCTGCCCTGATTGCTTCTATAACTGAGGTATTTCTGGATCAAACACCAGGGCAACGGGTGTGACGCTCGTTTTACCCCCACGTTACCCGGGAGTTTCATGTATTTTTAGCGCGTCCACAGCAACCAAACTCTCTCATTCCTCTCGCGGTCTGTCGCGGTCTCGTCCATATGGCATGAAGTACCATCTCATCATCATATCGGTCAAGGACGTTATTCAAGCAACCGGTCTTGTTTACAGCTCCTCTGCATTCCCTCGCGTACTTGAACTGAAGACCCCCAAGTGCTGGTGCTGGGCGATCGCCTGATAACCGCAGGCTATGTACGACGATGGGTCTCATGATAGAGATGAGAGTGATCTCAAACACCCACGCCGAGCAACCACCGCGATCAGTCCACATAACAGCTGTCACATCCTCCGTCTAGAACCCTCTTGAAAGTGACTCCCTCTCTCTCCGCTACCTCGCCCACGGAGTCTTCGTTTGCACAAACTCTGTCGGCGGATTCTTCTCCTCGCGAGTACCCGACGATTCCGGCTTGGCCCACGGAGCAGCCGTCGGCGGCGGCAGGCGAGTATTTGCCCTTCCAGTCGCCTCGGAAGCAAGCGCAACAGGCGTCCTTGACGGAGGGGTTGGGCGTCCTTGGCGGAGGCCAATAACTCCCTGCGCAGAGCCGGCCGCCCACGGCGCTTTAGTCGCCTGCGAAGCTTGCTGGGCCGCTGGGATGGATGTTGAGGGTCCACCTCCCGCGGCTGGGTCGGTCGTTTTCGCGATCCCTTGGTGCGCTTGGATGTGGCTGGATGGAGCGGATGCAGCGGCGTGAGGGTCGCGCTCCCAGCGGAACAGCGATCCAAAGCGGAAATGTTGGACTACGGGGAACTTGGAGAGGACTTCGGCGTTGTACATTTTGATCATCCCCTTTATATTCATTAGCCACCAAGTACGGTATGACTAAAGTAGGGGATGCGAGCATACCTTGTTGATTTTCGCCCACCCTGCCGTGACGCCCGACACGTCGTACAGGATCGGGCTATGCTCCCAGAAGGGCCCTCTCTTGACGTCGTAGATGAATCCGATGGCGCTGAAGTACATGTTCTGCTTCCTTTCCCGCTCTACTGCCGGCTTTTTGGCGACATCTGATGCGCTGGGAGCGTCCGGGACAGAGCCTTCAGTGGGGATATCTTCATCGGGGGAGATAGGGGGTGACAGTTGCGCTGACCCAAAGATGTAGGGGACGAAGGAATGATCATCGAGACCCCATACTCCATGTGATCCAGCTGGCTCTAGCGTATATGTGAGGATGAGTTTGCGGATTAACCGCAGATAGCTGTTATTGTCAGTGTCTTGCAGATTCACCAACCCATAGTTACGCGAGGAGACAAGCGTACGGTTCTATAACACCGAGTACAATTCCACGCTCTTCATTGCCACTGTGGGACAGATCAAACCCCCCGAGCTTCCAGATGCAGCCCAGGAACGCCAGAAAGCTGAGCTCGTGACCTGTTCCGTAGTCCAATCGCTGTGCACTGCCAAAGCTTCCAAGCAGGTAGGATTCCAGCTCGGTCCTCGATGATACGGTGCTATCCACCGTATCTGATGGTAGATCTGGACTTGAAGGGAACTCCAGCACATGACTGGGCAAACATCGATCCATGAGTTGCGGTAACCGCTCCTCCACGATCTGATACCATTTTCTGAAACTAACGTTTCCAAACCGTCTCGGCCCAGTATCCGGCGGAACCTCGTCGATAATCTTTACCAGCTCTTGAATCAAATCCCGTATTCCGAGGACCGGTTTTGAGAACGAGACGTGCTCAGCGTCGAGAGCCCATGCGTGATATTTTGATGGTTGATCCTTGTCTTTTCGTGGAAACATGGACGCATTGAGCTGGAGCAAAAACGTCATGATATCCCGGTATGCAAGCGACTGGAGAAACACGGAGACATCCTCGCCTTCGTTGATCTGTTTTGAAGGCGTAACGAAGCTGTGCGGTTCCCCTGATGGGAGCACTGTCAGGCTCCGCCTCGAGTCCATGATGGCACCAGTCTGGGTAAGCGGTTAAGCTAGACCGGCCACTTGATAGGAACTTTATCAATAGCGCAGCGGTTGAACAATGGATGAGGAATCGTCGCTCTGGTTCAATCGTCGTTCATTAGAGATTATAGTAACGCTTCAGATGATGACTTTGATTGACAGTTGGATCCAGTCTGGTCTGGATGTCTGATGGTGGATTGGGCAATGATGCCTCAGGCAATAAGGCTTTAACTATTCTGTTCGCCAGCCAACGGCTTTGTATGCGATTTATATGGATTTAGTTTTGACGCCTCCTTTGGAATCCTTGCAGGACCATCCCACGGCATCGATCGTCATCACTACCGGTACGGTTGATCCACCTCATCCCCGGAACTGGAGACCTTCGATATCAAATCCAAGAATACCCAGAATACCTAACCACTACCAAACTCGCCATATTTTTCTAATAGACCTCGACCGACTCCTCACGCCGCCGAATATCCCTCGCTAGCACCCTCTTTCCGAACCGCATCCGCAGGCCAATAATGCGCCGACAACGTCCACTCCCGCCGCGCAGGTGACCGGCGTTGCAGAACCACTCCGGCTGGCTATATCATTGACTGCGTTCTAGAGCGGTGAAATATCTACTATACGAACGGAATGCGCTCGACGATCTAACCCTCGACTCCGATCCCGATTTTGCGCTATCGACCTATATCGCTCCCACCATGGCGGACCCCTCTTCCCAACTGCTGAGCGAAGTAAGAAACGTACGGGACGATCAGACACCACCGCCGAATCCTGTTGAGGCGCATGTCGCTTCTCCTGGGTCCACGAAATCCGTCCGGTTCGCGGCCGATACGAAGTCGCCCGAGTCTGTGATCGAGTCCGCGACCGAGTCCGCCAACCTCTTGAACGCTGCGCGGTACAAGCGCGGTAAACTAAAACGTCCGACCCGACAGCTGCTCCAGCATCAGAATTCATTGCAGAGCGGTAATGGTAATCAATATGATATCACCACTACACCCGAACCGTCTCCACGAATTCAACCGTCGCGTACTCGACAACAGAAGTCACAGAGCAGGAACAAGCATATTCTTGCGCCGGAAAGTGACGAGAATGTGACCTCTCCAGAACCATTATCCGAAGAACCAGCTGAATCAACGAATTCTACGAAACGAAGAGCCCATCAGTTGGATGAACTGGAGTTTGGCGGCCCGCTCAACGACAGGCCATCGAAGAGGCAGAGAAATGAACCCTCACAATCAGTGTCTAGCTCTGCGAGTGGACAATCTGGCGGCGAGCTGCCACCGGTGGAAGGCGATAGACGATCAAAACGCCAGAGAGACGAATCCCCACAATCAGTGCCTCGATCTACGACTAGACAATCAGGCGGATGGGCTCGGTCTGTGGGTGAGCTCATCGGAGTTGTAGTGCCCGCACTAGGAAAACGGAGAGAATCCTACGTGCTTGGCGAGCAAGATCAAATGAACGGGCACGTGTCTAGCTCTACCAGGTCTAATCAGCCGAAGAGTTCACCAAGAGGAGCGGCTCAAATGAATGGAGTGACACGGAAGCGAACGCGACTAGTATTCGAATCAGAAGACGAAGGCCAAGCACAAGATCCTTCGCTCTTCGTACAAGATGATGAGAGCGGAGATGAAGATGGAGATGACACCAGTAGCGAGGAAGATGAAGGCTCCCTGCTATCCAAGAATCCCATCTACGGACAACGGCCGGAAATTGACCGTGCACTAAAAGACTTTAAAGGCTTTAAGTGCGATACGAGTGTTTGGAGACCGTCCAAGATTGACAATGTCGAATCAATACGATCTTGCGTGAAGCGGATCCGCCGCTCGAACTTTCTGGAAGGGGACGAATATTCCGCCATCTACGCCGTGGTTGAGACAACTGGCGAACTTAAGAATTTCATGAAACCAATACTGCGTATGGCCGAGGGATCTATTAGCCTTCGTGCCGAAATTTTCACCGTCGTCATCCCGGCCCTTCTACAAATGCTCGAACACTTCGTCCGTCACCTTGATCAACCCTTTCAGGACGATCACGACGAGTTTCATCAAGGATCGGACTTCGGATTCACGCCCGAGATCTTGGGCGCGTTGGATCAGTTACTAGGGTTGATCGTCTCGACATATGATGAGGCTTTGCGAATCCTGCCTCGACCCGAGTTCGGATACCGAGGGCCCCTCCGTAACCAGGTGGTTGCCAAATTACGACGCGTTCATACATTTCTTCACAAGATGATTCGAAACCAGCATCCGGAACGGCTGGTTGTTGCGAATGGTCATGAGCTCGTCCGTTCCAGAGCCCGAGGTCCAGGGAGTAACTCCAGCCTTGTTATCGAAGAAGAAGATGATGACGATGAAGAGGAGGAGAGGGGGGAGGCGCAAGCTGAGCAAACGAGGCAACAACTTGAAATTGAGCGGGAGAAGCGTGAACTGTGCCGCAAGGAGGTTCGTCTCTATGAACTTTTCGTGGAGCGAAACAAGCACGAACCGGAGCCTCCCCGGAAACGCGGGAAACAGGAGGAAGACGACAAGCTGTGCCGTGACATCAGCTGGGAAAAAATGATCCTTGGCACGACTGCTGTCAAACCCCGAGAGTCCTCGATGGGTACGGATGCCAATGGTGAACGATTCGAGAGGGTGTCGGTATTCGAGCACCCGACAAATACGTACCAGAGGACACTCGAATGGACATTGGGGCAGAAACTGGCTTTGATCACCGAACTTCAGAGGTGTGTCCACTTGTATCAAACCAACGGTATGTTCCCGGCTTCCAATGCAATACTACTAGATATTCGTTTAATTCGCTCCCTAGCCGAAACCGAAAGTGAAAAGGACGAGTTCCGGGCACAACTCTGGCCTCATCTATTTCAACAATTATGCCATGCAAGACCGAAATCTGCGAGAAATGGGCCGCCCACTGGAGAGGACGGTGCGCTACGTGATTTGAAAGCAGATGAGATACTTGCAGGCGGACGGTTTGTTCAGCGGGGTTGGCTGCAGGTTCGGAGAGACGACCCCGAGGGTTATCGAGCCATTTTCGGAAAGGTTGATCTAGAGGATGATCTGATCGAGACATTGCCGGATATGGACTTGCTGGCTGATAACTGGGAGGAGAAGATGCTTGATTAAGTGATTCGTGATCACCGTTACACTGCTTCACGGACCCTGAAATCAGGGCAATCGTGCTACCTCGGAATTGATTCCACGAGACATCCGTACATGATATAATGACTACTACCTACACGAACAAATTCCAAATAGCCACGACCGACAATATGAGTATGTACCGAATGATGTTCCATGAATCTTTTTAGTGCATGCGGAGTAGAGGTACTGTGTGGGGTCAGAGTAATGAGTAATGAAGTAATCCGGTCAAATCGTGCACAGGCCCCAACAACCACGAGACGCGTCAAACCGACTCTAGATCTTAGATGATCAATATCTTCATCAATTTTAATGATGGAACGCTCAATTTTGGGTGAAATTAGCGGGAATCGGCGTAAGGATGCAAATCTTACGCCAGAACAGCGATCTGCAATCATTGGAATGGTCGACGCGGGCCTAATGTCTAAACGAGCGATTGCGCGCGAGGTCGGATGCTCGCCCTCAACCATCGACTACACAATTGAGAAGTTCGGTACGCAACGAACGTTCAAGTCTCTCCCAAAAGGACACCGACCAAGATGATCACGGAACCTGACTTCCGTTATCTTCAACAACAAATAAAAAAACCCGAAGGTCACGCACAACGAGCTGGCGCGGTCCCTCACATGCGACCAAGGCACCCCGTCCAAGTCGACCGTCAAACGCGCGCTCCGGGGGTCCAAATACTACCGCAAATGGCGTATGCGTAAGAAGATCCAATTAACGGAAGAGGGAGCCCGTAAATGGCTCGAATTCGCAAGGTACTGGCTTCCTAAAATCGAGCAATTGATGGTTAGTCTAACTGTGCTATAGCCCCGCGTTGCCCCGCTAATCGCTCATCGTATAGGACGTCGAGTTTTCCGATGAATCAAGCGTCCAGAATCGGCCGCACCGCCTATGTTGGGTCTTTTGCCTTCCGGAGGACCATTTCAAGAAAGACACAGTCCATAACGGCGAACATGTGAAGGCTGAGATATCGATAATGGTCTGAGGTTGTATATCGAGGCGTGGTAAGAGCGAGTTGATCATTATGGAGCGAGATGAGGAGGCTGTAAAAGGCGGATTTACGTCAAAGTCGTATATACAGGCTCTCGAAGAGGGACTCCTACCGTTCCATACGCTAGAGAAGCTATTCATGCAAGATAACGCGCGAATTCATACCTCAAAGTTGTCGACTAGGTGGTTCCAAGACCATCAGATTGCTTGCATCGATTGGCCACCTTATAGCCCAGACCTGAATCCAATTGAGCACATTTGGAAGCAGATGAAAGGTTATTTACACCAAAAATACCCAGATTTTGGTAGTCTAAAGAATAACCAGGTTGATAGGATCAAGATGATGCGCGCAATAATAGAGGCCTGGAATTCCATCGGCCAAGACAAGGTAAACGCGCTAATTGAGAGTTTACCGCGTCGTCTGCAGGCTGTACCTGAGGCAAAGGGCTGGTATACTAAATATTAGCCTGTTCTTTCCATCTATGATGTTTTTAGAGCGGTTAGCCTTTGTGATAGTAATGTATCGATTGATTTATATTGGTGATGCATTTTGTGGTGGAGTGAAAAACAGGGGTTTGACCGGATTACTCGGACCCCTCACAGTAGCTCGCGGTGCGCAGAGTACCCGAGGAGTCCATTGTGGAGCCCCACGAAGCTTATCAATTGATCGTGGGGAAATATATCACCACATCTGTGGAGTAATAAAGCCGCGCACGAAGCACAACATCTTCCTGTTTGTAAATCATATACAAGTAATACAGTAAATTCGATTCCAATATGGATTGGAGAGCGCTCGCAAAGCAAAAGCGCGAATCAACCATCGCCCAGATTCCTAAAGAATGGGTGCTCCCCACCATTCCCCCCCCCGCAGAACAACGGGATATATCTGGCGTGTGGATGCACCAATATCTGACACCGGAAGAAATCGAAATCACCTCGAGCGATGCCGAGAAGGTCGTGGAATTGGCGTCTGCGGGACGGTGGAAGGCGGTCGATATCGCAAGCGCGTTCTGTCATCGAGCCGCGATTGCGCATCAAGTGGTGAGGCGAGATTTTCTGCTCTCCTGCATATTGTAGACGTTTAGGATTACTGATTACACGTCAAGCTTAACTGCCTCCATGAGTTCTTCCCCCAGCAAGCCCTCGAGGCGGCTCGCGCCCTCGATGAGCATCTTACCTCGACCGGGAAACCAAAGGGAGTCTTACATGGTCTACCAGTCAGTCTCAAGGACCAATTCCACGTTAAAGGGGTTGAGACGACGATGGGATATCTCGGCTGGATCGGGACGTTCGAAGGGAAGAAAGGCACGGGAAAAGAGCGCGTGCACGAAAGCCTCATGGTGAAAGATCTGAAGGATCTAGGCGCGGTCTTGTACTGCAAGACTGCGGTTCCTTCTACTCTTATGTCTGGCGAGACCGTCAATAACATTATCGATTACTGCTGGAACTCGGCGAACCGAAACCTGAGTTCTGGCGGTAGCTCAGGGGGTGAAGGCGCGCTCATCGGCGCGGGTGGGAGCGTCGTTGGGTTCGGCACTGATATCGGCGGCAGTATCCGAATCCCGGCGGCGTTCAATGGCCTATATGGGTTGCGGCCGAGCTCGGGGAGACTTCCCTATGAAGGGATGGCGAACAGCATGGATGGGCAGAACAGCATCCTGAGCGTGGTTGGCCCGCTGTCTTCAACCCCTGGAGGCTTGAAATTGGTGACAAAGGCGTTGTTGGGGATGCAGCCGTGGAGTTACGATCCCATGGTTGTGGAACTGCCGTGGAGAGAGGAAGTGGGAGAGCAAGTGTCTCGACGCGCCACAGAGGATGGGGGTCTCACCTTCGCGATTTTTTGGGACGATGGAGAAATCAGACCTTACCCATCAGTGCGTAGGGCTCTTGAGAAGGTGAAAGCGGAGATTGAAAAGAAGGGCCATCAAGTAAGTCGGAGATGTTCTTACCTTTTCTACCGCCATGGTTTTGGCATTGTATTTTAGTGCCTTTCAACTGACGGGATATGGTAGGTCATTGAATGGAGTCCACCCAAATCTATCGGGGCGATAAGTGACATAGCGGTAAGCCCAAATCCATCGACAACCCCTCTTCACAGCTAATCAGATGCCAGATGGGAGTATTCATGTCAGATGGCGGAGTGGATGCCTACAATGCTTTCGCACTGGCCCACGAGGAACCGGCCCCCCAACTTGCCCCAATCGTCCCAACCACCCCCCGAACGCAGGCGACCGCCTCCGAGGTTGCAGCTATGAACGTCACAATTCGGGAGTTGCGCAAGGAGCTCATGGATTACTGGAACAGCACCGTGTCGCTCACGAAGAACGGACGGCCCATCGACGCCATCATCAGTCCCGTGTCTCCGTATCCTGCGGCGCGGAGAGAGATGTACACGCATTACGCGTACACGTCGTGGGTCAACGCCCTGGATTGGACCACCGTCGTCATCCCGGTGCTGAGAACAGATAAGGCGGTGGATGTGGTCGATCCTTCATTCACTCCGCGCAGCGAGGCGGAGAAGTTGGAATTCGAAAATTGTAAGTGACCACTCCGCTCCCGTATAGCTCCCATGGCTAACGCAGCCCTTCCCTAGACGACCTGGATATGTATGACGGGGCGAAGGTTGGGGTTCAGTTGGTTGGACGCCGTCTGCAGGAGGAGAAGATGATCGAAATCGCAGCGCAGGTGTCGCGTTGGGTGAAGTCGGCCTCGGAATGAAACTGTAGATCGCTCATGTCCTCGCTCCATCCAATATCAAAGTCAGCCCGTCATTCAATCGGGAAATACCAGGACGACTGGGCTGCCACGTAGATGCTGGAGTTTGAAGCAGCTGCGTGATCGAAGCGAAGGAGATGCATCGTTGTCAAAGCTCCTTGCAGCCGCTAGCTGCTTTGGGGTTCGGCGGTATCTTCAGCTGCTTCCACTCGACGACGACAGGGAACCTGTTCTCAGTTTCTGACATCTCATGGCCACCTCCGCTTGAGGCTTGAATTCGATATTTTACCTCCAATGCAAACTTGTATAAGCGGCAGATCTTGCTTGTCTTATCATCACCGACCATGCAGTCACAGACCATTCAAGCGGTCTAGACACTGGACATTCAAGAGCAAGCAAGAAATCGGACGACGCAGCGATTGCCGGAGCCCTACACGTTCTTTCGACTTGCATACCTTCTTCAGCCCCGTTAATGATGTAGACCTGCAGGTTCACTGCTATGCGCCATCGATGTTTATCGCAATGCGTATGAGGCTGACTTCGATCGGTCTGGATTCGTCAGAGCCAGCCCATTCAGGCCTTGGCTCTGAAACTTGCTCTGCTGCATTCGGTTGTATGGCATGCTTGCGTGCCAGGACGACTACAAGTGCCGGGAGTCGAATTCTATAGGACAATCCAAATCAACCCCGATATCTTTATTGGCTGTGGCTACCAAAAGACGCATCATGCGATATGGTGATAGCGATTTCTGATCTGCATGAAGGAGATCTTGAATGAGGACAGGTAGGTCGATGCAGCTCTCGACATTATCAGCTTGCGATTTCATAAATTCCCTCAATGTATCCGACATTATGGCTGGTCCTTCTGTTTTCCTGAGTCTTTCCCCCAACTCGAATCAAGTCCTCTGTTGTCTTTCGCATGATGCGAGCATTTTTGTGCCCTTGGGCGCTTGCCCTCCTATTTGCAGCCGTGAATGGCGAGCAACTTCAAGAGCGCGGAAACGATGAGCACGGTCGAGGAGTTGGATCGCAAGGCTGGGGCCATCATGGACCGTACTTTCAAACCAAATCTTGGGACGAACCACATAAGGTGGTGACTCTTGAAACGACCACGATTGTAACGACGGACTGTACGACTGAGACATCAAGCAGTGGCTTTAATCCCTCAAGTACCATTCCCCATCCCCCTCCGCCGCCGTCCCCGACGTCTTCTGTGGCCACTTCGACATATACACCAGCCCCCCCTGGAAGCCCTTCGCAACCGTCTCCGCCTTGCACGACGATCGTATCATCCTGTGCTTATATTATCAAGACTTCAACTATATACAGCACCTTGCTTAAGCCCCCGCCTACTTCGGCATGTCCACCACCTAGAACCAGTACCACGACCGTTCAAAATCCATGCTCTTCAATGTCGGGCGTCTGTTCCACCATCACTCATAAACCTCCCCCATTGGTGTCTACTACTACCCTTACAACGGGGTCGCCACTATGCGGCGGTGGAACATCATATTTTACCTCCGTGTTTTACGGCAATATCACGCAAAACGTCGTCTCGACGGTTACGGAGACTAGCATATCTACTTCGATCTCGACAGCATTGCAGCGGTCAACCGTCACTACAACGGCTCCTGGCGAGACAGTAACTTCTACGACTACAACAGCTGTATATCCAAGTTCTTGTCCAGCGGACCTCACAGTAACCACGTCGGTTACTATCCCAACGACGACAACAGCGACGGTCACCCTCCCTCCAAGCACTTCTACACTAACGCAAACAATGACCTCCGTTTCGGTGTCCATAAGCATCTTTCCGGTACCTTACACCGTATATGTCGAAGTATTCCCAAAGACGAGGACCCTCACGTCTACCATATTTAGTGGTTCTTCCTGTGCTAGCGGGCGGCCTTCTACAACACTAACATCTACCATTTTCTCAACAACGACGAGCACCAGTGTTGTTCCAGGCCCGCCAGTGTTCTTCGTTGTTACCGTCACAGAGCTCCGACTATCCACATCCGTCTTGACTACGACCATAGGAACGGGATCCCCTGTCCGGATAACGGAGACTGTTTCGACTACAATCCGTCCTTCGACATGCCCCCCTGAAACTGTCTCCACAACCACTACCCTGAGCACAATCACCTCCACCATACAGGCATCCAGTTGCGTTCCAAGTTCAGGAGATGGCTCAATCCCCGTAAGCTGTTCCGGCTCAACTTCAACAATTTATCCAAGCAGCTGCCCTTCCAACCCCATCGATCCATCGGGTGCTTCGACGATTACCAAAACCGTCTTCCCAAGCGCATGCGGGCCAAGTGGCTGCATTACATCGACAATCACCAGCACCCTTACCGTCACCCCCAGTGTCTCTGTAGTCCCGCAAGACAGCGGCGAGCCGATCCTGTGCAGGCCTGTGGAGCCATCCGATAGAACTGCTTTGCTCGTTCTGACGATCTTGTTTGGTGTGCTCTTGCTTCTGGCATTGCTAGCCTTAGCGGCAGCTCTTTGGAGCCGAAGGATACAGAAGAAGAAGCGAAGGGTGTGTGAGGCTTGCGGTCAGACGGACGATAGATGTACTTGTCAGAGGATTCCGCAGATGGGGGCGGCACCAATGGGGGAAACAGGGTGATCAACGAGTTAGGAGGTCATAATGATTGTAATGTAAAGCCGAGATGTGCCAAATATCACAATGGTAATAATTTTATATGAGATCTATGCTTAAGTACAATATCACAAAGGTTCCATTCAGGGGAGTGGTCAGGGGTACTATGATGTCATTGTCTTCTAGTGAAGAACCTGGAATGAGATCGGACAGACAACAAATCCGGCCTGTGGGATTGCATCATTTCAATAACAATATAAAAGTAGCATCTGCTACGAGTAAAACTAAGAAATTTGGTACTTTTGATATTGGTGCATCAAAGAGCTTGTCGCCTCCTGTGGTAAATCCAACTTGGTCGTCACTACCAACGATTCTTGAAATCCCAGCACCGGGACGCCGATCTCAACATCACACGAAAAGTCAGGATAGATAATTACTTCATCGCGAAGATCCCCGCGCTGATCTCTGTCCTCCTTTGTAGAGATTTATTACTCTTCAACCTCCCGTTATATCGTTATTTCAAGCCACTCTCTCTCGTGTCTTGGCTGCCACCTGCTGTGCCACGCCGATCTCATCAATCGTACCACAATGGCCGAGACCCAGCTGCCAACCCGCTCAACGACCATGAGCACCGACGACGATGCCGTTCCAGGCGAAGATACCAGCGAAGTATGGCCAACACTCTCAATCCCGGGGAACCGTGATTAGGTCTCTGGCTCACGAGACGTCTCCAGGTTACCAAGCTATTCCACGAGCGTCTCCAAGCATGGAAGCATGCATGCGGCTACCTCGAAGACTACATCACCGCGACGGAGAGGATGCATCACTCCCAAAGTAAAGAATATGAGAAGGTGCTGAAGTCAGTCTCACACCCGTTAAAAGAAGGCCATCACTTCGATCAAAGTCTGGGAGGTATTGCTGGCATGTTCGACAACATCCGATCGAATACGCAGGGTCTCGCAAACTCCCACCAGGAGACTTCGAAAGTGCTTAAAGGCTCAATCCTCCCGATCTTTGAGCGATTGCATACCGAGGTAAAGAATAAGACCAAGGAGCTCATAAAAGGAGCTGGGAAAGGCGGCAAGGCGGTCGACAAGGCACGCGCGATTACACAGAGGCACATCGAACTCTTAGGGCAACATACCGCGGCTTTCGATAGCACTGGCGGGAAGGTCGCTTCAAACGAAGATCCGTATGTGCTGCAACGAGGTGTTTTCCACCGCCTAAACAAACAGGTCGTGGAAGAGAACAACAATCGCAACGACCTGATCGCGGTTCAAGACAGCTTCGCCCACTTCGAAGCACACATCCTCAAAACGATGCAGGAAGGACTGGGTCAGTTTATGCAGGTCATGAGCAAGCAATGCGACCTCGACAAGAACATATACGGCGACATGGTCTCTACCGCTCAGCGTATCCCACTGGACTTCGAATGGCAAGGTTTCATTGCTCGGAATACCGGCGTACTTATCGACCCCCACCAACCTCTTCGTTCCGTTCAGTCCATCAATTTCCCGAATCAGAGCCACCGCGCGACGCAACCCCTCATCGCCGGATCATTGGAGCGCCGAGGCAAGATTCTCAAGAAGTACGAGTCGGCCTACTACGTCATCACCCCCTCCAAATATCTCCATGAATTCAAGACAGATGACGACTTCGGCAAGGAGCCCACCCCCGAGCTCTCCCTCTACATACCCGATTGCGCGGTGGGCGCCATTTCCGGCCAGAAATTCGCCGTCAAGGGCAAGGACGTCAGTAAAGGCAAAATCGGCAATTCATTCTCTATCAGCCACGAGATACAGCTCCGGGCACACACATCGACAGATGCGGAGCAGTGGTGGAATATCCTGCGAAATGCGGCGGGCATGAAGACCGATGAAGTGCCGGAGAGTCTGCCGAATAGCCCGGTTGTTGCGAGGACGAGTGAAACCACCAGCCCCACGAGCCCTACGAGTATAGGACCGGTTGAGTCAGGCGTGCTGAGAAGTCCTGTTGCAGACGAAAAGGAGAATGTAGTCGAGCCAAGCGCGGCTGCAGGTGCAGCTTCGGAGACAGTGAAGCCAGCAACTCGGTCAAATACAGGTATGGACAAGGTGTAAATGGAATCATGATCAGTTTGAGAGTGAGGAAGCGAGAATTGGATCATTTGCAAATGGGTTTCTTTACAGGGTGCGAGAAGTTGATACCAAGTCGGTTCTTTCCTTTTCATTTTCAAGATACCTGCGTCCAATTGATGCGCGATGAGTACATGGCCGATAACGCATTTTGTCCTGTCAATTCAGATTTTGGACGGATCCTCCTCTAATTGAATTTCCTTTGGATGAATTCTCTCGAATCAAACGCTTGGTATACATGCAGATATGGAATCTACTATGCCCAACGATCTCAAAGTTGAATATCGCATTTGGGAGACATTGTATCTCCATTTTCGACACCACGGTAACCAAAGATAATCATACCCATACTGTACGGTATGGACGCCATAGAAATCACGGTATATTCTTTGAAGAAGGAATTGCGCGAAGTCATCAAAGCCACAAGGCTGAAGGAACGACCACTTTTAATGGCGAAAGCAATCGTGACCAGGAAACTGTTTACCTTCCTTTCGTCTGACAGCAGAGCAACAGACTTCCGCTGAAAACATCCCTTTACTTTGTCCATTAAGTCGTCATATGCGCGTCCCTTTTGACCTCTAAATCGTCTATTATGTCTTCACAAGCGCGTCCCGTTTGCCTATTTTCAATCTTGTCAATGAACCATGGCGTGCCGACTTAAGGGAAAAGTGGCCACCATTACCGGATCATATTCAGGCCTTGGGCGAGCAATTGTGCTTGCATACGCGGCTGAAGGCGCTGCAATCTTCTGTATGGACCTCTACCCCAACCCTCGCTCGACATTCCACCAATCCCCAGACCGGTAAAGCCGACTCGATCCATAACCGCACACTCGAGCCGACTACGCTCGAGGAGCTCTGCAGGCTTTATCCAGGAAGGGAGCATATGTTTGTCAAGGTGGATGTGACCAAAGCCAACGACATGCGCAACGGCATCGCGCTTTGTGTGAAGAAGTTAGGATGACTGGATATCCTGGTGAACTGTGCCGGTATCTACGTCGAGAGCACTCACAGCCGGCCATAGAGGATCCACGAGACGAGTGAGCAGGACTTTCGATGATACGATGGTGACGAACGCGAAAAGAGTCTTTTTGGGATGCAAATATGCTATCAGGCAGATGGTGCTTCAAAAGCCTTTGCCGGACAGTGATGGGACTTGGATGGATTATCAACGTGGCGGATGTCCAAGGGACTGTGACTTACTATTCAACTCGTACGTTTTGCCCCAGATGCCATCTGGTTGTAGATCCTTTGGGTGTCTTCTGTGGATTGTCAACGCGGAAGTGTACTCGGCAGGTCAGCGACCGCGGAGATAATCTGCTGGACATTGCCAATCGCTTTGGAACCATGGACATGGGACTTCGTTAACGTTTATTAGCCTCCTACTGCGCCTCGAAAGGTGCCGTTATCCAATTGACTCGGCAAATTGCTCTGAATTATGCGGGATCGAAAATCCATTCCAACTGCCTTTGTCCTGGGTGTAAGTGTTCACTCACCACTTGATTGGATGACAGTAGAACTGACCGAACTCCTTTCACAGTCCTCATAACCGCTATGACGCAGCACGTACAAAGTGACCCTTTAGAAGCTGCGCAAATGTCGAAGGACCACCCGCTCCGTGGACTGGGCAAGCCGGAAAACGTTGCCAGAGCTGCCGTGTTCTTGGCCAGCGAGGATGTGCGATGGATGACAGGTCCCGTGCTGCCTGTTGATGGTGGATATACTTGTCATTAGAATTGGCAGGTCTGAAATGTTTGGGAATGGCAGACTCAAATATGAAAATTAATATAATCCAAGGAAGATTAGAGACGGCAGATGGGGCCGGCTTTTCTGTCGCCCATTCTTCATTATGGGTGCGACACACCATTCACTACCCCGAATTAAGAAATAACTGTATTATTTAAGGTTTACCCACTATATTCATCTATTTGCAGGCTAGGGGTGACTTCGGAAACTGAAACCGAAAATTAATATATACAAACTCAGGAACAGGGCAACCTGGCCCTAACCATCCGCGGCAGCCAAAAATGGCAGAAACGCAGGATTGGTCGATTTCAGCGGCTTAAATGCCCAAAATATCCGTTTTCATGAATATCTAGCTTAAATAGGTGGCGGCAATATTCTCGGTAGTTAGTGCCGCTCCTGGGGCGTGGTCACAAGTGGAGGCCATGTCTGAGTCTATAAGATCGCTGGAGTCGTGTTCCAGACTGAAGCCAGTTCTCCAGTAAGTTCTTCGAAGTTGTTTGAGTAGAAACAATCAGTTACGATGGCGTCATCATTGAGAATCCTTTTCTCCTTTGTCGTGGCACTGTTCGTCACCAGTGCATTTGCCCAGCTGGACCAGCAAACATACGATGAGATGGCCTATTTGGCCAAACATGCGTCTGCCGCCTATAAAGAGGATTGCCGGAGTCCGGTGGGAACAACAAAACTTGCGCAGTACGAAAATGGCGCTAAAGGGTATATCGCCGTGGATCAACAGAGGAAATGGATCATAGTGCGTTTTGAAGAACTTTGATGGAAGGAACTGCGTGAACTGAACATTGATAGGTGGCATTCCGAGGAACAAATGGTGCGCAAGACTTGATAACCGATTTGGACAACGCTCTCGTTCCGTATACAGTCCAGGGCTCCAAAGGCTGTCAAGGCTGCAAGGTATGCTACAACCAATCAGTATATATCATTGTTTCAAAACGAATAATACTTACAATGCCTTCAGGTCCATTCCGGCTTCCAGAAAGCATGGGCCAAGAATGTCAATGCGGTCATAAGTGATCTCAAGATCGTGAAAAAGGAATATCCAGAGCATCGCATCATGATCACTGGCCATAGTCTCGGCGGAGGATTGAGCGGTGAGCACATGTGCCGACCACCTACGTTCCGGGGCGATGCTAATGCAGTTTCAAACTAGCCCTCTGCGGTATTACCATCGCCCAAGAATTTGGCATTGGGAAAGTCACCGCGTACGGCTTTGCGGCCCCTCGCGTGGGCGACAAGAACTTCGCGGCACACCAGGAGGCCGCATTCCCGGGTAAAACGTTCCATCGTGTCACATCCATGGACGACGGCGTCCCTCAGGATCTGAAGGTCTCCGAGGGGTACTACCATGGAGGGACTGAGTATTGGATTCAGAAGGAGCCGAATCCGAGTATCAATGACATCAAAGTCTGCAACGGGTCCGAGGATCCGACATGCAATGCGAAGGCGGCGGCAAATGTCCGCATTCCTATGGGAATCAACCAGGTCAGTGGATCCAAGTGTCTGACCGCTCTTTGCCCATCCAATTGCTGATGGTGACACCAGGCTCACTTCACATACTTCGTTCAAATGGGTTCTTCAACGCAGTGCTAGAATCTTCCCGATGTTGCGTTGGCGATGGTCCTAGTCAAGTCGAAGGACATCATGCATCATACCATGAGCGTAATCTTGCTGGAATTAAACCTGTTAATCTCAATCTTCGGTTAGAATACATGAGTGTTACTATGCAGGACAAACCGTCTGACAAGACCTATGCTCCTCGTATTGGTCCGTTCACCGCCCCGGAGGTTTCCCAGAAATGGCATAAGAATTGCGAAACGACTGACTGTGGGTTGTAGAGATGATGCGGACTTGGAAAAGGATATTCATGTAGGAGTAGAACTAGCAAGGACAAGGCAGAGAATGCGACAAGTGCATCCATGTTGCGGGCCAAACAGGGTTCAGGCACAAATAATGGAACAATGCGCTGATGATTCGGTCCCAGTAGTAACCACGGATATACAAGGGGTAGACTTGAGAAATGCAGCCAGGTGGTAGGATTCCAGTGGCTTGATGGGGCTGAAACAAAAGGCTGTCCACCCGTAACCCAACAAACCGGCTCGACGATCATGCCTGACACAACATCCCCCAACGCCGTGGTTTTGGAATACCGGTGTACCGGCACATGTGTGACAGAAGTCCAGTTTTCTTCTTCTTTTCCACCGGCGTCATAAATGCGCCAGTTGATCGATCTACTTTGAAAGTTGAGGGGATGGATGTTTGGATATTTCGGAATAGGAACCGGGGTAGAGACCGAGGACGAGGGTAAATGGCATAAGTCGAAGCCATGGGCTGATTTGAGGTCAGGTCACTATTTCAAATGTGAAATTTACCAACATGGATCGTCGCAGTAGGAGCTGGTCCAACATACTAGGCTTACTAGCAGACGGGCAGGTTCCCCTATACCTTTTCCAGGGTTTTATCCAGTGCAGGGACGACTTTTGAAGGACCAGGTGGAATTCGTCAACGCAAGTCGCAGGGAATTGCGAAGCGAGCTGCAAGATTATGCACAAGCTTTGCTTCTAGGATTTCGAAGCCTGTTGAAACTCGGAAGAGAACTTGTGCTTTCGCCCTGATCGGAGGCATTAGCTTCGTGGCCAGGACCCGGGGTTGATTAAATTAGAGAATCTTCGACGCCCATGGGTGGCAATGGGCGTGGATGTTAGCAGGGAAGATGGAAAATATGAGAACCCAGGATAAGAATTGGGAAGGATCCAAGGACGGGTTGCAAGCAAAGAGCGGTTAACATGTGGAGATTGTCCCAGGTTCTTGCCTCTTGGTGATGGGGTGTGATCAGCTGGGTTACGGCCTTACCGGCATGAACTATGAAGGGCAGGTCTGCGGGGATTAGGGTTAGGAAACTGCGTTCATGCGCCATGTTCGGTTTGTTGTGCTGTCGTTTTTTGATCGTAATGCGGGTATCTGCAAGAATCCCTAATTTGCAATCCGACAGGATGCTGCTAGTTCCATGCCGCTTTGGTCCGCCCCGGATGGCTCGTAGCAAAGGCCATCGAATTTAGACAAGGGGTCGAAGGAGGACAAAGGGGACATGGAATCGTGATGGAAAAGAGACCAGGTGCGAGTAAGGTGTATCCTGTAGGAACAAGGTTGTTGAAAAACGAATTCTCGGGGTAAGCGGTTCGATCCGCGCAATGGGACGCCTGACCCACCGTATATTTAGTGGGTTTGGCTAGCCCTCTAGCAGGACCCGAGTACCTGTATCCCGGGTCCTGGAATCCCCACTGACAGCTGGACTCCACTGGGCACTGTGTCCTTGACTGCCGACTGGTGTCATTCTGTTGAGTGTGCACTTCAAATTCGCGACTGAGTATGTGACACCCGACATGTCGAATCCCCTTAGTAAGGCAGGGTAAATTCCTCTGTGAGGTGCAACCATCCCGAAGAATGAGTTCGTCTGTTTTGTGACGCCTCATGCCAGCCCTGGTAGACTCTAGGTCGGTACAGGCGCCACTGCGGCGAGTCACGGGTTTTCAAATCTGACCCCTCGTCTTCCCATCTAGAATCCTGGCTTCTGCACTTCTGCAGAACTCGAGGGAGAGATTTGGACCCTTGAAGATTGGCACCGGGTGGACGGAGTGACACACTCCCGTTACAGTACGACGGCTCAATCCTACCTACCCACCGTTGGATAAAATAGGGAAGCCTTACGATTGCCTGCTTATGAAATGGTAAATAAAGGTCGGAGCTGATTCTGGAGCCTTGGAAATGTCGTCCTCATAGATGAGGATCCGGCAAATGATGCAGAATACGGAGTAGAATCACCAGTTGCAACCCCTATCGTGTGAAATACAAGAATGATTCTTGCAGCTGTCAAACTATATCTATGTACTTGCTATCCTACAAACACCGTGCTAACAATGCCTGAAAAAAGGGAAAAACAGTCAAAGAAACTTGTATGCCCAAAGGAACAAAATGCTAAAGGAGACCTAACGCCCAAGAAAATCGCTATGTCGCCATCCTTCCTGCGATATGGAATGTCTCCCCTATCGCTTTAATCCAATTGCCTTTGAGAACCGATGGGATGAACGCTCGCTTTGCTTCTTGGACTTGAACGCGGGATGCTGGTCCTCCATGTGGTATGGTGGGAGGGTCGCCTTATTGTAGGCTGGGAGGGGTTCCGTCTCGTCGTGGACCGTGGTGTTATCAGTGATCGAATCGAATTCAACCACGCCGTATTGTAGATCTTCTTGAGCTTTCAAGACCCGCTTCTTTTCCCTGCGTTCGTGGACCTTCTCGGCGGTGAAATAGATGGCGGCACCAACAACTAGGACGACAGAGGCCATTGGAGCGAGAGGACAAAAATTGGAAGGGCTTCGAGAGGTGTGGGTGAGTTGATGAAAGGACGGATGTTGTCTTGGTGGAGGTTGCGGGACTGAAGAATAGGGTAGAAGGTATGATTGAATACTTTGTGTCTGAGGCTTTGTGAATGATTATAGTAGAATGAATTCCGAAAGCGAGGATAGATGGGAGAATTTATAACTACTCGCCTGCAGCAATCCATTGAGTCTGTTAACATCTATCATCTTGCATCCAAGTCATTAGCTTTGGGGCAGTGTATCTGATTTGAGTTTTCTTTGTTGTCTTCATTGGGCTGAGCACTCACAAGTCTTGATGCATGAAACGTCATCGTCAGTTCGGCCAACACAGCAACTCTACTGGATATTACTACTGTAAGTGGTAAGTCATTAATCGCCCTAGCCAGCGTGAAAAACGACGATATACCCATGCCCGTCCAATTATAACAATACTTTCCGAAATCGAATGTACGATACTCCGCCCCCCGGTCAGTGTAGAATATACGCCCCCGGTCAACGGGAATACGCCCCTTGTCAATATAAGCACTTAGCGAATACGCCCCTGGTCAGTATTAAAGATCCTCCCAACGACCACAAAGCAGTGGAAGAAGCTGTGAAGCGGTCAATTGCTACTGACAATGAGGCTATAACTAAGACTAAGATAAGTAACTAGGGACAAGCTTCACGATAGAAGCAAGAGCATAGAAAGAAAACAGCATCGCCAAGTACCTTAGTGTCAATCCTTTCGCGTCTTCCAACACATTTACAGCGCTATCAGAACCGTTGGAATGATCTTCATCATTATTATTGCTAACAAATAACAGGCCGCTCACCTTCTTTACCTGCTTCTTCAAGCATGCACCGTCTCCTGCTCCCTACCTTCGGAACGGTGAACTCTCGTCCGTGTCACCTTCTTCCCACGGAGTACGCCGAGTTAAATGAGGTCGGACAGCATTACGAATTGGCGTATCTCCGTATCTGTTCTTCTTGGCCCCCAAGTATAAACTATCTCGCACTGACGGGAGAGGCATAACTACCCACGGATGACTTTGAGTGATTATCCGAATACGTCACAATGAATTAATTCCTAGCTTTGTTATCCCGGCCAAGAGCTTCAACATAGCCTTCCATGGCGTACTGTAGGGCTATAATATGGCTTTGCATTGAGTCTAGCATTGATCTGCGAACTTGGCGTGTCACTATTCACTTGGCAGAGGGAAGGCAGGGACCGAAAAATTGAGATTAAGGCAGTGCTGATATACTCTTCATTATATAAACCACCGATTCTGCTGTCATTGCCCCGGCAAATACATCGTTCAAACCATCCAGTTTACATTGATACCATATCTTTGCCCAACATGCTTGCCCCAGCCTTCTTGCTCCTTTTTCAGACTATTTCAGCGTCGAGCATCCATTACTCTAGAGGAAACCATGGATCCTCCAAACGAACCAATGGATTCTGCAAACAATTGGATATCCCAGTGACTGCTACTTCAGAGAGCGCGATCTATGATGTACCCAGGGTGGACAATGACATCGAAGCGGCCGCCTGGGCAATCTATTCCGATACTTGGAGCACTCCAGACGGAGTAGAGAGGATCATCAAGAACACCACAACTTCTGGTACTTTCAATATCCATGCTCAACTGTGTGTCCCCAAGACTTCAGGAGAGAAAAAAGACATCCTGCAAATTGCCACCCACGGCGCGCATTACGACGGAAGATATTGGGATCCGGAACTCGATCGAGAGAAGCAGTCTTATGTTGAAGCATCAATCAGAGCAGGATACTCCATCCTCACATACGATCGTTTGGGAACTGGTCAATCCGATCATCCTGACGCATACGACGTGGTTCAAGCGCCGCTGGAACTGGAGATCCTCCGACAGTTGACCTTGATGGCGCGCGATGGCTCCCTCTCTAGCTTCGCAGAGAAAGCCAAACCTTCCGATGAGGCATTCCAAAAGTTACCAAAGCCAAGCAAGGTCGTACATGTCGGTCACAGTTTCGGATCCTTCATCACCTCTGCCTTCATTGCCAAGTATAGCAACCTGACCGACGGCGCCATCATCACTGGCTTCCTTCTGGGCCCATATCTAGGCAAGCCGGGTATGGCGTCATGGGCCGCCGAGTACGCCGCCACGGGCAATCCTCCTTTCGAACGACCGAGTGGCTACATGGTGTGCCAGGAGGTCGGTATCCAGAACCTGTTCTTCGCCGGCGACCCCAAGACCGCGTTCACCCCCGCAATGCTCAAGTATGGCAATGACATCAAGCAGCCCGTTCCGGTTGGGGAGTTCGCCTCCGCGTTTCATATCCTCGGACTGCCGGGACCCAACCTCAAAGCGCCGGTGCAATACGTGGCGGCGGAGTTCGACTTTTACATCTGCGGCGGTGATTGCAAGGGGTTATACGACGTGGAGGATTTGAAGAAAACGTACCCGAACGCCACTACCATCGAAGTCGCCATCCAACCGAACACCGGTCATGCCTTCACACTTCACAATAATGCCACGGCCGGCTTCCAGCTCACATTTGATTTCTTGGGCAGAAATGGGCTATAGTTTCAATTGTTCGGACCTGCGGCCATAATTGTAGTGGCGCCTCAGGGCGCTCTACCCCAGCTATTTTCTAGGCAAATTCAACGTACCATTCTCTTTCTCTAGCACTCTAACTAGTTAGATAGTAATAATAAGTTAGATAAAACGCTAGTTACTTGCAGTTGAAACTCTGTGCCAATGTCATCGGACATGAAGAGAAGTTCCTTCTTTTCGTTGTATTTATCGGTCCTAGACTGCTCTAAGGAATTTGATTCTGTGTTGCATAAGCCGCTTGTGAATCTTGTCCTCATAACTTGCACTGACCGCCAAAGAACTGGCAGGGAGTTGGAGATATTTCAAATTCCAGATCGAAGTGGAGGCTGAGTTTGACGCCGTCGGCCAGTTAGGGGCCCAGGACCAGGAGGGTAGGGCCAAGGCTGGCAAGGGGAACACAGGCGCTAGCTCCCGATTCCCGACCCCACAACCAGCCTCTCGCCTAGAGGCCACAGCCTTTTTCTACTGGGCTTCTGAAGTCTAATACGTCAACCTTCTCCTACAGCTCTATTCCCCAAACCGCGACCAGACGGTGGAAACGATGAATCCGAGCTCACGGCTGTTGAGGTCCCGGCACTGGACAGGTATACCCATTGGCTAGTGCTTAGGTAATTTCTGGCGGAGAGCGACTGGTCGAGGGGTGGTGGCAGGGGTGGTCGATTTACCGGCTATACTATGGTTACAGGCAAAAGTATTGTTAGCGCAGCGCTAAGCAGGGGTGTCCAATCTAAACCTTTTTTGTTCATTCTTCCATTAGTTACTAATTAGATATAGATTTCACCATCTATTGGCCTGCTTATTCTCCGGACCTGAATCCTATTAAGCCAGTATGGAATTGGATGAAAGACTGGATCCAGGACTACTATGGGGATGTCTGATTATATTATGATCAGCTTCGGGAGGGAATTAACGCTGCTTGGGAGGCTATACCGGAGGAATTCCTGCAAGAGTTGTTTGAATCGATGAATTAGAAATTCCAGGACGTGATAGGCGCAAACGGAGGCTATACACGATAGTGAAATCTATATCTAATTAGTAATGGAAGAATGAACAAAAGCAGTTTAGGTTAAAGGCCCCTGCTTAGCGCTGCGCTAACAATACTTTTGCCTGTAACCATAGTAGGCTATTGCGCTTCAGGGGCTGATTGATTTGAGATACCTACTTATATGGTGACGAGTTCTTCGGCACGTCTTCCATGCTAGAGGTCGTGACGCGGTTGAAATAGCCGAATCGATAAGTACCTATTATTAAATGCATATCTTAGAGTCACACCCTGCATTCATACTCTGAGCCGATGTAGGTTGAATCGTGTCGATCTCCAGCCCTATGCGTCACTTTACTAGGGCTAGTTATAACAAGCTTTACTTTTTGGAGATTGGCACATTACTGTTCTTACTCAGTAGTTGCCTGCAATAGTACGTAGTGTTGCAGTTTTTCGCGATTACAAATTCCCGGCATGAGACGGAGAACATAAATTGAACCGTCGGATGCCAAGGCCGTATCCCTTGCCAATGAGGATGTGACGACTCAGCCTCAAATTGCCAGCGTCGCAGTCCTCACGATGATCCAAAATCCCCGGGAGGTGCGGGGAGCTCACGGCACAGAGCCATTGTTATTTAATATTGGCATTGGGCCGCTGATACTGTGATCTTTGAAAATTCCGATGAAAGACAAAATGGCGACCCCCGAAAATCAAAGTCAAAGCCCGGTCAGAAAAACGAGGAGGCGTCATCAAAAGTCGCGAAATGGATGCATTGAGTGCAGGCGCCGAAGAGTCAAGGTGAGTCTCGGTCGCTATCATGAGTCCAGAAGTCCAGAGCTGAATTTCTTCTTTAGTGCGATGAGATGAAACCATCGTGCACGCGATGTGTTTGGGCTCTCGACAAATGTATCTACCGGTCCCCGTTCCCCCAGCAATCTGCTGAAAAGCACGAAAAGGATCAACTATCCCTCCCGACATGGAGCTCGCTATGCAGCGTTGTCTCACCATCGCCAAGTGCTTCGTCACACTCGGAACGATCGCCATCGTTCGAGGCATCAGCGAGCTCAACTCCAGCATTTGTGGAAGCAAAAAACCGCGACTCCAATGTTGCGGATGGTCCTCAGGGGCTATCCGACACGGACTTGTATCACCACTATCTGCAACATACGAGTCGTACCTTGACTCTTTGCCCAGGCGACGAAAATGCATTGCAAATTGGCATGCCAACGCTGGCATTGCAGAGCAAAACCGTCTTTCATTCCATTCTTGCCGTCTCTGCAGCCTGTCTGGGTTGGGATATGATCTCCAAAAAACCTCCTCCCGATATAAGTGTAGTCAGTCAAGCCTTGATGACTGGCTATCGGCACTACAGTTTGGCGAGCGAACAAATGAGAGAATCAATTTCATGCCCAGGGGACTTGAAGCCAGAACCTCTTTTAGCGAGTACCTTGATGCTCGTGCCGTTCGCTGCTGCAAGTCAGCAAATCAATCATTGGATCTCGAGCAAGAGTGGGACACCAGAGCCCCGTAGACTCCTCTCGACAACCCCGAGGGATGTCATCATCATGATGCGAGGGATACGAACGACACTTCAAACTCTGGACAGTGGCAACCTAAGCCCAAATATCAGACTGTCTCTAGAGCCGGAGTTTACGACCGATAGTTCACCAATGGTGTCGGACGCAAATATCGGGCCAGCAGCTATCACCCCACCACGCACCCATGTAATGGTCCCAATAGTCGCTGCCACCAGCCATGGGGCTTTCTCCAAGCTTCAAACCCGCCTGGAGTCTGCTGTTCTTTACCACAGCGATGGTCCCGACGGTCCTTTATCCGCCTGCAGCGCCGCTTTCGAAATCCTAAAGGACATTAGAAACAATGCTTTCTCTACATCCAACTTACCACCATCCTCATCACCGAACAACCCGGTTGAGGACTCTTTTGAGCCAGAGACCGAGCCTGTGTCCCTATCGCAAGTGGCTCCATGGCTTCACTCCTTTGCAAGCCGATCCGCGATTCCGCTGCCAACGGAACCGCTGACACGGTACTTTCTCTCTTTCCTCATCCAGGCTCCCCAGGCATACCTCGACCTTGTCCTCCCCCTTCTTGACCAGCGGCTTGAAAGCCCTGTCGGCAATACATCCGAAATAGCAGCGAAATTAACGAGTGTTCAAGCACTTGCACTCAACATTTACGCGCATTGGTCGGTCCTTATGTTTTTGGTGGAGGAGGAGTCATGGTGGATTGGGAATCTGCCGACTGTGACGCTGTCCGGCATGGTGAACAGGTATGGCGACGATTTTGTGACCACACTGTGGCCTGATCCTGGACAGGAGCAGTGGTGGCCAGGGAGTATGTTGAATATTTTACGAGAGATCAAACGGCATCGGTAGACAACGGGACTTTCCATTTCTACGTAGGAAGTAGCAAAGAAGGTTCATTCTGGATCGGCGCGATGGGTATTTACACCTCACGCTAACGAATAATAATTGTGATCTATTATTCTTTGAGCTTCTATGCATGTTCCATAGAGTAGCCAGATTGGGCAGGTCATTAAGGAATAGACAAGCGTCAATGTAATGATGACTTTGCTGCATCAAATCTTCTCAACATCTCAACAATTTAGTGAGTCCCGTGCCTCGAATTCTATAAGGTACTGTCAGACCTTGCCCTGACATGGGTTTCTGAGATCTCCGGTTTCCGAGTCGGTCCAAGGCAACATTTTGGCTTTTTCGGTGGCATTTCAACCAAACAGGATTGCAAGGGAAGAAACGTCACCAACCTTACTATACTCGAAGCAAACCCCCGCTGCAACCCCAGCTACCACGTGGAATTCTTGGCGCAATTTGGAGGCGTCTAGGTTATCAGCCCCTTGAGGCTTGAGATTGGGACCAGGGATTGGTTCATGGCCTGGTGATCTGGGTTTGCGAGAACACCGAAGCGGAGACCCCTGTTGAAGGAGTGCGAGGACTTGCCGATCGTTGGTTTAAGTCTATTAGGTATTGTGTTAATAGTCGACTAGGTTCAGTGAAGGATCAACAGAACCGCTGTACTGCCATTCCATCAGTCCTAAGTCCTACTCCTACATCTTCACACATCCCTCCACTCGCCTTCACTCCTCCACCTTGTAGTGGCGCGCCCACCCCGACCGTTGAGCAGCACACGACTGAAATGGCATGAAATGACATGAAATTACATGCCGACGATCTAGCTTCTAGTTATTAGCTGACGGAAATATGCATGGAGGCAATGGTGTGCCGCCAGTGCTTTCATAATAAAAGCCAAGGACACTATCTGCACCATCCCAGTGATACTGCACCATCCCAGTGATACTGCACCTTCCCAGTAATACTGCAGGTGATGGGGGGTCAACTGCCACAATCAGGTCCCATCTACCATCATTGGTAAGAGTTCATTCCGTACCATCCACTACGGGTGTTTAATACGGATGTGTATCAGGGGTGACTCGAGGGTATGGATCCAACCTGGATCATCTCTCTCCTCACCATACCAATGTAGACACGGCATGGATAGACAGCGGTCAGAGCCCTTAGATCCTCCCCAACGATAGGCCTCCCAGGTAGCTTGCAAGCTGAGGAATGGTTGTTACCAGTGTCGGGACACCCAGCGCAGCCTTGGGGCAGCCGGAACATCCCAGTTGCCCGGATCCTTTTGGTCCATTGATGTATTCATATTCCTTTGGATGTTGCCAGCATGAAGGAGTATTGCTCTTTCTGAGAGTCTGGACAAGGTCTATGGGTAGTTCACCCATAAGTTTCATTTTGCAGGGATTAAATCACTCCTGGCTGCCCTCTTCATCAAGTCACCCACATTATCTAGTGCTACACTTGGCGCCTTCGACATGGAACTGGTAGAAAAAGGGTTATTCCCTTTGAGACTTTGTCTTTACATTGGTTCTGTTTTCAGAATCAGTCATAAACGCCTCTGATCCAACAAATCCTACATTGTTAGACTGATTGGACTGAATCATCGTATTATAGCCCAATAGCTTGTGCATTGGACAACCTCAAAGGTATCAGTCAACTCAGATATTTGAAAGTCTCTACAGCTAAAGCAGACGGATTACTGACTTGACTAGCCCCGACTCCCTATCAAGGACCCAAGACACGAGAGACATGGCTTCTACGTCCCGAGCTGCGCAAGCCCTTCGACTCCCGCTGAAAAGAGAGAATATCGCTATCCAAGAAATGGCCAACAACACGGTAAGCTAAGCACACATGCCAGAAGAATGGTTTCTAACACAATCTAGTCCGATCTTCGGTCATATATCGAGAACATTGCACGGAACGAAGGGGAACAAGCCTGGCGTCGAGCAAATTCCCATCAACTCGAACAGAAGAAACTCCTGTATCAGCCTAGCGCGGACTTGAAGCTATATCAAGCACCAAAGTCACTGAAGGCACTCCCGATGGAGCGGTTCATGACCCCCAGCCTTGAGGACGCTCAGCCATGGTTGTCTCAGAACATGCTCCAGGAGGTTGGTGTGAAGAGCGGGTCGCAGCTTGACATCCAAAAGCGTGTCGAAGCAGTCAAGGAGATCCTTAAAGAACTCTAGTGGAAATTCGAATGGAATACACGGAGCCAGTGCTTAAGCCCGGAAGCCTGAGATGGACGGACAGGAAATAAAAGCTATTTTGACATTAGCGACGGACTGGAACGTTTTGGCATACATCGAGAAATGAGTTATGGCAACTTCAGACGTTCTTGCTAGTTGTCACGACACGGTGATCTTTTCAGACTAGACATGAAATATGCGACAAGCTTTGACCGAGTTCATAACTCAATCACATCTTGATAGTTCTGGGCAATTTAATCCAACCGCAGATTACACTGAAATAGCTTATCTCACATTATCTGCCGAGTCGGATGGGACTTGAATCGCGCTTTTTGCAAGTACATATGCTGCTTTGCTGGACAAGGAGGAGTGAGGAGGGAGATCTAACCCTAGCTGGCATCATTTACCAGAAGTACGGTCCCCTCTTCGGAACAACCGATGGGGCGGCGCCCGATGATTTACATTATTACCAGGGCTCGTTACACGCCATCGACAACGGTGAGAAACACATGAATCATGGGCATCGTGCCGTCAAGTCAAGTCGAGTCTCATGCGCGAATGTGGGGTGTAACTGTCCTTTGGGTCGACAGCCTCGCCCTCCCGGGACACGGGAGGCCCCGCCCCTGGAGTACCTACATACTCAATTTCGGCTCCAGATCCTGCTTGAAAATGGTGGCGCACTCCTTTGCAACGCTATAGCGCGTACTCCGTCATACATATTCAGAATGGCTAGGTGTGCCCATGACCGCTCCGTCTCTGCAAGGGCTTGCAGGTTACGTGGCCGATGTTGCCAGTTGGTCCTTGCGTGGTCCGAGTCCCAACGCTGCAAGGCTGGCATATGCATGAGTTCGGGTGGTTTTACTCCGTACGGTGGAAAGATGTCGGTCAGCTGAAATTTCATGCTTGAGGCGACATGTTCAGTTAGGAGAGGAGATCGGCAGAGGGCCACTTGAGGGATCGAGCGTTAGCTGTGCCGCGAGCGACAGTAGCGGGCTGTTTCGCCAAGTGATCAAGAATCAGCGATAGGTGCGAGGTCATAATAGTCCCAAGGCTTAGGCACATACCTTACCTACTCCGGAGTCCTGACTCCATAGGTGTATTCCCGGCCATACGTCTCCCGTTAGCCCGCAGCGCCCGGGCTAGTACTGAATAACATAGCGGCTATTTTCCATAGTGGCTTATGATTAATGGTTAGGACTAGGGAGAAGCCCAGGATCAGGCACGGTTCTTGGCAGAACGAGCTAGGAGTTACCAATTGAACGGACCCCGGAAGTCTCCCCTTGACGGTGACCTGTCGTTCGTGGGGATGAGGGGGGTAGGAATTTCCATTGCCTAGTCAGTTGTTAGCAGTTAGCATCCATCCGGAACTGTGTGCGAAACCAGGAACAGCTACCACAAATCCTATATACCTGCCGGGAGCCCGGGACCAAAATTGCTCGTGTAGCGTTCTACCATCCTCCAGTAGAGATGCATTCCATGAAATTGACCAATCAAACCCCAACATTGACCATCATTGCAAATAACCGGACTGAAATACGGAACTTCTGGGTTTGCGCTGAAGATCAAAGCATTGGTTGAGAGAATCGATGCCGAAGCAGACAGAAATATCCCTTGCCGAGTTTGTGGTCAAATCCACGACCCACCGTTACCAACCCAGAAATTAGGTCAGGGACGCCAAAATAAAAACGCGCCCCCACATCCCCCACACCCGATCAGTCTCCAGACCACCACAGCGGCACAACCCACTGGTCAAATTAGCGTGACCATAGAGGCGGAGACCTCATGGGTTATTCAGTCATCCTCCGCTGTGCAGACACTTCCGCTAAGTCGCTAACCTTCAATTCGATACTCCGGCCTTACCACATATGGTAATTAGTAGCTTGACCTGCCCGAGTATTTGACACACCAACTGTGCAGGGGAAATTGCCTTTGCTGGGTTGGACGGCCCAAGCGGCAGGTCGCTAGAACCCACAATTTTTAACAATATAGTAGAGGGTTTCTGTCGCAATCATATGTGGTGGTTCTTAAAAGTCCCGCCTGGGGTGGTGGCTCTCAAAAATCCCGCCTGGAGTACCTTACAGTGACCGCATTCGCCGTGCTGTGGTCTATTATGGTGGCAGCGACGTCTGACTCGTACGCACCATGCCTTAAATGTTGCAATCACATCTCCAATATGGCCATATCCCTGGTCGTATTCTTCCAGCTTTGGTATTCTTGTTAGAACCCTAGATTGTTCAACGGCTCAAAACTTGAAGTCTCCTAGCATTCATCAGCCATCCTCGATGGACACCAAAATCCCCTTAGTAGAGTCCCATGGGCTTGAATCGCAACTCAACGAACAATGGATTGGCCTAATCTTGAGCTATGGTCATTCGTTGAGAAATGTCCGGTTCGTGCAGCTACTATTTTAGTTGATGAACAGGGAGTAGACGTGCGTGGATTCGAAAATACAATGCCTTTCGTGATGTAGCACACGTATTTAGAGTTCATCACAATCCACCCCTTGAAAAGCACGCCGACAAACTCCACGCGTTAGATCTGAGGGGCCAGAAGTACTGGAAAGGAGAATACCAGAGCCATAAAGGTGAGTATGGTTCAGAGAGAGCACGAATCCTCGGGGATTGTGAGGATAGATAATCACTCGTTGACTGATATACTGATAGCTAACGACTTGACGTCGAGAATTCTAGACTGTGTTGAAAAGCCGATATAACGCAGATTTTCCTAAAACATAATGGTCGAAGAACAAGGGCTGGCGGGAGCCAAATTGAAGCTACATGACAATGAAACAACCAAGGTATTTTGAGGATCGAAAATGGATGGAAATTCGCCTTGCTTACAAAATAGTCTTGCTCAATAGGTGCCGTGGAGAACCTCATCCAGAAGGAGGCTGCCCGGGATTACTATCATACCCATCGCGAACTCAACTTCTCCCGGACAGATATCGGTGAAGAATCTATCGAGGACGTCCACGACTCCTTACGCACAGTACGCACACACTATGAACCTGGAGAAAGCCTAGGGCTCCATCGAGTTCACGAGGTGCCTGGCGTTGACCCAATGCATCATTTTCTGGTGGCGGGCAGAGACGACCCGCAACCCCTTCTCGCCAAGCAATGCCTTGAGGAGAGTGGTGTCGGTCATGGGATTATGGAAGACTCACGAAAACGTTCACTTGCCACGGCCGAGATATATGATGAGTACAAGAACAGACTGAAGAAGGGTCGAAAGCTCGAAAAAGCAACAGAGGGAAGAGTAACGAAAGCACCCCGAATTAGAAAGAAGGAAAGCGAGGCAGACAAGAGATACCATGATGAAGCTGAACAAGCTCAGAAACCTCAAGAGGAAGGATACGAAGAGCAAGGAAGTTGCTGGAAAGGACAGAACATTTGATCCATCAGAGTCCGCGTTCGTTCGACGCGATCTCCGAGACGCGTGGTATGTTAGAAACTAGCGTGGCGGAGCGCTATCCCTTTCGGTATTTTGTCGGGCTATAATGCGTCTTCCGATAGATGAAACCCAATCCATTGCGCTTTTGATGTGAAGTAGAGAACCAACAGAGCAAATGATGAATGGAGTCACGTCGGGAGAGGTCTAGCCGTCTAGGCGTCATGAGAGACTCCTAAACTGACCTCCTATTAGAATACAACCGTGCATTCAAGGACCTGCCCTTCGAGACTGCTCCGCTTATGGAAGCTGTACTAATATGGGCATTCCACATTAGTTAGATGTCGGTTGGGATTGGAAACGGGTGGGAAAGAGAAATGAAGCGCATGACTCATGTTCGGATATTTCACGTGATACATTGGACATTCCACCTCACCCTGCTCCCCTCACCACGACGGATTTATTTTGGAAGACCATTGTGACGAGAATCTCTAACATCTTGAATATATGGCACGTTACTGCCAAATACAGGTACCTTATCTGCCAATTGGTAAAATTTGAATGGTATTCCCTTCTAGTATGGTCAGTAATTCCTGCTAAAGTGCTCTTCACTATTCTAAAGTGCAGGAAAACAGTCGAATCAGTCATCTCCAAAGTCAGCTAGTGATAGCTGGGACGAAATGTTCTTAGCTACTTTTGCAAAAAGTGATGAAGCTGATTTTCGAAGAAAACACGTTGGTTCGACTATGTTTCTCCAGAGAAGAGCTACGGTCAATCATCATTTACTGAGACTTTGGTTTCCACCACAGCCTGGGATGATATGAAGCACGTCTCTGCGAGTATAGGGAAGTAGTAATCCGTTGATCACAAAAATTATCATTCTTTGAAGTTTGAATATGGTACCTATGGTATTAATTACCTATAAAACCCCGATACAGGCATTGTGCTCTTCGAGTCTCCTTGACCTGCATGTGGGGACGTTCACCGCTAGCTATCGCCATGGCGGCATGTGAAACATACCATTCACTCTATCAACGTGAATATCAGGTTCCCGGTGTGATGATGTTAGCCGGGAAAGTGATGATAGTGAATCATCCTATTCGCAAACATTAGTCTCAACTTGAGTAAGCTGTTACTTTCATTCCCACTCCGTCCTACCCTTCATCCAGACTTCATAATTGGCCCTCTCACATTGGCGGTTTTGACCTTTATCTTTTGTTTAAAAAAAACATTGCAGGTGAAGCAACATATTAAGGCCTTTTCGCTCTTGATTGCTAAAATGCCTATCCGGGTCGACCTACAAGATAAAGTGCAAGACCAAACGCGTTCTCCCCGGCCTCAGCCACCCAAACCATCGTCAATTCTCCGTCGACGCGATGATCCAGCGGATGATCTCTTCTGCCCAGCACAGCGATATCAACCTCTAAAAAGGAAACGAGCCCGAGATGGCTATGGCAACATTGGAAGCGAAAAGAAAAGGAAGGCGGACATCATCCACCGCCCAGAATTCCAGGGCATCATCAGGAGTACCTTTGGAGATCTGTCGCCGACTCCAGTTGTCCCACACGGAGTACCATTCATCAGACTCATAGTTGGCGCATTTGAGAGGGGCATAAATCTGGCTTTGCGGCCGGACGATGTTTGGCTCGCAATTATGGCGCAAGTTGGGCGGATGCTCAAAGGAAGCTTGAATCTCAGAGGGAAGTATCTCACTGAGTGGGATGCAGATCGCTATATGATGATCACTTTCGACAAACGCTCTCACCACTCTAGCACCGACAATCATATCAATGCAATGCTCAACGAAGAAGCCGACCTCTCCGATTATCGCCTCGTCGACGACAGCAGATACGATTCGAACTTCATAGACGGGATGCCGCTGCAAGGAAATAGCTCGGTATTCAATGCCAGCGTCAAGGACATTGAAAAAGAACTACATAAAGAAGTCGGCCTTAATATCGAGGATGAAGAGTTCAAAAAATGGGTCGCATTGGATTTCAGTACTTCCACCGACGCAGATCGAATTGCAGGGGAGGTCAGCCTCTTTGGAGCCGCCGGACCGCGTAACGCATTCCCGCTATCCGCGACGACCTCCTGCCCTCCGTCGATCCAACTCCTCGGAACCCTCAAGGACTGGGTCGAAATCCTGCGCCGCGTCAAGCAAATGCCACAAATGCACTACAAATTCGGCGAATGGAATTCCTTGCTAGAGCCGATCATCTTCCGCATCGTCCATTCGCTCGAACGGCCGGAGTCCGAAAAATACAAGAATTTCTGGAAGGCGGCATATCACCCGATCGTCGATCGAAGCACTCGCACCGTCCGGCTCGTGTCGGGATGGATCACCGTGTTCAACTACTGGGACGAGGAAGGGAAACGGGTGAATCATTTCTCGACCCCAAAGCTGCTAGCCGCACCGACTCTGTACAAGTTGCCCAAGGTGTATGACGTGCCGTGGGCGGATCGATCGATTCTGGCAGACGCCATGCCGAAGAAAGTGATCGGTATGCCGGTGGTAGTGGCACAGGATAATCCCGACGGTCTCCAACATTTCATAGTTGTGTCCGGATGCAGGGTCACCCCACGAAAAGGAGTGGACGATGAATCGGTAGTCGGCAACACCGAATCTGGCTGGTGGTTGCTGAAAGTTTCGCTCAATCCTACCGATCGAAAGAGCGAATTCTAGAGAATTTTGGAAGTCTACCACAGGGTGTCCATGGCACCTGTTCGGGGAAAGAAGTTGGGTTTTGGGATTGTTGAGTCTCATTTCATGCCTGTACGCCGTGTTTGAGCCTCTGCATGTGCCTTGCAACCAGATAGACTCGGAGATTGAAACGGTCTTGACCCTTCTATGCTTTTGATTTCCGCTACGCTATGTAAACTGCTCTTAAGCACCCAAATGCCTGGAACTGCCCTTAACGCCTTGGAGGAGGACCGCCTCTAACAGTCAGGTTCTGATTTTGCTGCATGAAAGTTAGCGTTATTCCAAGACATGAAAGACGCCTGGCACTTACGAAGAGCACTTTGAATCCATTCTTAAGAGCGCGCATGTCCGGGTACTGGTTTTTCTGCAGCTCGAACGCAACAGGGGTGACTTTTACTGGCCAACTGCAGATCTCGGCATTCTGCCCAGGTTTGAAGCTCAAGAAGAAGTACCCGGGGTATTTGGGGTTAATGCAGAAAGCGTAATTCGAACGCCTGGGATTGGCCTTGCTGTATGTGTTGAGCCACTCATCTAGCAAAAGCGTCAGTGTCCTGAATTTCTGGTCCTTTCGTTAAACGTACCTGTGGCGGCCTTGCTCCGCGCCTGGTATTTCTCGTCGTTTACCATCTCCTCCACCTTCTTTGCCATGGCATTCACATGATTGGCAATAAGATCGTCCAAGTCACTGTACGTGTATTTGCCCACGACGAGCTTTTTGCCGACACTGAAATCATTATCTTTGGATAGCTCCACGACGTCAATGTGCTGATAGATCGTGTCGCTGATTTTCCATGTAACGGCGAGATGATCGGTTCCAAGAGAACTGGGACGGATGACAACATCCCCGCGGCTTTGAGAACCAAGGTATTCTTCCGCTTGAGCCGAGTTGAAAGGCCGGAAGTTTGGGTGTTTAATGACCCGTTGAGCTCGTCCAGCCTTTTGCTCTTTTGCCTTCTTCTCATCAGATACGTCCTCGTTGTGTTGCACAAAGTCCCATTCACCAGGGTTGTGGTCGAGCTCTTTTCTATATCCCCTTTTGAGGGCACGCTCGTTCAAGCTGAGTGTTGCGTGCAACTGCCGCTTGTTTAGGTGTAGGAGCTTAGCTTGAATGGTTTGATTCCGGGCAAAGACGTCTCTGGGGTCGAGGCCGCGCTCTCCGCCAACGCCATCTGGGAACTCGCCCTCTGAAATGGTGCCATCCATACCATTGTCAAGGCGAACCTCGATATGGTTGGAGAACACCTTCCAAATGCTCACGGAAATGATCATGTCCTCGATCAGTGACTCTTTTGTCTCGCCAGAAAGTATCGAGAAGATCTCCTCGTGCGTCAGGATGATCAATGGTTTCCGAAGTTCTTCGAAAGGTGCTTGCAACTCCTCGCGGATGTTCTCCAAAGTCGCTCGTTTTCGTTGGTTGAACTTGGTCGCAAGCTGCTCAGCATACTCCTCCAGAACAAGATCATTGACCTTTTCTTGGGCTTCTTCTTTGATGAGCTTCCGGATCACAGCACCCGGACCGGATTCATCCACTTCAGCCTTGATATCTTCTTCATCCAGCTCGAGGGCATCGGCAGCCATTTTCTGGGCCAGGTAGTAGTCCTCGGGATGGACACGAGTATTGTCCAAGTAGTCGGAATCGGTTTCAGTAGAATCGTAGGTGATGTAGAGAAAACTGGCGCAATTCTTCCAGACTTGCGGTCCAACCGCCTGAATCAGTTTCTTGTCGGGATCGCCCAAAAGCTCGTCACGAGTGTGGACAACGCTGCCATTGATGTTAATGGCCTTGACCATCTGGGCAGCCTTTCTCGGGCCCAGACCGGAGATGTATGGGAGCAGGTTTGCGATACGAGAGTCGCTCATTGCCATGTTCGCTTCGACACCGACAAGGTTCACCAGATCGACCATGCTGCTCTCCAAGTACCGAAGTAGCTTGTCTTTGGGGAGTAAGTCTTGATTAGCTTCGAATGAGATCGAAGTGATGTGCTTTCCAAGAGCAGCGTATTCAAGCAGGGGGTTTTGCAGGTAGCGAGAAAGGCCAACGCAATACTTTGCGAGGGGTGCGAAGCCCGGATAGTCAGCTGTTGCTTGGTCGCTGGTATGGTATAGGCGTGCAGTCTCGTCGTTGACGATCATAACTTCGAGCCTGTCGGTCTTGAAGTTTCCATCTTCATCTTCAAACTCGGAGCTTCGAAGGTCTTGCCGATCGACAATATCCTGTACCTCTTTATACAGTTTTCGCGCCTCGACGGAGAAGCCGCCTACTCCGATGACGTCGGGTTGCCGTCTGTTAACGAGCTCAAGGAACCGCTCTACATCTTTTCCATCCGGGATGTCTTTCTCGGGATTCCCAGCCCGCAGATCGACGAACTTCCCGTGTTCTAGTACGCGACCGTCTTCGTCAACATAGGTCCAGACAATTGCATCTCTGCCGCCATGACCATTGGTAAGAGCCAGAACTCGCGGTTCCGTTCCTTTGACCATGCCTTTCGGCCGATAAGGTGCTTGGTCAAGCTTCGTATAGTACTTCTCGCGGATCGTACGTCCCAACTCATTCTCGCATTCTACCTTCAACGTCTCTTTGACTGATTTCGCGATATTTTGCTCGAGCTTTTGAAGGGCGAGATCGACAACATCGCGGCGCGCCTCGTTCCATGCATCTGCAACAGAACTCAAACTATCGGATTCGATAAGTCGGTAGAGATTCTCGGAAAACCGCCTCTTGCTCTGCAAACTGATCTTGACTTCAACGAGTCCCTCCGCTTCGGCCTTGAGCATGCGAAGATAGAGTTCAGGTCGACGGGCAATGGCGGTGAAGTCCTGGTTTCGGAGGTACTTGAATTCGAAATATCGATGGTCCTCCGTAATCTGTCGGGCACCTCGCTCGGTTCGGAAACAATCAAGAATGCCTTCCTCATAGAAAGACTTGCGGACATACTTGCGCATTCGCGGAGACACGAAAATCTCTTCGGCAAACATCGCCTTTGCAGCTTTGAGAACTACCGATCCAGTAGGGAAATCAGGAGAATCCAAGAGGCCGTCAGCCATATCGTCCGGCCGGCTGGAAGCATCTTCGGTGTATTCTCTTTGGCCGGGATTCAGTGCACTTTTCGCAAGCTGGTCTGCAGAAAGTCCAAATGCTCGGACGAGTTGGTACACTCTTGATGCTCGAACCCTTTCCCATGTACTTCTCGAGGCACGAGCGCGCTTCTGGGTGCCGTTGGTCCCTGCATCCGCGGCGTGGACATCTTTCAGCTCAGCAGCGTAACGGAAGTGGAGATAATCTTGCAGATCCTGGACGTCCTCCATGTTGATCGCAACCGGTAAAAGCTCTTCGAGTACTTTATCTGGTTGGGGTAGGATCGGCTTGATGGACTCGTAGGATTTCCGGACCGAGTCGCGCTTCTCAGCCATACCCCTATACCGCAAATCGAGGTCGAAGATCTGCCATAGGTCTCCTTGATCCAACAAACGATCCGCATTGATCTCTTTCTTGCCATTGACCATATGCTCAGTAGCATGGATGACATAGTCCTTGCGGTGCTGGAAAATGAAAGGAACTTCGAATTCATCGACGTTGAAGAACTGCAACACTTTGGCAACCGCCTGCTGGAATGGCTCCAATAATGCTCTCTCCAGGCGCTTCTTCGGGAACATCATTCCAGTGACCCACACGGCTTCTTCGCTGCTTCGTTGAGCCATCTGTTCGGGGGAGAGATCCAACGGTTTGAACGACTTCCTCGCCAACTGGAACCGTTCCGGGACATCGGTATTACGGATTTCGTTATCTTCATCCGTAAGCATTCGCTCCACGAGCTGGGATGGTTCGAAAACATCCTTCAGAGTGAGTTCCTCTCCGAGTCCTTGTTCTTCCTCGTCGATCTGATCTTGAATCTCCAAGGCCCAATCGTATTCTGTGCCATCACCGAAAGCCATCCGTAGGTCTTCCAGAGCAGCTTCATCGAGCCCGGACTGTTCGATAGCGCCAATCCCAGCCAGACCACGAGGGGCGCCAGGTTTTCTAACCTCCAATTCTTCGCGAAGTGCCTCGCGCTCCTCCTCATCCAGTTCATCGTCCTCGATGAAATCATCCAGGTCCTCGGGCAGACCTTGGAACCGTCCACGGGGGCGGGTCTCCTCTTCAACCTCCTCATCATTGAATATGTCCGCTAGGTCGCGATGCTCGGGTGCACTCCGATCGGCGTGGCCTTGTTTGAGTCGTTTGAACTTAGGCTTGGCAGTGTTAATTGTAGGATCTGTAGATTATGATACGGCTATTGCTTACCTTCGCAGCCGTGCGCTGCTCGAAACCGCCGTGCGCTTCGGCAACAAGATCTAAATCTTCCTCATCGAGCAGTTCAAGGCCGTCGGCGCGCTCGCTTCGTGGTCGCTTCCGTTTAGCACGGCGCCGGGCGCGTTCCTCTTCCTCCTCCTCTTCATCAACGATGAAGCCCTCGCGGATCTATGTGATGAGATTAGTCTTCGAAGATCCGGCAACTCAATGGTAGACCCTATGATAATTGCCAAACATACTCTTGCGGCCTCCTCCTCATCTTCGTCATCTTCTTCTTCCTCGCTAGAGTCCGCCATGGCTTTGTCGCCACCCTTGCGAGGGCGATCTTCACCGTTCTCCCTATCATAGTCTTCTTCTTCCTCTTCACTGCCTACCTCCGCCGCCACGTCGAAGAACTCCGATGCCATGGCGCGTCGCAGCTAAGAAGAAAGGGAATGGACGTGAAAGTGAAGAACGCTTCGAGATGTGAGGGGATAAAGTCAAGCAGTTTTCTGGAGACGTATGGCAAAGGGATTAACCAGCCGAGCTGCTGGCTATGGAACGAATGCGTGGAAGTCAACAAACTCCCAAAAATGAACTTTGAGTGCTCAGTGCTGGTCTGAGGCATCGAGATCAATGGAATTTACCCGAAGTAAATCCTGAGAGGGACAGGGATGCAAAGTTAGGCATCAAGGCAATAATAAAATTGTCTGAAGGAAGGCATCAAGTACGTGACATCACGTGAGGTGCGAGTTTATCTATCACGTGAGCTGTAGTGGGAACTGCAAATCTTGGCGCGATGCTTGGCGCTTTTTGAATTTTTGATTCTCACCACAAAGTTTCGAAGCTGCAAAGGTTCCTTCAGCTGGTATTGCTGGCTATCAATCCCAATTCCTTCACCGATTGCTGGATCATATTGATCTTATAGCTCTCATACTCATCCGATTAATATCGCCCGTCAGAATCTCACCCCGTCAACCCCGAGTCTAGTTGAGCTCGGTTCCGGCAAGATGCCTCTTTTCGTCCTCACCGAGACCAGCGCTGGTTATGCGCTGCTGAAGGCGAAGGACAAGAAACTTCTCAAACGAGATGACTTATCGGAGAAGTCGAGCACGGCCGAGGGGCTGTGCGACATGTGAGTGATGTTGGAGATACACCGCTCTTGTTCCTTTGCTCATCCACTGCAGGCTCAAGCTGAAGAAGTTCCGAAAATTCGAAAATGCTACAGAGGCTCTCGACGAAGCAGCGGCCGTGATGGAAGGAAAGGTATGATAGAGTCAGTAGTTCTACACACGCTTTTCTAATACATCAACTAGGTCACGCCGGTCCTGTCAAAACTACTCGACGAGCTGAAGGAGGAGACCAAGGCCTCATTAACAGTTGCCGACCCGAAACTGGCGAACGCAATCAACAAGCTCCCACAGCTATCGCTAGCCCCTATTGCCGACTCGACGACTGAGGACCTGTATCGTGCTATTCGTCAACATCTCCCGTCACTGATTCCTGGCTTGCTTCCTACTGATATCGACACGATGAATCTCGGTCTATCGCATTCGCTTTCCCGGCACAAGCTCAAGTTCTCACCCGACAAGGTCGACACCATGATCGTTCAGGCCATCAACCTTCTCGACGATCTTGACAAAGAACTGAACGTGTATGCGATGAGAGTCAAGGAGTGGTATGGCTGGCATTTCCCCGAGATGGCCCGCATCATCAATGACAATATGGCTTACGCTCGGGTTGTCATCCATGTGGGCATGAGATCAAATGCGTCCTCATCTGATCTGACAGATATCCTCCCGGAAGAAATCGAGGGAGCCGTCAAGGCTGCCGCAGAGATTTCGATGGGCACGGAAATCACGGATGAGGATCTGGAGAACATCAAGGCCCTTGCAGAGCAGGTCATCTCCTTCTCCGAGTACCGTATCGAGCTGGCCAACTACTTGAACTCAAGGATGGTGGCCCTTGCGCCGAATCTCACCACCCTGGTCGGTGATCTTGTCGGTGCGCGTTTGATCGCACACGCTGGAAGTCTTCTGAACTTGGCTAAGAGCCCGGGAAGTACGATCCAGATCATCGGAGCCGAAAAGGCGCTATTCCGAGCTCTAAAGACGAAACATGACACGCCCAAGTATGGTCTGATCTATCACGCTTCCCTGGTTGGCCAGGCAAGTGGAAAGAATAAGGGCAAAATCGCACGTATGCTGGCGGCCAAGACTGCCCTGGGACTTCGTGCCGATGCCCTTTCCGACTGGGGAACCGCCGGCGCCGGCAAGGGCCCCGAGCCGTCGGAAGAGGACAAGGCACTCTTCGGTGTTGCGTCACGAATCAAGATCGAGCAGAGGTTACGGGCGCTGGAAGGCAAGCCTTTGGCTGCCAGGGGAACGGCCATTGGGCCCGGAGGCCAGACTCAGAACCAGCCGAAGTGGGAGGTCAAGGAGGCGCGGAAGTATAATGCCGACGCGGATGGCCTTCAAGGAGACGAGCCCGCCGGTCACGCCGACCAACGAGAAACCGTGCCTACCAATGGCACCAAAGCCGAAGCTATGGATGTGGATGAGGACGAAGAGTCCGACGAGGAGATGGAAGATCAGGCCGAAGCTGGTGCCACCAACGGGACCGCCAAGGATGATCGGGCCGCAAAGAAGGCCGAGAAGAAGGCTCGCAAGGAAGCTAAGGCCGAGAAGAAGCGGCTGAAGGAGGAGAAGAAGGCCGCTAAGGAGGGCAAGGGCTCGAAGGAAGAGAAGAAGCGGAAGCGCGGCGCCAACGACGACGAGGGCAAGAAGAAGAAGAAGAAGTCCCGCGGCGATTGAGCCGACATCCCTGTCTTCTCCCTCCCTTGATTTCGTACCGCCATTCTATTTCCAAAATGAATTGCTGTGGAAGTTTCTTGATGTTCTGGAGCATGGGCGTCGGAGACTACTTCTTGTTCGCGGCCTTCGCGTCACGGACCTGAACCGTCCTTCTTCTGTTGGGTACATGGACGGCGTGAGGAGTGCCTCATCATTTCGGATGCAAAAGGGGATGGGGGGTATACGTGTTTGCGAGTTTATTTAATTGTATAGCTTTCAATGCAATGCCTTTTCAAAAGCAGTCAGTGAGTGTAGTGTATGCCTGTACGCTTGTGACCAGTGGCTCGAGATGGGACACTGCCAAATGGACTGGTATTAGCAATGAATGGGTCCCAATTGGTATGTCTAGTCCATGTGAACGCTCACATGTAGTCCCATCGAGTTTGATGGCGTCAGATACCGATCTCAGGGTGTCATCGAAAGTTTACCCTATAGATGGAAGTGAATAGTGCAGAAACCAGAGTAGGTTGTTGCTGGTTCCCTCAAGGCAACGTTGTCTTCCCAAAATCGTTAGCGTTATACATTACACACTAGTCTTTACACAACCACCCAATGACCAGACAAGTTCGCGCCAGGCTTTCCTATGACTGTAAGCTGAGTCAGCGATTATTCACGCCCAGACACCCAGCAACCTCCACGTTTACCTCAGACGCTCGTCAACTTCCAACTCATCGTCTCCAGCCTCCAACCCGCCAATTTCCCGAGTCGAACGGCACCAGCACGACCGTCAGGCCACCAAAGCCCCGAACCGGCGAGCCGTCGCCCGTTGCAACTGGTGGACGTCAACATGGCCGATGAGGTGGTGGAGAAAGTCCGTGAGCTTCTGGAAGGACAGATTGTATGCAGCCACGCCGGTGCGGAGATGGGATGGTGGCTAACGGCGGTGTAGGACTTCGAGGGGCAGCGGCTTGCGGAATTGATGCAGTATGCGTTTCTGACTACCGTTGGGGTGAGTTCGATTCGATCGGTCAGCGGGATACGGGGGGGCTAATCGAGCATAGGCAATCGCGTTTATCTACGGATACGTGACGCAGAACGTTTACAACAGTGCCTACATTGGCCTCGGGGGTACCGCCCTCACGATGCTACTGGTCGTTCCTCCGTGGCCGTTCTTCAATAAGCACCCGGTTCGATGGCTTTCTCCTCACATCGGCGCGTCGCCAATCTCGATATCGGTGGATGGGAAGAAAATGAGTTGATTGGGCGTTGGCATTCGGTTTAGGATATAGATGACGCATGGAGTTCAGGTGTGGGATATGTGCCAATCATGTGGCCTCGACAGAGATCACAATAGGATATGAAGCGATTGGGACTGGGATTCCCGTTGCACTACCAGAGCGCATATTCGAGGGATTCATGAAATTGCCTCAATAAGAGGCAGAGGTTGTGTATTTGGTTCGCCATGAGGAATAACTAGTGCTCAACGCACCGATAACACCAACGCCGTGTCCCATGAGTTCGTGTCGTGAGCGTGCCATCCCGCTTTTCGCAGTGCGGGAGATCGCGCCAAACCGCCCACCGTGCAAATGATCCAGCCTCGGGTGTCCTCATCTGCCGTATTTCTGAAACTCCCAATCCCGGTTGTCGAGCGGACAGACTTGTCGAGTCTTCAGCCATCGAGAGATGCAGTGGAAGTGGAAGGCGTGCTAGACAAAGCCATGTCAGTCGAGGTCGAAGGCTTCCTTCGAATCCAAAACTCACATTGCAGATACCCCACGCAACGGTGCATTCTTCGCTGGTAGCGCTGGCTTGGTTGGCTTGACATTCGATACCTAGGAGAAGCGGTTAGCTGTGCCTCCCGAATAGGGTGCGTGGATGAGGTCATACAGAGGTCCATAATGTGGTTTCGGCAAATGGCGCAGTTATCGACGACGATGTCCCATGCCCACAGTGCTACGGCATTCCACTATCCATGGCCAAGTCAGCATCGGCATCTTCATATGCTCATGCAACGCTCGGAGAAGACGCCAGCTCCAACAGGCGACCAGGATACTTACCTTCCGAACTTCGAATCGCTTCTTGCCATCCTCCTTGGTCTTGCCGATAGCCTTCTTCGAGGACTCGGGTGGGGCATCTGCCATCTCGATGTCTTTCGCTACTGAAGCCATGCGTGGAGCTTTGAAAGATTGCAGAGACCGGGTATACGATGGTCAAAGAGGCTTTATGAGGGGCGGATAAGGTAGCTAATTAGGTCGAGACTGAATGAAGTGGTTAGCTTTCAGACACAAAAACAGACAAGGGATCATGAAGGTGGAGCTTTACATGATATTAACACCCTTCGAGTGAGTGACTGTACAGCTCCAGTTGTTGTATTCTAGCACTTAATCACGGTGCATCCAACTGCTCCAGATGGTGTTCAAGCATTCAAGGCGGGATATCGTGGTGGTGCAAGTGGACGGAATAAGGCAGGAATGTAGATCTGAGGCGTTAAGGCAGGCAATATTTATGCCTCCATGTCTGCTTACTATACGGGTTGGTGCCTTAGCTTGTGCCCACAGCAATTCACTTCACTGTCCAGATCATTAACTTCATGCGAGAATGATGAAGTATATTCATTATGTGTCATTATATGTCTGTCTACACTATTACTACCCATGAACTAAATGTACATTCCAATTTTTCACTATAGGAATATCATGGTCGATGTTCCTCACACTGAGTGCAAACAGTGCAATATCAACTGATAGGCGACAACCCTTGAAGCCACCCTCACCCCTGAAGCGCAGCTCCCAGCAGCTCGCGGAACACGTAGCCACAAAAACGTGCCAGATCTTAACGGAGACCTCGACCACCACGCTGCACTCAACCTCCGCAATCACCAACATCATCCACTTCTCCCTTTCATAACACCTATCTCGTTTGCTGGAGTTCTCGGTGGTCTTTGGCATTTAGCAGGAAGTTCATGGTGATCTTGCAATCATGAGTCGTACGTCCAGTCCTATCCATATCCCCAGATCCTCCGATACAGAGGATTTTTGATGGGCATCAACTAACACGTCGCAATTGATGCAGTCCGCTTCCTCGATCTCATCAAACCCTTCACTCCTCTCCTCCCGGAGGTCTCCTCTCCAGAGACGAAGATCACCTTCCAGCAGCGGTTAATATGGACAGGTGTAAGCATCCCCATTGCACGATCTACATCCCCATATCACACGCGAGCAGCTTCCGAGTTTGTGCATAAGGTCAATGGCTGATCATTTGCGGAATAGGTGACGCTACTTGTCTTCCTGGTGATGAGCCAGATGCCTTTGTACGGCATTGTGTCATCGGACTCCTCGGACCCGATGTACTGGCTCCGTATGATGCTGGCCAGTAACAGAGGGACGCTGATGGAGCTGGGAATCACACCTATCATCTCGTCCGGCATGGTGTTCCAGCTTCTTGCCGGTACCCACATGCTCGACATTGACATGAACCTGAAGACCGATCGCGAACTCTACCAGACCGCCCAGAAGCTCCTCGCGCTGATCATTTCCGTTGGCCAAGCCATCGTGTACGTCGTTAGCGGTCTCTATGGCCCCCCCTCTGAACTTGGCCTGGGTGTCTGCATCCTCCTGGTCGTGCAGCTCGTCATTGCCGGATTGGTTATTATCCTCCTCGACGAACTCCTCCAGAAGGGCTACGGATTCGGCAGCGGTATTTCGCTCTTCATCGCGACCAATGTCTGCGAGTCGATCGTCTGGAAGGCGTTCTCGCCCACGACGATCAACACTGGCCGTGGACCGGAATTCGAAGGCGCCGTGCTTGCTCTCGTTCATCTGCTCATCACCTGGCCCAACAAGAGCCTCGCACTGCGCGAAGCGTTCTTCCGCCAGAACCTTCCCAACATCATGAACTTGATGGCCACCGTCGTCATCTTCGCGGCCGTGATCTACCTCCAAGGATTCCGCGTTGAGATTCCGGTCAAGTCATCCCGTCAACGCGGCATGCGCGGATCGTATCCCGTGCGATTGTTCTACACCTCCAACATGGTATGTCCAAAACTCCAGTTCAGTTTCGGGTTCGACTAACATTTTCTAGCCCATCATGCTGCAATCCGCATTGACCTCCAATGTCTTCATCATCTCGCAGATGCTCTACTCCCGCTTCACTGACAACCTCCTCGTTCGTCTCCTCGGCGTGTGGGAGCCGCTCCAAGACGGCTCCTCGCAGCTCCACGCGGCGTCCGGGATCGCGTACTACATGTCTCCGCCGCTCTCCTTCTCCCAGGCTCTTCTCGACCCGATCCACACCGCGGTATACCTCGTGTACATGATCGTCGCCTGCGCCATCTTCTCCAAGACGTGGATCGAGGTTTCCGGATCCAGCCCCCGCGATGTCGCCAAGCAGCTTAAGGAACAGGGACTCGTGATGGCCGGGCACCGGGAGCAGAGCATGTACAAGGAGCTCAAGCGGGTGATCCCGACAGCTGCTGCGTTCGGTGGCGCGTGTATCGGCGTTCTCTCCGTTACTAGCGATATGTTGGGAGCGTTGGGAAGCGGAACGAGCATTCTGTTGGCCGTGACGTAAGTTTTGTCCTATCTCATGCTTTCATGAGATATCGTGTCGCTGTATAATGCTAACCTTCCAAACAGTATGATCTACAGCTACTTCGAGATCGCCGCGAAGGAGGGCGACATCGCCGGCCTCAAGGGCATGGTCCTCGGCTAAGCGGCATGCTGCAACGTTGCCAGCACAATGGAGCGCTCCCTCCCTTTCTGAACTTGGCGTGGGCGGTGCCAACGGGTTGGGACGATGCACTCGGCAACTCCATTCTGGAATCTCAACCGCCTGTTCTACCCAAGCACGTTTTCCAGGCCATCTGCCTCCCTTGCACCCTTGCACCTCCCGCCGGTCGGTTCGGCCATACCGGGATGCAACGCCATTTCTCTAGACGTGGGGTCGACCAGGTGTCGTCATGGTGGACCCAAAAACCCTGTACTAAAATATCAAATTTACCGGATGAATGCATACTGGCGGCGGGACTGGGCTGATTATTTGGTGTTCGTTCTCTGCTGGTTTTAGGACTTCGTGTAGAATTACTTATGGCCACTGCAATTTCTCGAGCGTATGTCTCTGTCGTTACATAGTCGTGTTGTGTATTGTTCAATTGTCGTTCATGTCGCGTGGCTCTAACCCTTCCACCCATATAAAATCCTGGTGCTTGGGGTTGTTTATGTTTCACTGCCATTATTCCCATGGAAGATCACCACCGCACTGCAACATTTATCCATTGCCCTCATGTTTCCGAACATCCGGTCACGGCAGGAATCGTAATAATAGTACGCAACCTTCACGTTTATTAGTGCCAGCTCTCGCCCCTCGGCATGGACTATTCGCGATATCTCGCATGGTGTTGCTGGGTTGAATGCATCCAATCAATCCAATCAGAGCGACCACATCCACCACATGTCGTCCATGCCAAGCTTTTCCCTAACGACTCATCAGATTCTATGGGGACCAGCCAGGGAACCGCAACCCGCGTCATTTCCGCATCTGGCATCGGAATTGACAGCCGTCGCAATTCGACATCGCATGTTGATCCTCAGCTCCCGCACGTGTCGTGCATCTTCGCACGATTCTCACCACTTCGCCAGTCTGCACCGCACTAACATGGCACCATTGATGTCTCCGCCTGCCGTGAACGAAGCAGGTGCCGCCATTGCACCACGCCGCAGCTTCTACACGGGAAGCAATCTTAGGTGATGTAGTATGCCGTGACTATACCAACAATGCATGTCAAGAAGCGAAGGAAGGAAGCATGGTGGCCCTGGTAGCACCGTGCTCGGTAAGTTATGGTAATCTGGAGGAAGGGATGTACCTACAGGCTCTAGTACTTATGAGTGACGCGACGGCAGTCCATTTCTGAATGAGATGACTGTGAAGTTTGTATTCTTACTCTAGCCACTCGTGCGCTAACCCAGTCATCTCGCCTACGACCAACTCCTTCGGTCGTGTGTCGAGCTTCGCAATACGCAACTAGGCCCAATGGTCGCCTCTTCACTCCTCCTCGCCGCCACCGCGCTGCTCCTCCGGACCGGTTCCGCGCAAACCTTCCGGCGGCTGGGAACATGTCCGACCTTAGGATGTATTCTTCCTCCGGACCAGGCTGACTTCCTGTCCGGACAGTATTTTGATATTCGGTAAGGACTCGGTGGCCGGGGATGGAGGCGCAATGGGCACGCGAACGTACTAAACAGACGTATAGTGTCGAAATCCATGCGCCGCTCAATGGCTCCGAAGCAACCAATTCTCCTCCAGACGAGAAATTCACGCTCACCATCGAGAAGGAGGGTGGCCGACGTGCCGCTGATGTCTCGAACTACTTCCGAACGGAGGAACCTAAGCTTGAGAAATGGCAGTTCAGCTGGTATGAAGGTCAGTATGGAGTTTATTCAACCTCGTTGCTCCCCTAGGAATCCCATCGCTCATGACCCAACAGATCTCTTCGCCCAGGATGCTAAAACGCCGACGATCGTCAATGTCACCTCCAAGGCCTGGCGGTACGTCCAGCTCACCGACCCCGGTGAGTATACCGCGACTCTAACCTGGAGCGGTGGGGAGACGGTTGCGAGCTGGTTGGTCCGCGATATGGATACCTCTCGCAAGGCTAAGAACGTCATCCTCTTCATTGGTGATGGCATGACTACCAATATGATCACCGTATGTCTACCGAGCAAAGTCGTCTGGAAATCAAGATCAAAGGCTAACATTAGATAGGCCGCTCGCCACCTTGGTCACAAGTCAATTAACGGTATCTTCCAGTCGCGCTTGGTGAGATAGATTTTGCATCTGTAACCTTGACAAATCTAACAATCTCAGGCCCTTGACAAGTTCCCGGTTGTGGGACATCAATCTACTCACTCTAGGGCTGGACACGAATAAGGATTTTGGCTATTCGTATTCGACTTTTCCTCTTGAACGATTATTCGTATTCGACTAAGTTTTGAGACGTTTTATTCGTATTATTCGCGAATATTCGTAAATAATGCCAAGACTTATTCGGCAAAAGCCGAGCCAATGAGTGAATGCCCAGCAGTCGCGACTTTTGTTTACCCGAACACGATGTGGAGGATTTGAGCTCTAAGAGATACAAAGCATATCAATAGCGTCGAATTGATCACTCCTGACGATTCAGCAAGCCAAGTGACCCCAGCTCAAAGCTCTCTGTCGACCATCTCTCCGATGCGAGATACATGGAAATAGCTTCAGAGATGGACGAATAATTACGAATAATTACGAATAATTACGAATAATGCGAATATTATTCGTACGAATATTAGTAAGCGGAAATTCTAAATTTTATTCGTATTCGACTACGAATATTCGTACGAATACGAATAGTCGAATATTCGTGTCCAGCCCTAACTCACTCGATCGACTCGTTCATTACCGACTCGGCCAACTCGGCCAGTGCCCTGTACTCTGGACACAAGAGCAGTGCAAACGCCCTTGGCGTTTATGCGGACTCCTCCAAGAGCCCTTTCGATGATCCGAAGGTAAGAGTTTGTCTATCGTCATAAGAACAAATTCCTGAATTCGATTCCTAGGTGGAACTCATCTCGGAAATCTTCTCCCGCAAATATGGCGCCAAGATCGGCGTTGTCAGCACGGCGTATATTGCTGATGCCACACCCGGTGGGCTTTCCGCTCATACCCGCTTGCGAAGCGAATATGGCGCCGTCGTCGACTCCTACCTCAACTCCGTCGCCAATTACACCTGGACGGATATTGAGGGTGTGGACGTTCTGTTCGGAGGAGGTGCCGAGCAGTTCTACCCGCCGTCGCTAGGCGGTGTGACATACCAGGATAAGGATTACTACGCCGAATTCGCCGAGAAGGGCTATTCTCTCGCACAAAATAAGACGAGCCTGCAGTCTCTTCCCAACGACAAGAAGGCACTTGGTATCTTTACTGTCAACAACCTGCCAGTCTGGTTAGACCGCAATGTGAGCCGTGTGAGATCGCACTAATTTGTCCATGAGCTGACAGAAGTAGGTCTACCCCGAGAACCTCAAGCTCGGCAACTCCCCCGATGGTCTTAAGACGGACCAACTTGACCCCCCGGGCCTCAAGGATATGACCCTCAAAGCCATCGATATTCTTCAGACACGTTCCGAGGGCAAGGGATACTTCCTCATGTCCGAAGCCGCCTCAATCGATAAGCAGATGCACTCCATGGACTACGACCGTGCCCTTGGCGACCTCCTGGAGCTCGACGACACCGTCAAGGCTACCATTGAGAAGCTCAAGAAGGACGGCACCCTCAAGGACACTCTGATCCTTGTGACCGCTGATCACGGCCATGGCTTCGACGTCGCCGGTGGTGTCGACACCCTCTATCTTGAGAAACAGGAGGGCGACCGCGAGAAGCGTGGTGCCATCGGTACCTACCAGGAGTCCGGCCTCTCCCAGTACGTCGTCGGCGAGCAGAAGACCGAGGGCTTCCCAGCCGATTGGGACCCGCGATACACCTTCCATTCCGGCCTCGCCACCTTCCCCGACCATCGTGAGAACTACAAGGTACACAAGGAAGGCCCGCGCACCCCGGCCATCAACCTGAAGCTTCTGGGATCCAGCGACTACTATGTCAACTACAAAGACGCCGTCACTGGCTTCGTCGTCAATGGTACCCTTCCAATCGGGGAGTCTCAAGGGTACGTCTATCTTCCCCATCCCCTGACTTGCCCGCTTTCGAGAGAGCATGTCCACTGACCCTATTCCCAGCGTCCACTCCCTCACCGACGTCCCCGTCTACGCCCTCAGCGGCCCCTGCCAAGACCTCTTCTCTGGCTCGTTCAACAACATCGACATCTTCTTCGGCATGGCCGAGTGTCTGGGCCTCTCCGAGAAGGGCACCCGTGGCCGCCGCGGGCGCTGGGGCAAGGGCCGGAGGAAGAACGGGTGGGGCGACGATGACTGGATGGTGTGGTAAATTTTCGGCTGATTTCTTTCATACCTTCTGCATGAATGGAGAATTTTGTGGTTGGGTAGAAACGGGACTATAGTCGTTCATTGAGTGGGGCTGGAGGGTGATAGATGATACCCGATGCAACTACATTAGTAATTCTTGGTACTGATCCCTTTCACAAAGAATTCTACACTCATTTTTCAGCTCATTCCCCCCAATGAATTGCGTGTGTTCTGGCAGAGGATGAGGCACTGCTTTTAATAACGATTAATCATGGTTATATCCCGTGTTTGGTATTTGGAAGAGTCTAATTCTGCATTCCTAGGATGAGGTGAGTGGGTGAATGAATAGGGGTCGACAGGTTTGATTAGATTCGATTAGATCCTATGTAATTTAATTTGGTTCGATAAGGTTGATGTGTTTCTATATAATAAAAATGATTAACCATGGTGATATCCAGTGCTTAGTATTTGGAGGAGTGATTCTGGATGCCTGTGCTGGGAAGGGGAATCTGAATAGGGGTCGACGAGGTTCCATTAGATTCGATTAGATTCGGTGCGATTCAATTGAATTCGACTCGACTGATTTGACTCGACTAAGTCGATGGAATTTGACGAGTCTCTATGTTGTTGTGTGTGTTAAGTCGTGTGTAAAAACTACCCAGGCAGCAAGGGGCAGCTTGTCCCTGATAATCTGATCGAGACCGCACAACTCGGAGGTGTCATTTCCCGAGCGTCACTGAAAGATCACAGCAAGCAGATCTGTTATCATGATAATGAATCTAATACCCATTAATATAACGCTATAGACCGCGCATTCATGAGCGAGCTTAGGAAGCTCGACGAGATTCAGTTCTGCTAGTGGCGGCAGAATCCATCGCAATTATGTATATCCCCTAGTTCTCGAGTATCCAACCCTGCTTGGTCCAATACTCATACTTAATAATTCATGCTCGTTGCTCATTCATCGTGTCTCGTCCCTCGTCCCTCGTTTTTAGTGCTGTGGATCGCGGTGATATTTTGGTGCACTGCTTCAGACTGTTTAGTGAGCCTATTCAGTGGTCTCCTTCGGTGCAGTGACCTGGTTCGCAGTGACCTCCTTCGCAGTGACCTCCTTCGCAGTGACCTCCTTCGCAGTGACCTCCTTCGCAGTGACCTCCTTCGCAGTGACCACCTTCGCAGTGACCTCCTTCGCAGTGACCACCTTCGCAGTGACCTCCTTCGTAGTGACCTCCTCCGCAGTGACCTCCTCCACAGTGACCTCCTCCGCAGTGACCTCCTTCGCAGTGACCTCTGCAGTGACCTCCTTCGTAGTGTCCTCTTTCGGAGCAGTGTCGTCTTTCAGGTCAGCGCCCTCCTTAGGATCAGAGCTCTCCTTCGAATCAGAGCCCTCCTTCACTCCTCCTTTCTTCTGCTTACGGCGAAAAGCGCGCTTGATCTTCGACCACAATCCGCACCTGATCTTCATACCGAGGAACTTCCTCACCTTGAGTCTCACCTGCTCCTCCTCAGCCCCTGCAACAGCGGTCTCGCTTGTGGCACCTTCATCAGTGGTGTCGGGCGGCAGCACGCCGTTCAGCGCCTCAATGGTTTCGTCGGCCCAAGATGCAGTTTCCATCATCGCTCGGATATTTCGGGATTCGCCGCCGCCGAGGGGGCGGGGGCTGCTACTGATTGGGAGAGTGGGGCCGCTGAGAGGGCGGGGAGTGCCATTGAGCGCGCCGGGGGAGCCAGCAATCGGGGCGGGGAAACCACTGACAGGGCCGGGAAAACTAGCCACGGGGTGGATGGTGGCCCCAACCGGGTCGGCGGGGCTACCAATCGGGCCAAGGGTGCTAACACCAGGGTCGATGATGCCGCCAGTCGGGCCGGGGGGATCGCTAATTGGGCCGAGGGTGCTAGGAAAAAGGGCGGGAGATCGAGCAACCGGGGTGGAGGAACCCGCATGAAGGACTAGAGTGCTAGCCATCGCGGCGGGGCAGCTACCAATTGGGCCGATGAAACTGCCACGAGGGCCTGGGGAGCCAGTAATTGGGCTAGGAGAGCCACCAGCGGCGATGATCTCGTCATCGGTCAGATTGACCGGAGGGAATGCCGAAACATATCGTCCGAGGGTCGGCGGGGGGTCGATTCGGCGCACCCGTGCAGGAGTGCTATCGGTGCTTGAAGTAGGTGCCCCGCGGCTGCGCGTGATGTCAGTAGGCCTGGTCTTCTGTAACTTTCTGGGTCGCAGGGGTGGAGCTGGCGTGATCGGGATCATCCCCCCCGGGAGCTGAGGTTCGGGCTCCAGCCCCTCGTAAGGAGAGTAGGGTCCGTTGGGTCCGATTAGATAGTACGGCTCCTTGGACGGCCTGGGCTCCATGACCAGGTATGGGTCCGATGGAGGACCGCGGGGAGCCCGGGGGGAGGAGAGAATGTCACCCATCGAGTCACGAGTGGGCTGGGTTTGTTCACTGCCGTTAGTCATGGTGCGGGTGAAGAGTGTGAGATTGGTCTCAGATAGCGATTAGCAATGGAGACTGCTTCGCGCAGGTACATAAAGCGAAGGAGGTGTTCTTTCTCGACAGGCGCTATAGGGTATAGCCGACTGGAGCATAAGCGAGGAGGATGAGGACGTTGTTTCCACCTTTGTTATCATTAACCGATCTATCACTCAATATTAGGAGAACAATTTAGAATAGGTGTTTCCGCGACAGTGATGGTGGGGATATTCTTACCGATAGACTCCAACAAACCGATGAAAAGTGCCAAATGCAAGATTCCAAATGACCTTTCACTCTTGGCGATGGTTAGTTGAATGTTTTTCTCTGACGGCTGGGCGACGATGAGGTAAGAAACTCACTCAACTTGAGGCAAGACGATGATATCGGGTAGCCCCTGAAGACGTTTTGACTGAAAACGATGATCTCCCGTTGAATTTGTAGAGGCTCGTGGGTCAAATCGGCGAGCAGGTCGCGATCGCGATGGTTGGGAAAGTGACTATGAAAGGATGGTGGCGGTGTGGGGAGGACAGTGAGGTTACTTCCATTCAAACCAAAGACAACGATGTCGAGCACCCCTGAAAACGTTTCGACTGGAAATGACGATTTCCCGTCGGGTCTGACGATGTTTTGGGATCTAATCGACGAGCTGATCGCGATGGCGGTAGTTGGAAAAGTGAGGTGTGAAGGATGGTAGTGGTGTTGTGAGGATAGCGAGATTCTCTCCATTCAAACCAGACGATAATGTCAAGTACCCCTGAAAACTTTTTGACTGAAATTGATGGTTTCCTGTCAAATTTAGGTATGTCTGTAGGTCAGATCGACGAGCCGATTGAGATGGCGATGGTGAGGAAAGTGAGATGTAAAGGATGAGAGGGAGGGAGAAGAGTGAGGGTGAGATCAGGCGAGTGAACTTAGAAGCGGGAGGATGAGGACGACTGATTTCAGACAGGAATTGTGGCTAGGCGGCAGAAGCAGATGAAGGCAATGAACGCGTTCGGCACGGGCCGTTTTTTATCATAAACAAATTGGATATTGAAGTTTTGACACAGAAGCCTATCGAATCATATACTGCCAAAAAACTCGATGGATATACCAACCCACGTGCAGTGGTAATAGCACGCTCATCAGATGCAATGCTATGCTTTCAATCCAAAAAGGTAAACAGATTCGTATGCACAACGCTCAATGCTCGGTCGGCATCTCGCTCGTCTATGACACAAGAGATATTGATCTCGCTGGCACCTAATTGATTCCGTCAGTATGGGTACGGACCAGCAAATTCTAGATGCAGATGCTAAAACAACCAGACTTTGAACAGCCACTTACCTTGCGAGATCATTTCGATATTGATGTTGTTATCACCTAACACACTGAAGAACTTCCCACTGATGCCAACCATGTTCTTCAGCTGCTTTCCCACGAGGCTGATGATGGCCATGTTCCCGATCAAGTCGACGTTCCCGAACTTGCGGAGTTCATCCACGGCCGCATGGAGGTCACGGTCCTGAATCTTCAACTCATCCTCCCCGCCGCCCGACAATAGCGCGCTTTCGCTATGGATCGCCATGGAGACATGGACCTCCGAGCTGGAGATCAAATCGACGGATAAATGCCACTTGTCGAGGATGTTGAAGATGCTCATCAGGAAGCCATGCGCACGCGTGCGCTTGTTGGAGTGCACGTTCAGCACGATGATGTTGTGCTTGACAGTGACGGCAGTCGGCCGTTTGGGATGCATGATGTTCAATGCCAGATCGGTGCTCGAACGGCTGCGGTGGAAGAGACGGGAGTCGTGGCCGGGCGTGGCGCCGTATTTACGCTCCTCGGGATCAGGTATGATCACTGTGCCCACATTCCTTGGGTTAATCACATTCTTGATGCGGATGGGGATGCGGGCCCGGATCACCTGCTCCATGGTGAATGGATGAATGACTTCCGAGCCATAGAAGGTCAGCTCCGCCGCTTCGGAGGGTGACACCGACGGGAGGAGCCGTGCGGTCGGGACTTTGCGTGGGTCGGCGGTGAAAATTCCGTCCACTTCTTTCCAGACCTGCAGTTCGTCGGCGTTGATCCCAACGGCCACCAGCGCAGCGCAGAGGTCCGTGTATCCACGGCCAATAGTATTTAAGAGCCCAGCAGGCACGGCACCAAAGTACCCAGTAATGACGGGCACTTTGTCACCAGCAGATTGCACCTTTTCAGCCAGCGCCTTGGAAAGGTTGGTGTAGAAGCTGTCATCGACCCCGTGCGAAGTGTCAAACTTGATCACATCGGAGAGATCGATGTACTGAGCAGGCACGCCTTGGTCCTCCAGCACTGCCGCCATGAACAAACAGCTGAGCTTTTCACCCTTGCTCACAATCTTATCCTCCACGCGGACGCTGACTTCTCCCAGGTGCTGCGCAGCCTCCAGGATTCTGGTCAATCCGACACATTCAGCGGTGATGGCATCGGACAACGATGCAAGCCGGGCGGGAGAGGCAATGGTCTCCTTCGCGGCGCTGATATGCTCGCTGCGGATGGCTTCGACGATGGCATCGTAATTGCGCACGGTGGGTTTCTCGGCCTCACGAGCGGCACGGAGGAGTCTGGCGTTTGATATTTACGTCAGCGTGTTTGCGGTCATATGAATCGGGAAAGAGGGGCAGCCACAAACCTGTTGGTGGTTCCTTCCGCCTTCGTATTGTTTGATCGGGCCGAGCAAACAACAGCAATGCGATTCTTCGCCAGGCCATCGCTGTTAAAGGAAATAAAGTCAGCTGTCACGCTCTCTGCACACCATCTCACGCATTTCGGCCCATTTCGGCACGCCGATGTCGCTGCGCATGAAAAAGTTGACTCACCGTGCAATGTCCGCGATGTTCAGCGCACACTTGCCTACACTGGTGCCGCCAAATTTCTGCACCACCCAGTTCCCACCGCCAGGCAAGTTCTTCTCCATTTCGTGCGGTATTGATTCCGACACGGGGTATGTGAGCCCGTTCGCCGTGGCCGCCATGTCAGTGGTCTGAGTCAGATGATTCGACGAGCAATTGCGGGCGGTGGACGCGATGTGTTCTTTGTATTCGGCGAGCTGGAGAGGGTAGAAGGGTGTGGGAGGGGATTGGCCGTAGGTCGTCGTGAGATATAGGTGACTGGGGGAGCGAGGAATGTGGACGGCTTTCGATCCGGCAAAGTGGACTTTTGAGTCTTTTGAGGCTTTGGAGGCAATCAGTTGTGTCGTCCATGAGTCAGTCAGGCGGGCCGTTGGAGGGGTATCGCTCCAGCGCCGGTTGCCGACATGACTCATTAACATCGTGTCCCACGGCCTCTCGGATCCTCAGGCTCGCTGTCGGTTTCTAAGATTACTGGAAGGTGCATACACAAAGGGGGCCTGAAAACAGATTATAGACTTCGCAGCCCGCCACCAGAGTTGATCGTCACTACGGCAATGGGAAAACGAGAGAATGGGCGCAGCTGACTTGGGCCTGGAATGACTGGTTCATACTTTGTGCACCCGGGGAAACGGCCAAAATTTATGCGAGCCCACTGGGTAATGAGCACGAAATACTTGCATGCAAGCCCACCCTGCAAACTCGGCAGGCACCGCAGGAGACATCCAGACTCATCGGGAACGATGCTGCAATCACCTGCATCGATTCTCCGCATTCTAATTGACGTTGCGGCGGATATACCCGACGGCCAAGGCTGATCGCGACGGTATAGTGTTGGAGAGTGAAGCACGGTGCACGGAACATTCGTTGTGTTTGAGATATTTCACACTTTGACTCATGGAGCACAACCTCCGCCCCTATTCAAACTCATTTCAAAGGCACGATATTGCGCACCCGGAATGCTCCGACTGTCCACCAGCCTGCAATCAGACGTACTCGTTCGGCATATATCCCCAGCCCATGTAGTCACCGAAATTTATGGGGAATCCTTGCCAGATCCTCCTTCCCCAACGACCTCTCCTGCATCGATCCTCCATTGCGCGGTTGCTCTCAAGGAGCATGTCATACCCCTGACAACGAGGCCGACGGCTGCATTCGCAGATTGAACACCGCGTGACCATCATTCCGTCGTCCTGTCCATCTCATAACCGTACCACAGCATAGTTTCCGGATCTTTCCAACCTGCCATGCCTGGTTGATACCGTCTTCTATTCCATCCTTGTTCCGACCGTGGGTAGCGATCGAATCTCCTTTCACCGACGCTGTCATAGTTTAACATTCCTAAAAGATTCGTCGTTAATATTGTGCAGAGCCACCAGAATAGAGGTTTCATCGTCGCCAACCACTAGTAGTGCTGCCTCTATCATCCAGTTCTCGCTGCCTCTCAGCACTTTTGGATCGGCTTCGATTCCGACCGCCACCGAATGCGCGGTCAACATGGCGTCGTGGTGATGCATGCCTGGGGCGGTCAGGATCGTGTCGACGTCCGTCGCGGTCATCCTCTCTGTAATGACCTCGGTCGCGAGGCGGTTCTCGTCGGTCTACGTGATGGTAGTCGCGGTCTCGATATTGGCGCTCCCCCTGGCGAGGTTTGCGATTCGGAGTGTCGTCGTAATCTAAACTTGCCGACCGTCGGTTGAGCTCCCCAGGTTCGCGATCTCGCACCCTGGCACCATCGGAATACGCAGGAACGTAGCTGTCCGCATGTGGTTTGCGCTCACGGTCGTGAGCTCTGGGAGCGTTCCTCCCACTGTTCATGTGATAGCGACCGTCCGGTCCAGAATGATGGCTATGATGCCGATATGCTGCTCCTACGCCGGGTGCACGGCTATACGCAGCGCCACGGTCTCTCCAAATCAGCACGAGATGTAGAAATGTTGGGATGCTTGATTTACCATTGAAAAAGTCGTCATTCTGGCCGTTACCCATTTCACCACCAGCAGGCGCTGGAGGCAGGTTCGGTTTGCTCCGAACGGAGCGACGGTCGATCTCATGGGAGTCCTCGAATCTCGGAATCTCGTGTGGACGCAAAGGATACGGCTTCGTTCGGAAGTAGGGATGTTTTAGAGCATCGATCGCGTTGATTCTTCCCCGCCAATCGAGAGTCAGAAGCTTCTCTAACAAATCAAGCGCATCGGTGGAGAGTCTATAACACGTCAGTACCAACTGTGAATGGCGTGAGGAGATCCATACTCTCTGAAGATCTTCCGTAAGTTTCCACTCGTAGGCGCCCATATCTTGTTATAGACTTCTCCGACGCCTGGCAGCTCTTTCCAACCAGGCATATTCTGGTCGCTCGGCGAACCCACGAGATTGAAGATTAATGTCGCTTGGTTCTCGTCACTGGTGCCGACGAGGATCGGTTTGCGCTTGAACATTTCGCCAAAGACGCAGCCGACTCCCCACATGTCCACGGCAGTCGTGTACTTGGTCAGTTTCATCAAAAGCTCCGGCGGTCGGTACCACCGTGTCACCACCAGGGCCGTATAGTCATGGGTTCCGGATCCGCCGCCTTGGCCAGGCTTCGGGGGAGAATCGAAATATGGACGCGCAAGGCCAAAATCGGCAATTTGAAGAATGCCTTTGTTGCTGATCAGAAGGTTGGCCGCCTTCATGTCGCGATGCATGATCCGTGCCTCGTGGAGATATTCGAGCCCGGCAAGCAGTTGCAGCATATAGCTCTTGATCTGGCCTTCCGTGAAATCGACATCGGGGTTGTCAAGAAGTCCGGAGAGGTCATGCTCCATATAGGGTGTCACCATGTAATGAATATCCTTTTCTCTTGCTTTCACTGTTCAACTGTCAGTCGCTGGCAGGATATGCGTCACGTGATAAACTCACCTCCTCGCTTGACAGCCATCTCCATAAGTTTGAGGAGATTTGGATGGGATACTTGATTAAGAAGCTTGATTTCCCGAAGCGCTGTGATCGGGAACTGAGAAAAAAGGCATCAGTATTGAGCTACTGGTTGTCCAACGCGTGAACTAGCTTACGCCATCTTTCTCGCTGTGGATGATGATCTTCTTGAGCGCAACGATTTCCTTAGAGCGTGTATCACGGCATTTCCACACTTCACTGCAGGGTGTCAACAAATACTGCCGAAGGCCAAGGGATCACAGCTTACCCAAAAGTGCCTTCTCCGAGTTTCGCGATGAAGTCGAAGGTGGTGACCTTGGAAACGCCCTGGTATGGTCGGTCCATGGCTTTAACGAGGAGCCTTCGGCACTGCTAATAGCAACAGTCGGACAACCAAGTATCATAAAAGGGTCTGGATGATGCAAGGCCTTTGGCTAATTCCGGGATATGGATGGTGTCGAATATGTCATGACGGAGCAGGACGTAGGGTGGACCTCAATCGGGAGACGCGACTTGCTGCATCCATGAGCAAGTGAATCCGAGCGCTGGGGGGATCAGATCCCTTTATCGGAGAACAAATCAGAAATGCAAAGCGGTATGGAGCAGGCGTAATTAGCTGATTGTATAAATTGACTTGTGATAAGGTAAGGTATTTGATCTTGGAAGCGGGTCACGATCCGATCCAACTGAATAAATCGCCTGCACTGGGACATCCCTGCTGAGATCTGTTGGCTGGTTGCGATGCTTGGCGCCGCCTTCCGAATAACCTCACATCCACCATTGTCCGTCATTCCTGCTCGTTTCCTGCTCCATCCAAGCTCGTGCTGGTCTCATCTAGGTCTCAATCAAAGTGAAGTATGCGCACCAGCCATTCCTCAATGCCTTCCAATGCTAACGACCGCCAGCCCCCTCGCACACATCCACAATGGCGAGCCCATGGAGTACCCGTTACGGCGCCAGTCACCCGATCAAACCTCCCCACGTCCGTCCGTTCTACAGATATACCGCCATCGGGCTCGGCGCCAGCATGTGGTTTTTCGTACGACGCCCCAATTCATGGAACCGGGCGTGAAGCTGATAATCCGATAGATCTTCTACCGAGCAAAGCAGGACCTCCCGGTGCTGCTGCACTGGAGACACCCTTGGGAACACCACGATTGAACGCACCTTGACACCACGATGAGGCAATATAGGTCCGGTGAGGGTATGGCGATTGTGCTATTGAATCACGAACGGAGCACTGCATTCGCAAAGCTGGATCTCCGATCTGAGGGCATGGTCGAAGCATTGTACATATTATGGCGCCGTCGGAGGCATGGCAATAGCAGAAACCGGTATACCTTGCCGTTTGAAATATGCGACAAGTTCTATTATCCCTCGCTCGACATGACAATGGTGATCGATGCTGCCATTGAGACCTTGGGGAGAAAACGACCCATACCCCAGATGTTACCCCAGATGCACTCCACTGACGGGCGAACCCTCCAGCGCAAACAGGATAGTATATCTGCCACCGATTCCACTACGTTGTGACGTTAACGTTGTTCTAATTTATTCCAAATGCGGCTACATTTTTAGTGACTTGCAGCATCGTTGCAAACCAATCCCGTTCTAGGATGTCACGGTGCCTCCACATAGCATGGATGGGGTAGATATCTTGTCATTTGATCGTTCAGATCCTGTATCAACTCTAGCTCAAGGTTTAGGACTGTCTAGAAAACACTTTGCCCCCGTAAAAGCCTGTCAAGGCTGACTTTTGCTCATGTCTACTCTAAAAAGGCATCGATAGCCCGAGTTGATCATAAGTGCACCAACCCGATGAGATACCACCCGTGCATATGATATATAAAATCCCAACCAACTCCAAAAATATGCATGAATGAAAATCTAGCCTCAGCCCGAATTTGAAGCAGCCGACGGTCGCCGTCCAAAGCTCGGCGTTGCCGGGCGACTCGGCGAAGGGAAAAACGAAATATTCCCCCTTAGCGCGACATACTCGCTGTCCGCGTAGCCTAAGACCTCACGAATCTTCTTACTCTGCAGCCCCTTGATGCGTTTGATCTCTATGGATGAATAATTGACCACCGCGCGCCCCACTTCCGTGGGCGGCTCGTGATCGTGCTCGTGCGGGAAGTAATCGTCTTGCGGATGGGACAGGTCCGGCTTGTTTACGACGAACAGCCGCACGGCTTCCTGCTGCGAGAAGTGGCCCTCGACCTCCACCACGCCGACGGGGAGAAGGCCGTGCTTTTCGTAGAGTGCGGTGTATGCGCCGGCGTCGATGTAGATGGACCCGCGGGGTGAAAGGCCGTAGAGGAGCCAGAAGTAGTTGTCTTTGATCGGACTGAGGTGGGGGAGGAAGCGGGTGTGGAGGGGGACGGAAACGGGGTTGGTCTGAGGTGATAATGGCTCGTCCTCGTCTATTTGCTCGGGGATCGAGACCGCGGCCGGGATGGTGGAAATGGCCCCGTTCCGAAGGGCGTCAGCGGACCCGGGCTGCTGCAGGATCTGACTTCGACTCGGGGTCGATGGTGTGGATGCCCGCGTAATCTCTTTCTCTTTCTGTGATTCGACGTAGTCGACTATGGTTACGACATTGCCGGGATTGCTGGATTTCATGATGATGGTTGTGACGCCCTTGGACGTTGCGAGGCGTGCTGCGACGATTTTCGTCCCCATGCCACCGGTGCCTAGGTTTGAGCCGCTACTCGAGGTGTCCGCCTCGATTGCGGTGATATCCTCGACCACTTCAATTGGCTTGGCATCGGGGTTGGTCCTGGGATTCTTGTCGTAGAGGCAGTCAACATCCGTCATCAGAAACAAATAGTCCGCTTGCACCATGCCGGCGGTGATGCCAGCCAGCGTGTCGTTATCGCCGAATTTGATCTCGGAGACCGAAATGGTGTCGTTCTCGTTTACAATTGGAATGACGCCCATCTTCAAGAGCGCGCTGAAAGCGTTCTGGGCATTCCGAAACTGCTCCATGTCGGCAATGTCGGTCCTGGTGAGCAGGATTTGCGCGACAGGTTGCCGTTGAAGGTCAAAGATATCATCCCAGAGTCGCATCAGACGACATTGTCCTATAGCGGCCAGCGCCTGCTTTTCGGCGAGGAGCTTTGGCCGTTTGGGCATGTTCATGAGACGGAGAGCCACGCCGATGGCGCCCGAGGAAACGATGACAACCTTATGGCCTTCTTGCCGTAGGTTCACCGCGGTCTCTGCAATCAAAGCCAAGTTTGATACGAGATACCGCCGTGATGTCTCGTCTACAATGGAGCTCGTCCCTAGATATGGTCAGCATTGTATAGCCGGGATTGAAGTGGAAGCATGGAAGCATGATGAGATGCAGCCAACCACCCACCCAGCTTGATCACGATAGTAAGAGATCGCTTCATCTTCAGAATATTTGTCTAGAGACTCTAGAAACATAGGAGATGAGGAGAAAAGAGAAGAGGAAAGAGATCGCCCGATTGAAATACTCATTCTTTCGGTGCCGCTGGTTCCCCGGTATTACGGTAATATCAAATTTAAACCTTGACGCTCCCTGATGTCAGACTCGAAAATTGTTCGGAGGTCATTCCTCCCCTGCAATAGGTAATTAGGCTGCAGCCTGTAATACAGCTACCGAGCCACAGCCCGTTGAGAAGCTTGGAACATGAACCTTTGAATCCTCTTGCCTTGCACTGTTGAGGGTAGCACCGTTGCACGCCTTGCAAGTTGCACGCCCTTGCCACCCACTTCAAGCCGCCCACTTCAAGCCTCCGCCTGCATCGATCTGAAATAGATCCAAATCTAATTAGTAGTCCCTTCGTCATTCCCCACGTTACCGCGGAGTGGCGGCCAATATACCTTCACATGTCCAACCCGGAGCTTCCGGAGACGTCATCTCCTACCCACCCGCAGGACTACACTGCCCCCGACCGAAGTTTCTACACATGGTCCAATTTCTTTAAAGTCTTATTAGCCGGTGCCCCGGAGGAGCGGCAAAAGTATCTGGCGGTGAGGGATGAGTTGCGGGAGGAAAAAGATTGCAAGCGATGCGAGTCGTTCAGAGATTGGGCGTTCAAGCGGAGTAAGTTTTCCATTGGAAAACCCATTCGAGGCGCAGTTGTTAACCCACGATTTTCTTCCCAGGTCCTGTCGTCCGCTTTCTCCGCGATGAAATCAACAAGATCGGCCCCGACCTAGGCCCCCAACACGTCCGATGCAAGCGCTGCGTCCATGGCACGAAGGGCAGTACCTCTGGTGGCTTCTCCCCGGACTACGGCATCCTGCTCTGCGCGAACGAGCTGGTGAACAAGAAGCGGCTGGAGGACACGCTCGCACACGAGATGGTGCACGCGTACGACCACGTGCGGTTCAAGACGGACCCGGAGAACCTCCGCCACGCGGCGTGCATGGAGATCCGGGCGTCGATGCTCTCGGGAGAGTGTCGGTTCATGCGGGAGTTCTTTGGGCGTGGGCAGTATAAGATCACGTCGCAGTTTCAGGATTGCGTGAGGAGGAGGGCGACGTTGTCGGTGCGAGCAAGGAGGCATTGTGAGGACGATGTGCAGGCGGCGACGGCGGTGAACCAGGTCTGGGAGAGCTGTTTTAACGACACGAGACCGTTCGATGAGATATATAGGTGATGATGGCGGCTTTGTACGATAGGGTGAAAGATCAGACGGGCATGTTTACGCTACAGACATAGCTGATGTCGACTGACACTGTACGATTAGAGATATATACTGCTGTTCAAGCAGGGAACGCCGATGACCAACTAGATGACTCCACTATGATCCCAATGGTCCGGCCCGTTCATGATATAAGTTGCAAAAGACCCCGAATTCCGCCCGGTCTACTCCAAACGCCCCGATCTATGATATCCCACATGAAGTTCATACAGACTGGATTCAATCAGTCCAAATCTCGTGCCCTTTCACTGCTCCGCGAATTATTCGACCCTAGACTTCTCTGGTGAGCCCGTTCGCCGGTGACGCAGTGCTTCATGATCCAGGGGTGGCGTTCAATCTCCTCGAGTGCAATGCGCTTTTCGGGGTCAAGCACCAGTAGCTGCATAACCGGTTAGCGTTCGTATTCGGGAGTTGAGCACCGCGGATCTTACCCGTTTGATTAGGTCCCTTGCTTCTGAACTGACGAACCCTGGGATGGTCATCTCGCAACGAACAATTCGCCGTTGCGTCATCACATGGGTGTCTTCGAACGGCGCTTCGCCCACAAGGAACTCGTATGTGAGCACCCCAAGGGCCCAAAGATCGACCTTTTCGCTGTACGTCCGATCCCCTCCATTTTTGCTGCGCCCGGAGATCATCTCTGGCGGCAGGTAGTCGAGCGTGCCGCACATTGTGTCTCGCCGGTTGTTGGGCGCATGCACGCTCCATCCAAAATCCGAAATTTTAATCTCGCCATACATGCCGACTAGGATGTTCTCCGGTTTAATATCGCGATGCATGACGTGTTTCCTGTGCAGATATTTCAGAGCGCTAGTCATCTGTGCGATGTACTGCGCCGCGCGCGAGTCTTCAAACCGGCCGGCCTTGCGCAAGTGCTTGTATAGCTCCCCTTTCCCCGCAAACTCGAGGATGAGGAACACCCGATCCCTGTCGTGAAAGTGGCCGTACAGTCGGAGGATGTTGGGATGCGCAAGGTTGGATTGGATCTCAATCTCGCGCCGCACTTGTTTCTCGACCTTGCCTTGTTGCAACTCGGTCTTGTGTAGGACTTTGAGAGCGCATACAAATCCTGACGATTTCTCCCGGGCTAGGTATACTCGTCCGAATTTGCCTTTCCCCAGAGGCTTTCCGATCTCGAACATGCCTAAACTAAATCGCTTAGGGACACTCGGCTGTTTGTACAGTGGGATCGATGGCGCTGTTAATGAGGCTCGCTGAAGGTTTTCTGATGATGGTCGTTGGACGATGGTGATGGACGCTCCTGCAGCCGATTTGGCCGATTGAAGCTTCTGGAGGGTAAGCTTCATGCGATTTCCGGCGTTGTTGGAGGCTCCCAGTCCGGTGATGGACATCGCAGCTGATAAAGAGCCCTAGAGAAGAGATGCTTTAGCCATTGTCCTGATATAGCGGAAAACATTCTGATGCGCTCTACCTTTGGTTTCTGGACGAGCTGTCCATGGCCATTGTATCCCTCATTCTCATCGTGTATCGTGATCTTCTCGAAGCAAGCTTCGAGGCTTTTCTTATCCATCTTGCCACGAGTCTCCTTTGTTGTTCGTGTCTGCGACGGAGTTGCTCTGCGTGTTAGGACCTTTTGGGCGGTTTGGAGGGATGTGACGCCGTTATAGTCCTAGAATCCGGAAGACAGCACGGATCCGGCGACGTCTCTGCGGTTAACTGGGGAATGGAACGATCGTGAGTACAATTTCGCTGGTCGCAGAGTAAAGATGGATGTGAAAATGAGATGTAGCGAAGCAGGTGTGTGGTGGTAAACATCCGTTGTGCAGAGCAACAACCCCATCCATCACCCTGTCCCTGTGCACGGACTTGGCCAATGCCTCCAACCTCTGGCAACGAAACTTGATAGTTGACATCAGTGAACTGGAGCTTCAGCTTGGTTTTTGCAATCCCTTCAAGAATACCTACCTGTGCTACCTGTAAGTTCGCATAAAGATCGACAAATTGTTATCCGAAGACCTCCTTGGCTTGGGTGTAGAAATGGACCATCCTATCAAATCCACCACCAACGGCAGCACCTTCAAGTCACCAACAGCTCAATACGCCTCGCCCACGGAAGCATCATCTGCAACGTCGACATGTTCCCGCGATGGTTTTCGCATCACGACCCGAAAGCTGCCCATTCTCAAATCAGGGCCGATCGAGGACATGACCAATAAGCTTGGCATTGCCCCCCCCGAGATGATCTTTGGAGACAACCACGTCACCATCGCTCATCTCAAGTCGGGGTGGCAGATAAGCTTCAACGCGTTCGATGCCTTGGATCGCGTAGACAAGACCGGAGGCTCCATGCTTCAGGTTGCCTACTCCAAAGAATGGCAGAAGAACCGGGAACGGCACACCGAGGGCATCAAAGAGGTGGTCAAGCCGTTCGACTGGAGTTTCTCGACAGACTACAAGGGCACCATTCGGAAGACGGACGCTCAGCATCTCGATGTGAACGCAAGGAACGACGAGAATGAAGCTACGAATACCACATCGGAGCTGGACTTCAAGCCTACAAATCATGACCTGCCGATGCATCTACTTCGACTTCCAGATCCGATCCTGTTCTTCGACGATGTGATGCTATACGAGGACGAACTTGCAGACAATGGACTTTCAATGGTGTCCGTCAAGATTCGCGTCATGCCCGAACGACTACTCCTCCTTTCCCGATTCTTCATGAGGCTCGACGACGTCGTCTTTCGCATCCGAGACACGCGTGTTTTCGTCGAGTTCAAAACGGGCGAGGTGTTGCGGGAATATCAGGCCTGGGAAGGGAAATTCGAAGATGTCAAGAGCAGGCTCATGATGCAGCACGGCGGGAGAGAGGCCGAAGTTCTCCAGATCATGCGCGATGCCAATGGCCTGTTGCAAGCCGGCGGCCTCAAAATCGTCGACGAAACCCGCGAACGACTAGAACTCCCCGTAGGATGAAATACGTTGGAACGCATGGAGTCAGGTTTAATACGGATTGATGACCGTTCGCGGACACCTAACCCTCCCGAACTCTCCAACGAATTATCTAGGACACTGCCACGCGAGAAGTGGCGGGAATAGACCGCCGTGCTACCACCGTTGAGACATGGCTGCATCAACACTGCTTACCAGTGGGACGATCCGGCGGTATGGAGCACTTTACGACGAACGATTGGCTAGTGCCAAACAATTGTGTAGCAACGCCGCGGACCACAGAGGGTGGGCGTCGCATTTTGTGCTGTGCGTGCACGTCGGGTGTCGGATGTTCCTCTCCCCCGCCATGCTTGGGGATTTCGTTGGTTCGGACGCCGGATAAATATCGAAAGAGAGACAAGCAACGGCGGATGATGTGCATGTACGGGAATAATATCGCTGACCAATTCTGAGGTGACGGGAAAATCTTCATGCAGTTCCTTGATTCTTCCGAGTGGTATCAACTTGTCGAGCGAAGCTCATTGTCCCAGCCTGGGATTGGAGATGCTTGTCCTCAGGAATCCTGGCCACTCTCGTGTGTCGAAAACGTCCTTAGCGTCAGTTCTAAGGGAAAAGTCTATGCTGATCGAACTTGTCTATTCGGATGTAATCCTATGTTTCACGCATTAGCGGTGGTATAAATCGCGCAGCGTTCGAGGACAATTGGTCCATTAAGAATGGCATATCCTTGAATCACTGCTATACGATCGACTGGACTGGCTCTTGTCTCATATCAACAAGCATATCCAATCATTCTGCCGTAATAGATCTTACATACCATTATTGCCGTCCGGTCGCTCCGCATGGAGGGTTATCACCCTTGCCTGTACCCCGCAATCCATGAATCCTCTTGCGAGTCGAACACTCCTTCCAGTCTACCAATCCCCAACTTCACCCCCATCATCCGTCAACTATTACATTGGCATGTCGTCATGTAAAGGACCTGAGGACATCTCTCAAGTTCCCCTTAACTTTAAAACCAAAGCAAGAACTCCTGGTACACCGGTTTATGGCTCAAAACAATCCTTCATCCGCACCAAGTCCGACTCTGCCTCAGAGGATAGACATCTCTTAACTCGATCGTCGTTCAAGACCTGTCATGTCTCAGCCATGGTTGGCATTCCTTCGCCAGTGACCACACCAACTACCGTAAGCATCTGTCCCTTCACGGCTAAATCTCCGATCTTTCGGTTGAAATCGGAAGGCTCCATGTGGCCATAACGGCCAACCAACACCCTGTTCAGTTGAAGATCCAGGATCCTCCGCTCACTTGCATTGTTGTCATCGATTCCCCGCACTGGGGTATATCCCCACGCCTCGTGGCGCATCCCTTGTCCCCGGATTCGACAGGAGTCATAGAGTGTCAATTACGTACCACTTGGAGAAGCGTTCGCCTGGGGGAGATCAGGGTTCATCAGCCCGCCGGTTGGTTTCAGTGATTTGTCAAGTATTGACGATCTCATTTCCTTACGCACAATAGCCTTTCATCTCTTGCAAGTTGCAACCCACGAACGATTGTGATTCGCCATCAGCGGCACAGACGAATGACGATTTCACGTCCATGTCAGTCTCTGATGGCCCGGTCCCGCGTCGCCTTATGGATCTGGGGCTCCGCGCTCAATAAGTTCTAATGACTTCTGGAATATCTCCAACCTAAGCCTAGTCGCAGTCCACAGATGCCCAACGCCGTCTGTGCGTGTAAACTATGCGGCACAGCATCCTATCAGCATTTTCCGCAATATGTTCGCCAGGTCCGTGGCCTCAAAGTTGCGGCTCGAGTTGGATGTCGTATCGTCAAAGCGGGACATTGCAATTTCCGCATCTGCAGCGCGACGTGAGTCTCCAGGGCGAGCGGAGGTATCGATTATCTTATTTGTCTGGTTGATTGAACTGCAGCACCCAGCGCCGTGGCATGACCAATGGCATTGTGCTGGGCTCCGCTTCATTCCAGGGTTGAAACGGGTACAGATACCCCCTGCGTCAGAACTCAGAAGCGTGTTTCCAGAAGACGCGTGGAAGCTTGCATTCCACACTTGACACCGCAACCAACGTCTTGGGAGAAACCGCGCGTAATATGGCGAGATTGAACTCCTGGGGTCAAATAAGGCGAACCATGTCGTTGTCTCCCCAGTGGAGCAGTTGTACCCCTTTACGCTCCGATACACGACCTTGTTATGTGAAATAAAACGACCTCTCCTTCTTTACCTGGCTTTCGTATCCCGCCCCTCGATTCGGGAGCTACCGGGCTTAGTTTGAACGGACCAGGCACATTTTCAGTTTTCACATGCCTCGATTGTACAAGACATCTACTCACGCCTGAGACGAAAAAATACCATTATCATAATTCATGCAACATGTGCCTGCTTCTATGTTTATTTCAGGATGCTCAAGCTCGGCGGGTTCCCGCAATACGGTCTGTCTTCCAGTTCACTGCCTCTGGTGCATCCAATTCCGGTATCCGATCCATTGAGGGCGTCTGGGCGACTTCAGGATATCCCATTGTTGTCCCAACCACCACCAAGGACTTTCATATGCAAGAAGCCGACGTAGGTTCTGTCCAAACACGTCCTATTTCCTCCGACATTAGTTCTGAACGAAATCAACCCTGTCTCCGTTCCCATCGCGATCCTCGATCGTTTCGCAATTTTGATTGATGAAGCGCGACCTCATGAAGCCAAACCTTGGTGGTGCAATGGCGATGTGTGATGTCAGGGGTCCCCACATGCCGAGGCAATTTCCCCTTTCGGCAGCGGCACTTCAACCTCATCTCTCCATTTCCCACCAACGTCCTATCAACAATGCAACGGCGTTCGCACTTAAATTAATTTAGCCCACGCATAATCACCTTTGCGAACCCTCCAGCGATAATATCTGCTCCGATCAGGATGGGTGAGATTGCTTGGGTACACTTCAATGAGGGGTTTGCACGAGTCAGGCTGTTCCTAAGGATTGGGACGCGGCCTGATATAGCCCGCCGGTGCCATCCACAAAGGTCAACATCACCGCGTTGGAGGACTGGCAATCTTCACTGACGACATTCTCGTAGCCGCAATATACTAAAATGGGTATATTACCGGTCTAGATATTTCTGTGTGCATGAGAGATCGACCATCATTTGTCACTCACAAGGGGTCCGTCTAAATTGGAGGTCACGCCAGTAGACGCAGGCTATGGCGAGCGACCGGAATATACCGACGAGATTAGTGGGTATAAAGTCTCCGTATTCTTGACAAGGGCGGTTGTTTTGCGACATTTCGAAGGGCTCTGGGGTTCGAATATTCCGGGGTTGTCGCCTGTTGACCAAAGGAGTAGATCCCATCTGCACATGATATCAACCTCCATGCTGTGGCTGATACTCCAACGCTGCTGCGGCTCACTCCTTCCGATGGATCGGTATGAACCGGAAGGTTTCAGCTTTGCACTACATGATATCATTCCCAAAGTGGAGAGTCGAAGCGATTCGGCTCCGAGGGAAGTCTTGAGAAGTGATTGTGGACTGCTCGTCCAAGTGGTTTGCTCGGTCCGTGGTGTAGAAATATTCACAGGTACATAAGGATGTCGCGTGCGGCGTACTAGAAGGAAGTATCGCCGAGATTTTTGAATTGACGGCTGCCTGGCGTTCAGTCAAGCGGGACAATATGCAGGTCGCAAATCGGGCGGTTTGCGCGGGTGTCCAAGCCACAAACAGGCAGAAGTCAAACAACCAAATGAATCCGGCTAAATTGCTCCCAATGGTCAATCCAATTCCTCAACCACGACCTTCAACTGCAATTGGACCCTTACCGGCTATACTGAAACGGACAATGGAACGACCACGACAACCACCATCCGTGTCACTGGAACTGAAACGATATGATACTTCTTTGAAAGCGTATCTGGCCACTAAACCGACCATTCATCGACTGGTGGCATCAAACCTAGTCTTCCACAATAACACGCTACTCGTTGTCCAACGCAGCGAAAATGATTTCTATGCCGGCCGATGGGAATATCCGGGAGGCTCGGTGGACGACTCGGACAGATCGATCCTCGCGGGGGCCGCGCGGGAACTCTACGAAGAAACAGGCCTTCACACGACCGGGTTCGTCCGAGAGGTCGGCGCGGGAATGAACTTCACCACAGGAAAGGGGCCGAAGACGACGAATTGGCTGAAGATGTCGTTTGAGGTGGATGTTGCTGCGGTGGGCCCAGCGGAGAGTGGCCAAATGGGGATCAGTTCCAGTGGACAGGGGGGGAAATCCAAGGAGCTGGAGCTGCCGGTCCAATTGGATCCAGTGGAGCACCAGGACTACTGTTGGGTGACAGAAGCGGAGATCAGAGAGCGGAGGGTCGGCGGGATGAGTTTAACGTTCATATCGGAGGAGGCCCGAGCAACGATGTTAGAAGGTTTCACGCTGAGGAGGGGAGATTGAGAGGCCAAGCTGGGATGGGATGCATGTGTACATAGACAATAGAACAATGGAATTTAGCCCTGCACATATCAGAGTGTCAACATTTTCATAAGACACACCAATTACGCCCGCTGCTTGCGCATGTAAATTCAGTTGCCCTACCGGTGAAATCCAATTTAGATCCGATGGGATCATCCGCCCTACACTAGTGATCATCGACTGTCATTGCGAATCCGGCCATGGCGAATATTCTGAAAGGCATCATGGTGATTCGTTATCCCGACCCCTGGAAACGTCCTGCGTTAATGAAGGGTCAGAAGTCGCAACAGCCTGCATGACCGTTTGCCCTGGCAGAAAGATCGCGGGGTAGTGGCGTTCAGTCTGGGTCTTCACATGGTCAAATCTCAGCATCACCTGATGGAGACCCTGCGTTCAGGTATATCCAAGTGGATACACTGGTCTGCATTCCCCACTGCAGACGACGTGTTTTCGCAGGTGTCCAAGGACCGCCCCAGCGCAGGAGGCACCTAGAGTTGTTGATGACGAACCAACAAGGAGGCAGGAATGATGATAGGTTATTGCCACCTCATAATTACGGATTTTGCCGCCTAGGAAGAGTCAGGTTTAGTGAGGGCACTGAACTCATTGACACGCCTGAGACTTCCTGTCTATGGAGGAGCTCCGGGGTCTACTGTATGATGACAAGCTGCAAGGTGCTCTCGCTTGGCAAGACGGATATTGATGACTAGATGGTCCCTGGGTAATCTAAGAACTCGCCTATCGCGGCGCTTGGAGAGCCTCAGAAGATCTTGAGACTTGACCCCGTAGAAACTTCAGGCATTCTTGGCTTGCATGTGCTGGGGATTTGTCAGGACTTAGGGAAACATGCAGCATGCCAGGCCCAGCCAAATAGGCAGCGGCATGTGAGAGCAAAGAGTGGCCTGCGAGGGACACGAGATGTACAGGACATGGTGTGGAGTATTATTGACTGACCAGGAACAATTGCCCGAACGGCAAGCAGCATATTGGAATTTGGAAAGCATAGATTAGAGACTCTGATAGGAAAAGCATGGCATAATATTAGTAGCCAACACGCCGGATAATGAGAGACCCAACGGATACTTGACGGGTCAAGGAAATATTGACGGTTGACGGATGCACCCACACGCGAAGTTGACGTGGATCAGTTCGCAGCGGACGCCAGTGGAAGCGAAAGGTATCCGACTCGCGAAGCGAGAGGTATCCAGCGACCGGCTCGTGAAGCGACGGGACGAGATCAAGATGGATTGACATGACAAGGTTGATCAACAAGCCGGGTGTTGAAGCGTTTCCACATGCAACTAGGCATGTTGCAGAAGCGTAGGAGGGGGTGGATTGGGGGCAAGAACTGAGAAAGGACGAGAGGGGGACGGAGTCGGGAGCATCATGGACTTTTGGCCGGTGAGGGACCCAATGTACCAGAGAGATTTAGGTGGATTAAGGGAACTGCCAGAGCACGGGATCATTGGAGGACTGATTACGTATTCATTACAATACCGTATTGTTTCAATTGCTTACACTCCCTACAACCATCCTGCTGTGATTCCCTAAAAAGACTCCCTCTCACAAACTCTCAGGTTCGAGGGCTGATATCAGAGCCAGATCAGTCGAAGGGTGTGCTAACTGCTAAAATCGCTTGCATGCATCATGAACTACCGGTGTTTAGCTTGCATCATCTAACGGCGCGGTTGAGCACTGAAGCCGGCCAAACTCTTTGTCTTCCTCTCGTACAAACCACCCACCAGCCGGCAGCCATACAGACCGGCACACTCATAACTCCCCTCTCTCTCTCTTCTACTTCCCGGCTTCCGTTTCCTCTCTCCCGTCTGGCCGTCTCCCGTCTCCCGATCTCTCACCTGCAGAAACACGCGGGGTTTACCCCATAATACATACTAAATACTTGATACTGTGACTCTTCCCCCCCTTCCACATCCAAGCTTCGCGAATTGGACTCCCTTTTGCGGTCGCCCAGATTGTTGGCATTTTAGCCAGATGATCTGAGCAGCGTCGCAGACTTGCAGCCCTACTTCAGGCAGTTCTATTACACCTCTTCTGTTGGTCTGCTGGACCCATTGCTAAGCCCTTTTTCTCCGCCTCCACCCACCCCCGCTGGTGGTCCCGCACCAAGTGCGCAACACCCACTGAACCCTCCCCTGGATCTCGATGCGAATCGTCCGCACCCTCCCTTGATCCGCCCACACACTCTTGAGTTCCCTACCTTGTGTGCCCCATGGTCTTTGTCTATCCATCTCGTCCTGAAAGTCGCTGATTCCCCCTCCCCTACTCCTACTCCTACTCCCGCTCGCGCCGGCGCAGCTTCGTCTTGCCGAAATAAATCGAACATCATGACTGAGCAGGCGACGTTCATGGCTCAGGCGAGCGCAGGTTCGGCCTCTGGACCGGGCTCCGCGACATCCGCAGCCCACCCGAGTTTTAGAAGGTGAGTGATCCGCGTGGAGGGAGATCGTATAGATGCGGTTTTAAGGCCATCGGATTTTCTAACGACGTGGTTGAATGTATGCAGACAACGCGCTTCAAGAGCTTGCGAGGTATGTACGATCCACTCATGACGCCCTTTGTGGGATGATGCCTCGGTGCCGAGGCCACCGTTGAGAATTGCTTCAACTCGCTGAACAATGAACCATCGATTCGCTGACTCTTTTGGCCACTTGAACAGACTTGTCATGCACGAAAAGTAAGTCGCTCCAACCTGATACGTTCCCAAATGACGACCTGCCGGATCCTGACCGTCGATTCAGGTGCGATGCGATGCCGCCAGCCTCGGAGTTCCATGCACAAACTGCACCGCCTTTGGCATCGAATGTCGAATACCGACTCCGAAACGAAAGAAACCTCCGTCGAAAAGAGATGGCGACAGGTACACCAACCCGGAAATCGGGTAGCGGTGGATGCTGACAGAAACAGGGACAGCGACCAAACCGACGAACGATCCCCACAAGCCTCAGAATCACCTGGATCACTCGCGCATCGCGACAAAGCGGGCTACAACACCTTGGATGGGACCCCATCGACCAAGGTGGACGATGCCTACGCCGCCCAACTTGCCACACACAATGGGACCTACGTCCAATTCATGAAACCGAAATTCGCACGAGCACCGATCAAAGAAGCAGGCAGGGTCGCATATCTGGGAGAATCGTCGAATTTGACCTTACTAGTGCACGATCGATACGGCTCTACCGATGTCGTTCATTATCCGCTCCCCGACAACGTGCGAGGCGCGAAAGCCCGAGTCAGCGACTTGGATAACATGGAAGTCGAGATATTGCACCAACGGGGGGCCTTTCTCCTGCCACCTAGGGCGCTATGCGACGAACTAGTTGAAGCATACTTCAAATGGGTGGCGCCAGTGGTGCCAGTGATCAACCGGAACAGGTTCATGCGACAATATCGAGATCCCAAAAACCCGCCATCATTACTCCTATTGCAAGCTATCCTCCTGGCTGGATCCCGCGTTTGCACAAATTCGCAATTGATGGACTCCAGTGGCTCAACCACTCCAGCGGCAATGACATTCTACAAGCGAGCAAAAGCCCTGTACGACGCGAACTACGAGGATGACAGAGTCACTATTGTTCAAGCCGTCATCCTCATGGGATGGTATTGGGAAGGCCCTGAAGGTGAGTGGGCTGCGTACTCTGATTTTGGGTGTGAATCTGACTGGTAGTAGATGTGACGAAAAATGTCTTCTACTGGAGCCGGGTCGCAATTGTCGTTGCACAAGGGTCGGGGATGCACCGAAGGTATGACCACGCCCCCTCTTTGCGAAGGACGATTCTCACCCAGCTTTAGCGTCGAAGGAACACAACTCACTCGATCCGACAAGCGGCTATGGAAACGAATTTGGTGGACCCTGTTCGCTCGTGATCGGTCGGTTGCCGTTGCGCTGGGAAGGCCAGTTGCCATCAATCCTGAGGACTCCGACGTCGAGATGATATCGGAAGACGACTTCATCGAGGACGAGCCAGATCGACCCTCCGAATTCGCACCTGATCCAGTTCATGTCCAGTTTTTCATTCATTACGTCAAACTTTGTGAGATTATGGGTCTTGTCCTTTCTCAGCAGTACTCTGTTGCGTCGAAGTACAGACGGACGAACGCCATCGATCTTACGCACAGCGATATGGCTCTTGCCGACTGGCTCCAGCACTGCCCCAAAGAAGTGTACTGGGAGCGGCCGCGGCACCACTTCTGGGCTGGCTTGTTGCACGCCAATTATTAGTATGGGACTCTTCCATCCTTTCTAGATATCAGCACTAATGTTTCGGTCTAGTACGACGCTCTGCCTGCTACACAGAGCACATATGCCTCCTGCCGGATCTCCCAAACCGGGCCCGCAGAACGGTTTCCTGGAAGAGAGAGCATATCCATCGAGGAACATTGCGTACGAAGCGGCGGGAATGATCACCTCGATCATTGAAAGCTTGCAAGCCCATGACGAATTGAGATATACCCCTGCGTTCATGTGAGTATGACCGATACCATACCTGCCAATCTTTTCTGACTCCTTGATAGTGTCTATAGTCTGTTCTCTGCTTTGATTATGCACGTCTACCAAATGAGATCATCAAACAAGTCGGTCGTTTCTGCTACTGAGCAAAGACTTCAAGTTTGTATGAACGCCCTCAAGGAGGTTTCCAAGGTCTGGCTTGTAGCGAAGATGGTACATACTCTCTTCGAATCCATCCTTGGGAACAAACTCCTCGAGGAACGTCTCCAAAAGGCGGCTGGCAAACGACACAAAAAGCAACCGAAGATGAAGGAAGATCCTTCGACGTCGAAGCGGAAATTTCATGACATGGATGTGGGTTTCAATGGTCCGCCTGCCCCGCAAGTTTCTTACGAGCGCTCGCGCCCACAGACTCCATCCGGTGTCCCAGCGCCACAAGAAGAGCAACCGCAGGCAGCACCGCAGCAAGCGCAGTCCGGTGCTTCCCAGCAAACGATGCCAACCATCACATCCGCTTCGCCCCATCTGCCACGACAGAACACTGATGCGTTCATGGGCGGACCGACGAACTCTCGTGGCGATACGCGTCCTACCACTCCTTTCAACCCCAGCTTCTCATACCCGGGGACCCCACCCGACCTCTTCCTCGTCACGCGCAACTCGCCGAACATCTCGCACGACGTCTGGCAGAACTTCCAGCCCGACCAGCTCTTCCCCGCCGACACCGTCTCGTTCCCGCAGATCTCGCCGGCCACACAGTCGATCGTCGATCCGCAGCTGTCCCGCCAGCAGTCCATCCCGCAGCATATTCAAATGCAACCTGGCGGCAGCCAGATGCCCACTCAGCAGCAGATGCAGAATGACATGCAGATGAACCCCGGGATGACGCCGCACCAGAACGATCCGCAGAGTTGGAACACCCACGTCGATGCGATGAACCAGGGATCGGGGAATGAGGATACCTGGAGTAACAGTAGTCGGGGTGGCCCGATTGTGCCTATTGCCTTGAATGTGGAAGACTGGTACGTTATATTTTCCCGCTCAACACTGATCTGAGCATCCGTGGCTTGTTCTGCCTCTTCTTGAATGATTCTAACCCACATGAAAAAGGTTCCATTTCTTCGGGATTCACGGCGATGCAAATGGCCTGAACGGGTTCTAATGCTTATGCTATCACGGAAAAGCACCATGGTCGTCAAGAAACGGGCCTAATCAGTCGATTTATGTGTACATCGACGAATTCGGCTACGCGAGTCCCGAGGCCATGGTTCATCGCCACCGGACCACCTCTCGATTGGAATTCATTTCATCCGAGCCGCCGAAGTTGAGATTGCAATCGTGATACAGGACATGCTCATAACCCAAAAGATGGAAAACGGAAGAATCACGCTATCCTTACTTCCGGTCTGCCGAGACTGAGATTTGTCACCTCCCCCGTGCTCTTCGTTGTCCCCATTCGGAGCGAACCCTTCACGAACAGCTGGTTCCCGGAATCCCCCAAAAAAATTCTGCTGACAATATTCTCTCGTGGCGAAATATGGAATATGCAATTGATATATATGCGCTCTTTTTACGGTTTGATATTTGGAAATATCCGCAAGTGAGGTATATGGATTATGGGGTCGCTCATTATGGACAATCTAGTTAATGCTGCACGAGAAATGATGGGGGAGTCCACTCGCGTTTCCATGCGGTCATTCCGTTTCATTTTCAAACGATTGCGTTCGACGTTCTTCTGCACAAAATTGCAAGGTTTTCAAATGTATGATATATGTACGCTCGGTCCGAGCCAGATGAGAATGCCAATAGTTTCGGTTGGTATCAATATCACCCGATGACCTCCACTGAATATCGTGAAGCGCTTCAGGGGGTCTCCTTGTCATTTCATTGTTCCACAATGGTTCCGCAGAACCATGTTACATACAAGTCGTTCAGACGGATCGGATCTTGTGCGTGAGAGATCGGACAGGAGATATGTGCGAGCTCCAGTTCATGTAACGCCGGCTGCGCTGCCGATCACCCTGGACGTTCCAAATCAATCAGCGGTTCAAGGCTGAGCTGAATCTTCCCTCGCTAATCCCTATCGGCGTGATCGCACAACATGGTGACCGTGCTTCGAGGATCGATCAGAATGCCATGGATTAAGATCGCCCCTTTATTCCTGGTAGCGACCCGAGGCCCGTAGTTCACTCGTAACGCATCTCCCGTTTCCTGACGAAGGGGTGGTCGGTAGATGAAGCGCAGAAGACTGAGTTCGGTATTGTACAGATGGGCCAGTCGTGAGATCTGCATCGCAGTGCCATGGTGGCTGTTGGATGAAGTAACAGTAGGTCTCATGCTTTGGTGTTTGTGTGGACTTGAAACCATCCTCATTGCCGATGTGTTGCGCCCAGCTGACGCACTGTACCAAGTCGGGCAGCTCAAAGGTCGAGTGGCGAATCCATTCGAGGTACTAGATTCCATAAAACGGTATTGTTCGAAGGTATCAAACATCGTTTACTGAATATTACAGAGCCCATTCGCTATGGTCGTCGGTAGGAAGCACAAATGGCTCGTCAATGCGCTTGACGGCCATTTCACTGCACAAAACACTGCGACAAATCAGTACCAGTCCGTTAAATGCAACTGATCGGTGTGACTCACCAAGCACTCGCGACAAGCGCGTCGAGTTCTTTGATCAGCTTCTCCCGGCTCGCGCCTAGACTCGTCCCTTTACTCACTTCCACCTGTAGTTCTCGGATACGGCGACTGCGACCAATGCCTGCCTGTTCGACTACCATATTCCCTAGACAATCTCCGTGGAACGCATGCTGGCACGCGAAAACGAAGAACTGCCTGGATAGCAACGGCAGCCTGCAGATATAGCATCGCTCCCCGGGTTCAACGATTGCATATCGTTGGTCGAGTGCCTTGATGTCGGTCTTGATGTGCTGAGCAGTCACGGCGCTTTCGTCCATCTCTTTCTTGAGCTCGTCGATATGCCGGGAATATTCTTCCAGAGCTACACAGATCTCTTCCTTGAAGTCGTCGATGACGACAAAGTCAGGAAACAACGGAATAAGGTCTTCAATCCGCAGCAGCTCGCAGCGCTTCAGGAACTCGATCGCGGTCTTGACGCCGCTCGACTCGGAGATTACCTTCTTGGCGACGGCGAGCCAGAGTTTGCGGCGAAGGCCCGGGTTGTTGATGGGTTTATCTGCAATGGAGCTCGCTAGCTCGATGGCGTCATGCTTGAGTGCTAAATCGACCGCTTGGACATACTGGCCCATTGAGTTGTAGATGTGTACACATGAATGCACTCGTTTGTGCTGAATACAAAGCCGCAGAGCAAAGTCCGCGTCGTAGTTTTGTTCCTGCGCATACGATTGTGCTTCAAGGTATGTCAAAAGGGCGGACTCATCTTTCGAAGGATGAGCAGCGTAGATGGATATGAGAGTATTGTGGATCGCGGCGTCAATGGATTGACGTTGGTTGATCTCATAGGAGAGGTAGCGGATCGCCTGATTCTGGCTTAACGGGACATCGGCAAGTTTGTTGTAGTTCAGCAGCGCAGGAATGAGCCGCCTTGCCTCGAGATTGGATTGTCGCATCAGGATATCAACCGTCTCCACTGGCACATTCGCCATGAGCACAGTGCTGTACTTATAGAAGATCTCCGGTTCGGTTTGCTTTCTTAGGACAGCGAGACTTTCAGCCCATCTTTCCCTTTGAACCCAGTAAGAGAGCACATAGTTGTAGTCATTCACAACCGTAGCAAAGTGCAGGAGTTCCTCCTCCCTGCCATGGCTGCTGATGATATCATACGTGGTCTTCGGATCTAAATCTGCCTTGTGCCGTAACACAAAGTCTTGAAACTCACGGCGGATGACGGCAAGCTGATCTTTGCTATCTGCAGTGTTCATACCCTCGGTGAGTTCGGCTTTCGAAGTGATGGCATCATCTAGGGTATTCAACTTTGCCATATAAATCTCGATGAGCCAAGTCGCCAGCATGATTCGCTGCATGGTCGACGTTCGCTTCATCATGGAAAGCTTCGTGGTCAGGTATGCGCGGAGCGCGTCTTGCTCGCCATTGTCTATGAAAGTCAATGCGACTTGTTCGAAGGGTTTCGAACTTCTCCCGTAGACGGTGGCTGCTTCCAGATATTGGCCTTTCTGTACAAGATAATCTCCCGATGCGGTCGCCACTGCGTCCTTTTCGGTGGCACTCTTTGCATGTTGCGATGCGGCCTCGAATTGCTGTTGTTTGAGGAGGATTTTCCAAATATCGCGGCCTTCGTCATTCGCAACGATTTCGAATATAGTTTGCTCAGTGAACAACCAGAACGTGTTCTTGGTGAGATCAGCAACGAGACCCAGTGCCTTCTCATCTTGCTCCAGAACCGGTTGGTCGTAGACAACCGAGTGGTCGAGCTGGTTAATCGCAACAATTCGCCCCTCCACGAGTTGAAGGATGTGCCACTGGCTGAGCATCGTCGATGAAATAGTCGGGTAATTGTTCTTTCTGCGGCCACTCGTACCTGGCAGAGGAATCTGGTTTCTTGCAAGTAGTTTTGACTCCGCGAACACTTTATTGCCAAGACTCCCGATGTCATCTGAAGCGGAGAGCTTGCCGTGCAAGATACCCTGCGAGGAAAGCCAGGCGTATAATCTTTCGTAGCCTTCTGTTATTGATAAATACATCTCCTGGGGTTGTGGCGATACTGTCAAGGAAGACGGTGCTGTTGAGCTCGCTTGGGCTGCTTCGGACACGGCGGGGTGTTCGCTATCGAATAGCTTGGAGAAGATGGATCCGCTTCCTTCATGACCATGCCTCCCGGCCTTTCCCACGAAATGAAGAAGTCTATTGGGAGTTGCGACAAGGACTCTCCTTGTGTCCGCCCTGCCTGGTACCATTTCGGTGAAAAGGCCCGTTACAGGGCCGTCGGGGCATTTATAGACCTGTTTGAGATACTTCTCTTCCCTGCGATAGAACTCCTGGGATGGCTCGATGTATACTTCATACACATTTCCATCTCCTGATCCAATCAATATTTCCCTGGTCGACGCGGTTGGGTTCGAGGGACTCCACGCAACACATTCTATTGGGACTCCCTTCAGCCGGGAGAGCACTTTCGGCTGCCGGGATTGTGAATGTAGATAGAAGTTCTCGCTGAGGGAGGTAGTGATGATCAAGTGGGATGCGGTCGGATCCAGGAACATGAGACGGATGACGCCAATTTCGGAAGCCTTCTTGGGAAGATCAATATCTGGAAGACAGTCAATCCTAGGCCCTTCCGCAGTCCAAGTGTTTGCACCTACCGTCAATGTCCTCGGGGCTATCGAGGTCTATCCGCAATATCCTACCAGAAGACAGGGCAAGAATGAGGACATTGTCGGCCACCTGTGCGGCGACAAAGTCGGATGAGACATCAAACTGCAACGATACCCGTTCGACATTGAATATTGGAAGACTCGTCTCGGAGAGCTCCTGCATGGCGGTTGGATAACTGACTGCGGCAGCGTGGAAGGCCATGTCTATTCGAAGAGGCGGGTGAAGCTCACGATAGCGTGGCTTGTGGATAGAGACATATCACAAGTGGCGGTTATTGCATTCGCTAGCTTGTAAAGACATTGATGGCAACAGCTCATCTGGAGCTGTAGTGGAAGGTCGGATAATAGCTCATCGATGGTCTGGAGCTATTGCTCAGTGAGGAGAGTGAGGTCAGGGTCAGCAGGCATTAAGGCAGCAGTTTAGGCAGCCTCCGCGGTGATTATCGCCTCATGTCCTCGTCACCCTGCCTGCGTGTTATGTAAGGCAGAAGCAGCGATTAAGGCAGCAATTAGGGCAGCGATTAAGGCATAAATTAATCGCAATACTAAGTCAGCGTTCGTCCAACTACAGGTGCCATTAGCGCATATATCTCCTCGCTAATCACGTGAGGTGCCACGATATTTCACCGGACGACTTAACGGAAATTGGGATGATGATCCTTCGATGATCCTTCGATGATCTTCGATTACCGGGGCGGAATGCAGCCATTGAGATCCAATCAAGTGAATCGTGATAGCCTAGAAAGTGGGAACATACTACATGTACAGTAAGTCAATGAGACCAACGGTCAGCGCTTAAGTTAACAATAGTAATAGATTCGCTCAATTGCTGATCACTGTTAAGTGGTAACACCACCGTCCAACATCAACACTGTTCCAGGCGAACCTGGATTATTGCACTTGTTTCGTCTTCGAAGCATTACCATTTTTTCACTATAAGTAAGAGTATTACCGTACTGATGATTGCATTTTGATTTTCGATGCCCGAATTTAATATGTATGGTGTTATTATATCATGGGCTGCGCAACAAGTCTGATTTTAGCAGAGGTCGAACTTATGCCACATGTGTGTATGTGAGCAGGTGGCACCTCACCATGTGCATGTTCTTCAATCTTCAGAGTTCAGCCCTGGGCCGTGGCCCATCCCGTATCCGAGGGTCAGTGTTGAATCCGCGCCTTACGAGATTCAATTATGGTGGGGCAACTTTATATGTGTCAACTGTGTACTGTGTAGCGTGTACGGATACGCCGTACGGAATACAGTGCAGAGATGACCCGAGGGTGGGGCCAAGCCGCCCAGCTAGGGGCATTGACGGTGCTGCGTACGTAGTACATTCTACCATGGAGACCTCCCGGCCCCCCCTCCTGGAACTGATCTAGGGGCCGAATCCTTCTCCACAGCCCCCTAAACGCTGACTTCGTGCATCGGTAACTGTTCGATGACGGATATGATCAACAGCAACGGTGAGACTCTGGAGAGTGGAAACTCAGCCGTGTAACTTTGCACCTCTACCGTGTGACTTTGCGCCCCTATATTCTTTCTTCCTCATCAAAATATGCATCGAGCAGCAACAGTTCCCACCGTCCCATCGTCTTTCACTGTACGACTGAATTGAGTGAAAACATAATCGATCCCGTTCGCCTTACTTAGGAGCTATGAGTACGTCCGACGGGTCTCAGACCTTCGACAGTAATACTTGGTATCATCTCACGGAAACTCGTGTCGACGATGACCCGACCGAACAGTTCAAGTCGTCCTTGCAGATATTAGACGAGGGCGGCCTTCGAGTTTTCCAATGGAAAGTGCTAGGAGACAGCAGCAACCCGCACTTGTGGCAGTTTCAACCTATCGACAATATTCCGAATCGATATCAGATCCGCAACGGCAAAACCACTACCCGCCGACAACTGTCGGTATGCTTTAATCCAAATGAGGAAGATAAAAGCAAATCACGACCATGTATGGCTGAGTCGGCGAATGTGGATGAGCAAAAATGGGAGTTCATCCCATGGGGCGACGTCATTGGATCGTACAAGATCATAAATGCGAAGAATGGGAGCGATTACAACGTGGATGTGCATCCCGGAAGTGCGCTTTTTATGTCCAGCGACCTAGACGAATCGGTACCGAGACCAGCGCAGCGATGGCTGATATCGAGCTACACCACTGTCAATGATGGCATATATTCGACAACAGTCGTAGGGGTAAGTCTCACCATCGTGATGATCTTTTGGATCAGGTTTGACCAGGAATATAGGGCTCGAAAACCGCATCCTCTTCTCCTGCATCCACAAGTGCCATACCAACCACTACCTCTCCATCGCCCGAATCAACTTCAACCGAGCCGGCCGCCGAGCCGGCCGCCGAGCCGGCCGCCGAGCCCGCCTCCGAGAGTTCATCTTTGTCAGCAGGCGCAGCAGCTGGTATCGGGGTTGGCGTGGGTCTTGCCGTGATATTCGTTGTGCTTGGCGCGCTGTTTCTGATATGGCGCAGGCGTGGAAAGAAAAAGGCGGGGGCAGTCGTCGAATTGGAGAGTCCAGCCAACCCGGAGGCGCCTCCTGCTGAACCAAAGCCCGCCGCCTTCGGGTATTACTCTCCTGGCTCCGACACGGAGAAAAAGACCGCAACTGTGCCGCTGCAGGAGGTGGAAGGCTCGCAAGTGCAGGAGATGGAGGGATCAAAACCGGATGCCGCGCCCGCGTCCCAACCTCTCTCGCCCGCACCCCAAACTCTCTCGCCCGCATCCCCTCAACAAACCCCTCAACAAACTGTCTCGTCTGAATCCCCCCAACGTTTCTCAACCTAAACATTAAGTTTCTCCTTCACACCCCCCCTCTCTCGGGCGCTGTACATATACCTTGCCACGCATTTACATCTGGGAGCACGGCATTGCGTGTGGTCCTAGGGATACCCCACGGTTCCATGTGAGGAACACTAGTCAGAATACACTGGTAATGGAATTAGGAGCTTCAAGTGGTGTTATAATTGCAGATTTCGGATTGCTTGAAACAGGAGACGCTTTCGCTAAAATGCTACATTCATGCCGGATTGTGATCTTTGCACGCCCATTCATTCCCAGGGATATATTTCAAACACATATTCCTCAGACATAACGAATCCAATCATATCAACGTTGGTCTGGAAACCCCTGGTAACCGTGCAGAATGCCTGTTCCAGAGCCCATTGACCACTCCGGTTCCTGAACCCCCAACTGGCCCGGGTGTTGACCGTTGGTGTGATTAACCTCTTCATTGTCGTTCTCGTCCTCATCCGCCTGGTAATCGTCCTCCATACTAAGCACTCCCATCGCGTAATGAATCCGAGCAGTCGGGTTGGAGAGAGCGGATTTTCTATCCAACTTGAGTTTCTCCAATGGATCAATCTCATCTTCTAGAGGCTGCGTTGGATTGCTGGGGGCGTTTGGAGCGCCCGATTGCGAGCCCATTGGGATCTCGTTTCCAATAGCGCGTCCGAAATGCGGTATGTGGCTTTGTCCTCCCGCTGAAGATGAACTCTGCTGAGGCGCCTCCCTGCTCTTCTTGTGAGGAACAAGCGAAGCCCGAGGCACAACATTGAATCCGCGAGTATCCCGCCGTGTGTAAGGAGGACCACCTCTGAGCGCTGCATTTTCCCACGCACTCTCGCATCCCATCGCAATGGCTCCCGCACTTTGAAATCCCGTTCGCCTGTGGATCATGAGAACCCGGTCGACGAGCCATTCACGTTGACTGGGATCCATGAATTGGATGCCAGCGAAGAACAGTGGCACCGTGATCTCATAAATGGCAGCTCCAAGGGACGGGTTGAGCGGTGCGTGGGGGGCGCCGGACAAGTTCGTACTGCCCATTCCTCCAGCGCTGTCAATAATCCCTGCTGCAACGCGACCGATTTCTTGCGCACGTTGGGCAGTTTGGTGCCCTGAAACTGCGGCAGCCATCATCGCCGCTGGTGGCATGGTAGGGTGTGATCTTTGGAGGATGAGATGGCACATGTGATAAAGGCCCCATACCACGGCCCTATCAAAGGAGCGGTATTGCATTGCAGGACCGAAAGGGGTGTGGACTGTAGGGGCGAATTCCGGGGAGAGTGGCTGGAAATTCGGACCCAGCTCCATCTCAAAAACCGTTAGCGCTTTCAGAATGCTGTTCCATTCCTCCAGGGCAGCCGCAGTCGCGGCGGGAAGGTCGGCAATATCTCTGGCCTTTTTGGAGCTTGTAGAAGAGCTGTGTGAGGCGTCGGAGCGTGATGAGGGTGATGAAGGTCCGGCACGGGGAGGACGTGGAATGAACCGAGCTTGTTTGCGGGCATCGTTGTTCTTGTATGCGGAAGGCATATGTCCTCGTGTCACTGGCGCCATGCCGAAAAATGGAGGAGGCGCCATGCCAGGAGGAGGCCCATTTGGTGGTCCACCCAATCCAGGAGGCCTCGCGCCTGGAGGAGGCCCATTTGGTGCCCCACCCAATCCAAGGGGCCCTGTGCCTGGAGGCGGCCCGCCCGGTTGACCTTGCGGATGTCTGGTGAAGTTAGGGGACGCGTGAGGGTTCGAAGGGAGCGGCGGGCCCGTTGGCTGGGTTCTTGGAACTCCACCACGGTCCGGTTGCGACACCTGTGGCCCTGCTCCCGCACCCAGAGAGGCATCACGTCCTGCTGGGAAAGCATTGGGGTCCACACTTGGTTGATTCTGGCCAGGCCTGCCAGCCATGCCGCTCGGAGGCCCTCCTCGGCCCATCCCAGGGGGCGGGCCGGGAGTTTTCCATTGGGGTCCGAACGCTTGCAGTTGGCGAGTCTTCCTTGGTCGATCTCGCGCCGCGAAGTCGGAGATGCGCCCAAGGAGCAGGATCAAATGATCATGGGTCCCGTATACAGCAGCCTTGCCCAACTTGGCTCGTGGCGGACAGTCCGTCCACTTGTCGTACGACATGAGTAGCGGTTCTCCGCTGATAATGCTTTGATAAGCATCCTGTCGGCAGTACCACCAAAAGAGGTCTTGGTAGATATCGTAATGATCCAGGTGAAAGCCTTTCTTTGGGTTGGTTCGGCCCTGAGATGAAGATCCTTCCGGCTCCACCTGCCCAAAATCATCAAAACGGACCTCCCTTCCAACTAAAGTGCTGAGCACGCCTTCGTCAACCTCATTCGGGGCATCTTTTCTAGGCTGACTATGGAAACTGCTATTGGCCATTAAGTCCGGCATTAGCTGGGTAGACATAGACAACTGTGCGTCGTGGCTCAAGGAAATATGCCAGTCGGACATTCCCTTGTGGTTCTGTTTCTGGGAAGCCTCTGCTTCACGAGATTTTCTGAGCTGCTTCGTCATGCCCACATAGTCGATCTCTACAATCAGCTTCTGTGCGCCCTGAATATGCGTGCTCCATCTCATATGTTCTCCCGCCATGACCTCATAGAACCCAAGAAGCAGACTCGCAGCCAGAGTTGTTGCTTGATGCCGCTTGCTCTCGTCAGATAAACGCTTGTTGATCCGCTTTATGGCGTAGCCATAATGCTTCAGACTTGGCATTTCGCTAGCGCCCTGCAACTTTGCGATATGCAAGCTACCAAGCGCAAGCATGACTTGAAGCAGCGCCTGGTCATTAATAGCAAGGACCGGTAATGTATACGTCCACAGGTTCTGCTGGCTTCGGGGTATGTGGACTTCTGAAAACAGGCCACTTGCATTTCCAGGGTTTCGTTCATAAATGCTCAGACTGGGGCCGGTCGCGTGTATGAAATGGGCAAAGATGCGACGAGTCGCTTCATTCTTGAGCGGATTCGCAGCATACTCCGGATGATAGATGTCGAGGAGATCCGGCGTGAGGAATGCATCGTATCCCCGCGTCGAGAAATCGGATATGCTTTGCTTGTGCAGCGCTATAAGCGAGTTAAAGTCGTGGTTTTGGTTGGACGCAAGTTCCAGGGCAAACGCTTGGTCGTCCTCTGGCTCGACATCGAAGAAGTCATCGTCGTGAGATTCGACGGCCCCGGCTTCAAGGATGTCCTGAGCGGTAGTTCTCGGGAACCATACAGCTGAGGCCGGATGAACGTCTGTGGCGCCGGAAGAGAATGGTATGTTGTAGGATTTCTGGCTTTCCGAGGTCATGGGGGTTGTAGCGGACGTCTGAATGGATCCGTCAACACTGGGCCCGGAATCTCCGGTAGTTTGCGGCGCCGGCGGGAGATTCTGGAAGGAGCCATCATTAATAGGAGGAGAGATATCGTCGGAATGAGAAGGGGGGATGAGCCTTGTTTGTTGGCTTGACTGCCAAGCATGGATCGCGTTGAAGGAGTCATGTTCGAGCCCGTGGCCGGATGCGGTTGGCAACGATGGCTGCGCAGAGGATTGAGGATGAGTGGATGGGTATGATGAAGTCTGGTCTCGGACTTGAGATGGTTGGGATGCCGTGAACGATGGTTGGCTGAGGTAAGGCGGGTTAGGCGCAGACGCAAACTCAGGTTTTATATCCACAGTAGTTGATGGCCCTGGATGGGAGTCCTGCGGCTGGATAACAAATTGATTTTGATACCCTTGGATACCATCCATCCCAGGGGTCTGTGGAGGTGCCGTCCAAGACGATGAGAGTTGGGGCGGGGTGAAGTTATTGTTCTGACCGAATTTCGCCACATGCTGCTGATCGCTGGATTGGGTACTCGGAGGTGCTTGATATTGAGCAGGGAAAGGAAATACGGTGGTTAGACCTGAGGGAGGTGGACCTGGTGCATTTATGAAGATGCCATGAAACGGCTGCTGATGTGACGAGGAAACAGGCGCGAAACTCGCAGAGAAGGGTTGTACGGTAGGCGGCGCGGGGTTTGACTGGGCATGATTCATAGAGAGGTCTTGAGTGAATCCGTAACCCCCATAACCGGCTGGGGCGCTTTGCAGAGGGGTCGCTATGGGGGACTGTTGCGAATGTCCCTGGACCTGCGAAGGTTCCGGTCTATACTCGCGCAGAGCACTTCCTGGCATGCCACCGGTGTGGTATTGAAGCGTATGGATTCCAGTATTACTAGGCCAGTTGTCTATCGGAGGCTTGAATATCACTCGCTGGTTGTAGCCTTCGCAATGCCGTTTCGACTTGATGCAGTTTCCGCACACCGGCTTCTCTTCGCCGCATTTGATTCGACGTTTCCGACATGTCAGGCAACCTGTCTTCGTCCGCTTTCTTAACCGGGGATTTGGTGCGTTGGGTCTCGAGGACATGGGCTCGAAGCCCTCCATCTGCGAAGGGACATGCGCCTGGACTTCGGCCATACTCGTGGGTATGCGATCGCGAGTTCGAGTCCGTTCGTGGAGGGTGAATGCACGGAAGGGATGAGATATCCTGGATTCCTGTCCTTCCACGAGAGGAACGATAGCGTCTGATATATTCTCTCAAAGGGCCGTAGGTGTATTAACCTGTCGAATCACTTCATGAGTGTCTGGATGTGCAAGATCATCCAGGCGAGGCAATTCCTAACGCGACATGGTCGTTGGTGTGGCCAGAACAGCCATTGAAGCTGGTAAGTCCAGGGTTCCTGGAAGACAAAGAAACCACGTCAGTCGCCCTTGAATGAACAATGGCGAAGGTAAGTGCAAAAGAAGACAGAGTTATTCGAGCAGGACTTGAGCAAAGAAAATGAGAAAATGAAAGCCATTCAAAGGGGCAATTGTTGCGAACTGTGAAGGAGACAAGGTTAGGTTAAACCGGGCCGTTCTGCGGGGGGGCAGTCGATACAGATCCGGGTATCGACTCCTGGGTTGCGCTAAGTATTGTGAGTCAACTGCGCGGGCCTACGGGTGACCAGTGCTGCATATCGGGATACCAAGTAGTAAGTTAGTTAACTAAGTTAAGTTAGACTGTTAACTTAGTTAGTAGTTAGTCAGGTAAGTAATAAGTTTAAACTTAAACCGCCACTATATCCGGCTAGGTGCATCTCCGTCCTATGAAATACTGTGTACAGACAAGTGTTGTCGTATGTACTGTGCACTGCAGGATTATCGCCGACTGCCGCCTCATCGTCCCCGCCCTACCATCAAACGGTGGTCCCCGAAACAGGAAGCACAGAGGAAACCAGGACGACACCAAGCGCCAAAAGTCGAGCGCCTCCGACCGGCGACCAACGATCCAGCGTTGGGATCAACGTTGCACGATCCTCAACTGCGATAGACTACTGCGGTCCGGCTTACCGTATTGGGTATTAGTTGGGTTGTGGATCGGCGCTATGCACGGCATTTGCCGTGTGTCCCGTATTCAGAAGCGTACTCCGTATTAAACGTCCATTGAGGTGGAATTGAAAGCCTCCTGCATGAAATGCAAGCGATGTCTCCGAGAGAAGGGTTCAGATATCAGCCATTCAGCCTCCCAGTTCCCAGATCACCAAGTTGGTAGCTCACTTCATTTGGCACAGACTGCTTGCGGAATGCGGGGACATACGAAATACAGTATGTAATGCTAGAAATCTGGTACGGTATGATCGTTGCCAGGGTACGGAAATAACGCGTGGTATGAACCGCTTTCTCCATAATTACCGGCTCAGAATCTCAGATGCCCATTTGTTGCGGGCCTGTCGCAGTTTTGGTTTGGACTTTTGCAGATGTGGAGTTCCACCAGAAGAACATTTAGCCTGCACTATCAATTCGTCGCAGACTCGCAGTATTACGGATGGCTAATATTAATAGAGCCAAGCTTTTGTCGTTCTGCAGGATGAATTTGACACAACGCCCACGAGGCACGAAAGGATCCGGGTTGCTCTGGTAGTGAGCGGGCAGGGGGTAGACTATAGACCAGAGACAGGAGAACTAGAGGCGTTCCAAGCCGTTGTCTTTGACGCACTCTCAAATCCGATAGAACGGCTTGATAGATACAAGTTCCGTAAGTCGCATTCATCCTTGCAGCACCACCAAACCCCAATCACCACCCGGAATATGGGTAACTACGTAGCTCGTTCATATTGCCTCCGATGTAATTGGGGTTTCCATTAGACTTTAGCGCTTTCTGTCCATATCCCCCTTGGCCGTAGTGACAGGTGGCATTTCTACTGACTTGCTCGCGACAATTGTGCCACCGGGTCACACCAGGAGTTTCCGCGATTGGGCTGCAAGCCCGACCTAGCACCGTTCCCCAGTTACTGGTTGAATGGTTTGGGATGGTGACGCCCCTCCCGCCGACCTCGCCAATGAACTCCCATCGGCCACTCCGGACGCTTTTCGGCCAGTTTCCCCTCAATAGCTCTATCCTCACGTTCTCATCCAAATGTTCCCGAGAAACTCCCCGCAGGCCGTAGGTCTTCCAATTTTCTGTCTTCGCCAGTCGATCAGAGTGGCCGACTAGGATCCAGGGGGGGCCGACACCACTCTAGACCACAATCGAACTGACTGAGGGGGCACAGGATGCCAAAATCAGTGTCCACAGTCGTCGAAAATGCAAGATGTGCTTATTGTTCAGTACCTTACGTAAGAAGTTGATTCAACTGTTGAAATGCGTTTGAGGAAAGTGGGCAACAGGCCAACAGCCGACACTCCAACAGGTCGTTGAGGTTCACCATCCACCTAGGGGGAGCTAGGCCCGCCGCCGCCAGAGAGGTTCACTTGGAGCCCGTGGAGGCGTCCTACGAACCCTATTTTGACTACACAGTACGCCCCACGTTTCCCGACATGCAGAGTGCTTGCAGTGGAATTTCAAAACTAGAATCGATGGTTCTCCAGCCCTTTAACGGGCTTTACTCTTTCTACGGGACGGTAAGCTGAGACGCCGGAGAGAAGCCAATGCACAGAAGAGTCATAATAGTCCTCAGTATCGCAACGAAATGTAACTGCAGAGCTAATGCTGGTGCACTGGTCGGTATTTCCAGGACGGTCCCCCTCCCACGCTGTAGCTAAGATGGCCGTGATCATGAACGCTAGAATTGGCAGAAAAGCAAAAGATATCCCCCCTGTCCTTCTACCATTCTAACGGCTCCTTCTTCACTTCCCCCCGGTTTGTCTTGGGCACTGGCAGTGCCTCGATCATGGTCGCGCCTCCGATTCCCTTCCTCTTCAAGTACCCCCGTCCATCCAACCACGGATAGTCCCGAGTTCTCCGCCCCTCGAATCGTTTGATCTGATCCTCCACCTGCATCGTCAATCCGATGTCGTCCAGCCCGTTCACCAAGCAGTGTTTCCGGAAGCTCTCCACCTCGAACTGCGCGAGCGCGTTGCCATCCGCGTCCTTGATGACTTGGTTGGGCAGATCGACCTCGATCTCCTTGCCGGCGGACGCCTCCGCAGCGATGCGAGCGAGGACGACGGCGTCGGGTATCCGGATCGGCAGCATGCCGTTCTTGAAGCAGTTGTTGTAGAAGATGTCGCCGTAGCTCGGGGCGATGACGCATTTGATGCCGAAGTCGAGGAGAGCCCAAGGCGCGTGTTCTCGACTGCTTCCGCAGCCGAAATTGTCGCCCGTGCACACCAAGATCTTCGAGTTTCGGTACGGCTCCTTATTGAGGATAAAGTTTGGATTTTCTGCGCCAGTTTTCGGATCATACCGCCAGGCATGGAAGAGAGCGACTGCGAGGCCGGAGCGTTTGATGGTTTTGAGGAATTGCTTGGGGATGATGGCATCGGTGTCGATATTCGAGATCTCCATTGGGGCGACGATGCCTTTGTGCTGAAGGAACTTAGGCATCCCAGCGGACGAGCGCGGTGCGGCGGTTTTGTCCTCCTCGGGGGTCTGGGGGTCGTCGATGATTCGGTCTAGATCACCGTCCGACTCGATGTCCGCCATGTGTGCCGGCTCGTCCACCTCGACCGTGGCCTTGATCGGAGCAGCCTTAGCGTCGAACCCGGCGATGCTCCGTACATCTGTCAGCTTCCCCGTGAGAGCTGCTGCTGCTGCCATTGCTGGAGACATCAAATGAGTCCTTCCGCCTGCACCTTGGCGGCCCTCGAAATTTCGGTTTGAGGTGCTCGCACAGCGCTCACCGGGGGAGAGGATGTCGGGATTCATGCCCAAGCACATGGAGCATCCTGCCTCCCTCCAGTCGAAGCCAGCGTCGGTGAAGATCTGGTCCAGGCCTTCACCTTCCGCTTGCCGCTTCACGAGACCCGAGCCGGGAACGATCATGGCGAGCTTCAAATTTGAGGCGATCTTTTTGCCTTTAACGATGGCGGCGGCGGCACGGAGATCTTCAATCCGAGCATTTGTGCAGGAACCAATGAAGATCTTGTCGAGCGTGATATCCTGTATCGGTGTTCCGGCTGTGAGACCCATGTACTCCAAAGAGCGAATGCACGCATTTTTCCGAGACTGATCTTCGAAATCGTCAGGACCTGGCACCACTCCCGTGATGGGCACAACGTCTTGCGGCGAAGTTCCCCATGAGACTGTTGGGATGATGTCCGTTGCCTTGATGAAAAGGTCAATATCGTATTTCGCGTCCGGATCCGACTTGAGACTCGTCCAGTACGCAACCGCCTTATTCCATTCGGCACTATCCGGCTTCGGAGCCAACGGACGATTTCGGAGGTAGTCAAACGTCGTCTCGTCCGGTGCCACCATCCCCGCGCGAGCACCGCCCTCGATGGACATATTACACAAGGACATACGGGCTTCCATACTCAATCCACGTATCGCCGAGCCGCAGAATTCCACTACGCAACCGGTACCACCAGCTGTCCCGATAACTCCGATAACGTAGAGAATGATGTCCTTGCTCGTCACGCCCGGAGTGAGCTCCCCGTCCACCTGGATTCGCATGTTCTTGCTCCGTCGTGTGATGAGCGTCTGCGTAGCGAGAACATGCTCGACCTCGCTGGTTCCGATCCCGAAAGCAAGCGAACCGAATGCTCCGTGGGTGGAGGTATGGCTGTCACCGCAGACGACCGTCGTGCCCGGAAGAGTAAATCCTTGCTCCGGCCCGATGATGTGCACGATCCCTTGCCGCTTGTCTCCGAGACCGAAATAGGTGAGCTCGAAGTCTTTGACATTTTGCTCCAGGGTGACGGATTGTATTCTCGAGTCGGGCTCGCGGATGAACTCAGCGACGGTCTTGAAGTTTTTTCGGGATGAGGTGGGGACGTTCTGGAAGTTACTGTTAGCTGCGACCTCGCATCTCGGAGCAATTCACCACGAACATGATCGACTGTCGCCAACGTGCAGTCAGGTCTTCGGACTTTTCTTCCCGCATTTTTTAAGCCCTCGAATGCTTGCTGTTACTTCGGTTAGCATGCGAGTGTGTGGATTCAGAGACTCGAGCGGCAACGCACGGGAGATGTGACTTCGTGGACCAGATGTCGGTCTACAGCGCAATTAGCTTGATGGTCGAAATCTAGCGACTGGCGAGGAGAGGACTCACCGATGTAAAGGAGAATTGTGCCATCGTCTTTCTCATTAACGATGTGTGCCTCGAACACTTTGTCGTACAGCGTTTGCGGGGGTTTCACAGCGGACGGCATGGTGGTGGAATCAACCTTGTTTCCTTGATTATGATGCGGTTGTTAGAGTAGCAGTCCTTGTATGACAGTCGGCGTGTAATCCGAACGAGTAAATGGTTCCAAGGAGTCGATATCTTGCAGAGAGCAAAAGCGGAGGTGATATAGGAATTGCAAACCAAAGTTAAGATCCGAGATCGGAGAGGTGGGGGATTCGGCTATGGAGCATCATGCTACACACTCGGTGGCGTCAACCAATAAGAGAAGATGCAAAGGTCATAGTGCTGATCTATTAAATCCATGCATCCATCGGCTTGTCCGCGATCGTAAGATGGTTTGGATTTGTTAACAACCACCGTGATTGGCCATTGGGGAGTTCGTTGCGTCTACTGCGGTCTACAAAGGCACTTCATCATTGATAATGCTAAGTATAGTAAGTATTACTGTGTAATTGTAGTAATAGTGACTTACCGTACCTATACTGCGGGATCGGACTAGATTCGGGAGATGGCTACAGCCCAGACTAAATAGTAGACGACCGATACCGGTCTTATTCGCCCCCCTCGCGCTACGGTACGAGTATCAAAATACAGTTTATACCACTTCAATCTATCGCATTGCATAATCGATGGATTTGAGACCAATTCAGCTAATCCATTGAACCCAACAGTATGTTTCTCTCCGTAGAGAGCCCCGAAATGAGCGATGTCGGCCGCAACATCTATCCTCCCCGCAGAGTGCGGAGTGCGGAGTGCTCGACCTTCAAGATAGCTAGGTTACGCAATCAACGGAGTCCCTAAACCGGAACTGGAAGCTATGAAGGAGACTCCGGGATCAAATGGTGGAGGATACGACCTAAGCGGCATCTCAAGGGATCCAGTCCCCTGACTGCTGACATCACGGATTGACCAACCGCTCGATGCCCACTCTCTTTCTCCTTTCTTCGTTACGACTCATGCCTCCATGTGATCGTCGTGCGTTTAAGGCGCTGGTATCACCCATCTCCCCCTCCTTGGCTCTTTGGGGATGTCTATCATCCCCTAGGGCCGGCGAGATGTCTCCGGGTGACAGTATCAGAGGTGGGATGTCTATATTGGGTACGCGGGACCATGAAACCAGAATCGCCTCTGCGGAAGCGGAGTCAAGATGAACGGATGGAGGCCCAAGGCCCAGCCATCCACTTGTGTCCAGACATGTGTCGACTGTCAAAGCTGCAGACGACATGGCGGATGCCGATCGGCGGCGCGATTTAAATGCAGAACTCGTGTTATATATCCCCCCTGGCGCCGAAAGCGGCGGAGCAGTGGGAGGTACACCTGAAGGACCTGGGAGGCCTGATTCCTCTGCTGCTCTTCGGATCAATTCAGCGAGCGACTCGGCCATCTGATGGGTTGATGACATTTCATGCAGCATAGATGTTGCGAATGAGATTATCTCGTCTCTCTCTTCTGAATGGCGTTGAAATGGTAAATCATGCGACTGATGGGAGTTGGCCCAGTCGGACGCCTGGTATTCGAATGCTGCGAATGCACCCTCTGTGAGTATGCAGCACCAGTACGCTAGAATGACATGCATATGTCTGCTGCTGTAGAGATTCTGGAACAATTCCAGTGTTCGTCGACCATCCCGTGTCATAGATTTGATTTGGGCTACTATAGACCCGGATGTATCACGTCGGTGGAGGCCCTCGGAGTGTGAGAGGAGGGGTCTCAGGAGTAGTACGACCGACCCAACGTAAGAGACTCTGAACGCGAGCAGCTCGGGTAGCTGTTCCTGTGCCGCCAGCTGGGGTCGAGGAGCAGAATAAAGCTGCTCGATGTTCCCACGGGACTGGTCAAGCTTCTCTGCCAGGCGCATGAATTGGCGGGCTCGGGCTTCTGCACCAAGATTATGTTCGCAGGGAGCATACCAGTATTCCGAGATGGACCCTGAAGTTTCCTGGAGTTTTTGTAGCATCGACGTATCTTTCCCCAAGGCAGTTCGACCAATCCTGGCAGTATTGGAGTCGTAAGGAAAACGATAAGGCCACCAATAGTCAGGTTCATTCTCGATCCACCGCAGATCTTCCATTTCTGCAGTTGAATAACCAGAAGTCCAAGTGAACAGTGGCGGGGAATATGTAACGGCACCGAGCATCCTGGTCGTTGCGCCTATGCGAGAAGCTACGGCCCTCTGTTGTCTATCAAGGCGACTTGGACCGGCTGAAGAAGAGGTGCCGACGCGCAATTTTGCGACAAGCTCCATAGCACACTGAAGGAAGCTCTTTCCCCTCCGAAGGCTTGCATTGCTCTTTTCGTACAATGCAAGCAACACGTATGCCGTAGAGTGGGACAGCATAAGGGCAGCGCAGGCCTCGAAAGGTGCATCGAGTTCACGCAACGCATGCTCGGCGAAGTAGATGCCCACTCCGGCGAACTCGGCTGAGTCGGTGGCACTGCCTCTAGGTCTGGACCGGCTTCTTGCACCGCCTCGCACGTCTCTCTGGGGATCACTGAGCATAAGGCTGCCCAGTGCACAAGCTGCGGAAGTTAGTGCGGTCGAGCTGAACCTTTTGCCGTCGGGATGGCCCATCGAGTTCTTGTTTGATATTGGAAATGCCGAGTTAGGTACAATAGGACTGATGGGACCCCACCAGGTGCAATACAGCGAGAGTAAGTGGTCTATTAGTTCCACTGATGCTCCATTTCCACCTCTAGGCTGGTCGTCTATATTGAGGGTGAAGCTTGTGGTAGACGCCATACTCGGTAGTGACGGAACTGAGCGTTGCGATGCGAATGTTGGAAGGCTTGGCATGCCCGGAAAACTTAGAGTCGAAGAAGGCAACAAGGTAGTGCCTGTGGAGTTTGGATACGGAGTATACACCTGCGTCGGGCCGAGGTCAAGCATCTGAACAGACGAGGAGCGTTGCTGAGTACTATTCTGGGGTGGCAAAGTCGGTATAGGGGGGCTCGAAAAGGTTGGCCTGGTATCCTCTACGGAATCACTCTGATCCCTAGGTTCTGTAGGCGCCAGACCGAGGATCTGCTCCGTGCGGTGCACACAGTTAATCAGACTTGTCTGCGGTTGTCGATTCGAGGGCGCCTCTGCGGTTGCAAGTGAAGATGTACCTTGGTCTTTTGATCCTAGCTCATTTAAACGTGCCATGAGGTCTTGATTTTGAGCCTCCAACTGTCTGATCTTTCGAACCATTTCTTCTTTGACAGTTTTGACGTGGACTTCGTAATGGCAGGATATCTCAATTCTTCTCGAAGCGCACCGAGTGCAAGGATTTGGGTCATTTCCATCACACTTTTAGGGTGGTCAGCGAACTCCACACAAAGTGCCTGAAAAGGGCGGCAGGCGTTAAGAGAGCAAAAGTTGCAGGGAAATAAATGTAAGGGCCTCGAAAGGTCGCGTACCTTTGCTCTCGCTTTCTTGCAGTTTGTACAGGCGTTAGGGGAAACATGGGCTGGAGTCTTCCTCTTTCGGGACTTGCTCTCTGATCCGTCAGAGGCCATGATGCCGACCTTCCTGTTCACAGAGTTGACATATAGTGCAAGTTGATATGCGCTGAAATCAGCGGCGCCACACATTCCTTCTTTTATCTGTTGAGGAAGGCAAGAATCGATATTAGCTCTTTTGGAAAATAGCAAAGCGGGAAGAGACTTGTGGGATTAGATATTTGAATATGAAATCTGCTAAGTGTCATGCTCGATGTGAAAAGCATGGCAAACGATAAGCAAGGGGTATAGTTTCTTCGCAAAGGAGATTCGAGTCGATTTTGAGGTTTTAGCTGTTGAACAGAATATCTGTCTCGTGTGCCGGTATAAAGAGTATGTGTTGTGATCGCCAGTACACTACTTCGGGCCCTTTACATCATCAGCTGTTAAGACTAGAAAAGATAGAGTAGAACAAGGGAATAAAAATGTATTGTTCAAGGAAGGGTTTACTGTACGTTGGGCAAATGCTCCAAGTTCTCGACAGAACAATAGCAACCACTCGCCAAAGCTTAACGACAATGCTACTTACCGCGTCAGCGAGAAAGACGACCCACAGCTTCCCAGTAAGGATTGATCTTCCGCAAGACTCCCATCAGAATAGCTTTGGGTCACGTCCGATTTTCTATACTCCCCGGCAGGACAATGGATACTCATGCAACAGTGCATAGTACATGGGCAACTTAGGACAATGCCAGAGACAATGGGAAACGCTAAACAAAAATAAGCTTCTGTATCCGATTCATCGATCGCACGAGCGGAGAATACCCTTACCGTGTTAGCTTTCTGATCCATATTGATGTCGGTGAAGTCGTGATACGATGTCAACAAAGCGTTCGCATATGTTGGGAAGCTAAGATGGAAAGCTAGGGAAGGCAAAAAAGGCCGCGGTCTTGACGTAATTTGGATCCTCGGGACTTAAGGGAGTAGTAGGTTTTGGAGTCCTAATTGGAGGAAGATAGCCAAACAACGATGCATCTAGATCGGCGTGACCGGAGGCATGAGCGGTCAACACTCAATCAGGGAGTTCTTTGTCAGTTGCCAACAACCACGCGGAAGAGGGTTTCGTCTGGATCGGTGCTCGCTACGGCAAAGTCTTAGATGTTTAAGCGAACCACATACGACGTTGGAGATGATTGCCACGCCATTTTCCATAACAGAAACGCCTTGGACAGCAATTGGGGGTAGGCATAGTGCTCAGTGCCCAACTCGAGCCTAGACTCCAATTTCAAGGTCTGGAATGATAATCCCGAAGGCCCGAACAAATCATACAGCCCCTTTCCCATCGGCAGCCTGCTCATACAGGACGGCGGACATAAAGATCCAGGGCTTTCGATCAAACTTGCCATCGCGGCATGCGTCATTGTGGAGGGTGGACGATGCAGATCATGAACAGGGTGGAGGCGGGACAGGATGTGTCGTCCTGGGTAACTGGGTTCCTGGTGAAGCAGCAGCAGGTCCTTTGTCAAAATCGCATGTATCAGGAAACCGTGTACCTCGTCGGGCAAGGAAAATTCATGTCGTTCTCATGTGAATTTACTCTCCTTGGGACACGGTATATCGTGCAGTCGCTTCTTAAACGGCCATTGTGGTTGTTCTGTAGAGGAAAAAAGGTTCCACGACACATGAATTTGTCAATTTGAAGTTGGACTTTCCCAGTTGTCAGCAAGGATGCTCGGCCCCCGGGCTAACGATGAAAGGATAAGCATGCACGACGCGACGCGACTCCTGGCTGGTACCATTGACTGGCCTGCAGATCAACGGAAGTCTCTCCTATTCTATGCCGACCAATTATCAGCAGTGGAATTCACCAACCTAATGCCCCGATGCGAACGATAGGACAACCATTGTTGTTAATGTTATAGAGTAAAACCGCCCAAATGGTAGTTTCGAATACATCAGTCCTAGAAGATCCTATCCTTGTGGCGCCGAATGCGTCATGGTGGTATTATGGCTCCGCTACCTTGTCGGATTTGATAGAGAGGCATCAGGAAGAACTCGAAAATAAGAGGTGACTGGACACTTGGGCCCAGGACTTTAATCGCGATTATTGACGTATCATAATGAAATACTAATACCTGTAAAGAGCCTACCGGTAGGAATCTCCGGAGGCTGGTCCAACCTTTCCAGTTTCGACTATTAATTAATTAAGACCAGGGACAACAAAGGATGATCTCTAAAGTCTAGCCTGGTCCTTCAAGCTGACCGACCAGATCCTTGAGATAGGGCTGACGCCTCCGATCCGATCCAAAATGAAACAAAGCACTCATTATTATGTAGGTAAGTAGGCTAACTCACCAGCTCTTGATTCCTCGCTCCCAACTCAAAGTACTCACACCTCGAGCAACCTCCATCGGCAAGCGTACAGCATGCATGCATATGCATCCTGCACCGCTTCAAGGAAGCCAAACCGCTAGAGCTCAGCGGCACTGTGACTGGAACCGAGAAAGGCCATACGATGCGACGAATGTGCTCTGAGTTTTAAGTGGTAAGGTATCCATGCTTTTCACGAGCGGGAAGCCCTATATCCTCGGGGTGTCGTGCATCTTGCATACATTGAAGCCACCTTCTCCTATGCCGGAGGAACTTCCATGGGGTCCTACTCGCGGACTGCATGCGAGTTCATGATCACTACACCGGCAACGTGCAATAATGCAGCCCATCGGGGGCCTTGACATTGGACAAAGTCATTTTGCGGTCATTGTATGAAATATGGTATTACAAAGGTGTTGAGGAGTGTTTCACAGCAGTGGACTGATGCTGACGTGGTGTGCTAATAGTTGCATTGTTACTTCCGTACTCCATATGGAAATATTGGTTGAGCGGCGTATGACTTCGTTTGAATTCATAGATGGTTGCATTCTCGCTTCGGCGTGTGTCGCGCGTGTTGACGATTCTGAATGAATAAATGAACAGTATCGGGATATATAGTAAAGAGCTGGGTGTTTATGATTCCAAAATAGTCAAAAGAACTGTAGGTATCCGTGCTAAGGTACTTTACTTTACCTCACTGGAAACGACCGCCTGAGGAGAATGCGCCCTCTCCAGCTAGGACATCCAAGGTTTCTGCCTAGTACTAGTTAAGTTCATCAACAAGATCTCTGACGGAGTCATCATTGTACACAGATCAATGATATTTGGCGTCGAGTATAGGAATTAATAGGGAACGCAATGGAAGAAGGATAATGAGGTCATCGTGCAGTATATGGCTAAACCCAAAACGGTTAGACTATGTCATTATAATTCAGGTACTCTCAATTCAGGTACATATTATTATCTCCTGTGTACGTAGGCTGATAGCCAAAGCGACAAGTAATCATGGAGGAAATGGCTCCGAGACATATTCTTCGCTTCACCATGTCTTTTATACTTTCCCGGTACTTCCTCGCTCTCACGCACCGCTGATTCAATCGAAATGGTACATTGGTGACGAACATTGGTAACCTCCAAGCAGTCATGGCACAACCGTACGTGAACAATTCACAGTGGCAAGAAAGTACCAGATATGGATCTTCATCTGACATGATTTCGCCCATTAGGGATATCAAAGGATCGTACCTACACTGGGACTCGATCAGTCCGGAGGCGGAACGCCTGCATCAAGAGAGCATCGACGTGAAGCGTAATACTCCCCACTGCTGTCATAATGGCTAATCGGTGTCACAGTACCTTATCAGAATATGGCCGTCTATCCGAGATCGGAAGGCAGACTCTCAGACTTGGGGTGATGAGGTAGGCTATACCCCGAACGCACCCATCAGCAATCTAACCACCAAGCCAGGTGGAGTCTCAGCTTGTGAAATTTGACGCCCCCGCTCGCGAAGTGCATCTGTCATTAAAACAAGATGAAGTGCTCGCGAAAGTCGGCAACAGAGATGATGTTGGGTTATTCCAGCCCGAGTACGGGAGGTATATGGTTGAATCCACGCCAACGATACCCTATGGGAGCTCTCCTTCCGCACTCACTAAAGTGGAAAATAACCTCAGGACCCGTCGCAAGACGATTCAGTCGTATTTGGGTGATGACGAAGCGCTGCTGACACTGTCATTATTCCCCTTGTTGCATCTGAAAGAGCTGAGGAAAGCGATTCGGGCACCCCTGGATCGAAATGACAGTGAGGTTTACACTGAAGTCACTGCAAGTGGCAAATACGTTGCAGGACGCATAAATATCAAGGCCAGGCGCAACAAACCGGTCGATATAGAAGTACCTGTTTTCCAAGACACGCACACATCGAAAAGCACCAAAATCTTGCTCGAAGATACCATCTTCGGTGCCGGAGGCTGCGGTCTGCAGGCGACCTTCCAAACGGAGACTCTCGAAGACGCTCAATTTCTACACGATCAACTTGCCGTAATCGGACCAATCATGTTAGCGTTGACTGCATCGACGCCGATATACAAGGGAACTCTTGCCGACACGGACGCACGCTGGGATCAAGTCGCAGGAGCGGTCGACGACCGCCAGGTGCACGAAGCGTCAGGGCATGGCTACCATAAACTCAAGAGCCGCTGGTCACTCTGTCCGATGTATCTCGGTCCCTTGGACCCTTTGGACGGAATCGACCACTATCTGGACCCGCATACGGAACAACAGAACCGTCAGATCCGGGATCTGCTGGTCTCTGAGGGGATGGATCCGGTCATGGCCAGTTACTTCGCCACCCTCCATGCTCGAGACCCGCTTTATCTCCACAGTCAAGACCACACCGTCGACAGCGTCACGCCCGAGGACGTGCACCGCAGCATTTGCGCGAGCGTCTGGAGCCACGTGCGACTGAAGGTCCCAGAGCCGGAAGAAGAGCAAGGGTGGCGGGTCGAATTCCGCCCCATGGAAGTGCAACCATGTGATTTTGAGAATGCGGCCATGTTGGTCTTCTTGAGCTTGCTGAAGCAGGCCTTGGGGTGGGATCGCAGCAGCAGTTCGCGTCAGACGGCGCGGCAGTGGTACATCCCGCTGACCGCCGTGGAAGAAAACATGTCGCGAGCGCACTCGAACAACGCGGTCCTCACGGAGAAGTTCTGGTGGCCGACGAGAGGACCGAGTCCGGGGAAAATAGAGCTGACAGTGGACGAGATCATCAACGGGACGAGCGAGGGAAGCGATGGTCTGATCCCCCTTGTAGAATCCTACCTGAACCACGTTCGTCTGGATGATAGCATTCCCGAGGCGGACTCCAAGTCGCACATGGAGCAGGTTCAGAAGTACATCGACTTTGTACGACGGCGTGCCAGGGGCGAAGTGCCGACTCCGGCGCAGTGGATCCGGGGAATGGTGTCGAAGCACCGAGATTACAAGCAGGACTCGATGATTTCGCAAAGCGTGTGCTATGATCTTATGAGGGCATTCCAGGAGCGGGGGAGGGGGTAACGACTGTTGAATAGATATATATATCCTCGTACACATTCTTAATATTGGTATACACCGTTTCTTCCCTGGAGATAATTCAGTCTTGTAAGTCAAGGTTGGGCTCCCTCGTGAGCAGGAACATGAGGATGCGATGGAAGGTCTCGCAAACGAGAACCAAATAGCAATCAGTTGAGGATCCACTCCAGTGTTTGAATGCATCCATAAATATCGTGTTGAGAATCGTAGCTATTTGGACACTGGTTCAGTGTCCCAGGGATTGCTGTTGGAGGACGCCAGTCCATGCCAAAACATTAACGCCTCTTGTTATTGAGAATGGCGCGGATCTTCGGGAATTCCAGAGGAAGTTTGAGCCTCGCCATTCGATGCGTCGACGCGTCCGCTTTGCTTTTGATTCCCCATTTCTTGTACTCGTTTTCCGGCACGCTCTTGACCTTGCAACCGATTTCACGGAAGTATTGGGTCATGCTACGCGAAGCGTTAGTGATGAATCACGAGTTCCTGGAGCCGAACTTACTCTTGGTTCTCCAAATGCAGATCATTTCGAATATCAAATGTGTCCGTGTCGAATTCATCTATGATCAGAGTAAGGGCTGCTATATGGGTGATGAGCAGATCCAAGTGCCATCGAGAGACGTCCCTGCTGGAAAGTTAGCGTCTGTGAATGATGCAATTCCCACGGCAGACACGGGATAGGAACCCACCCTCGATCTTCGGAGAATTTCCTCTTCGACTTTTCAATCAGGTCCTCGCTACCATCGGACAGACTCGAAAGAAGGTCTTCTTTCTTCGGCCACCGCTTCATTCTCTTCCCCTTCTCCTGAATTTTCTGATAGACTTCGACCAGGAAAAGCAGATATCGCAGGCACTTCAATCGCTTGATATCTCCACCATCAACCAACTCCTTGAGTCGACGGGCCACGTATTGGCTGCCGAGCTGGACGTCGTTGCCCGCTTCGATTGCTTCGATCCACGGCTGCACAGTAACATAACTCATAAGCTCCTGGCCAATGACTGACTCAGGGGTGTAGACCATGTCGGCTGTTTCAGCGTTGAGATTGGCGTCAGGTCGTGGTTTGGCCGCATCAATTTCCAATTGCAATGTCTCTCGCGACGTTGCGGCGGCATCGGTTTTCGGCATGGCAGCGAGCATAGCCTTCACCAACGGATCGTCGCGATCGAGTTCGGCCTTCGGGCCACCGAGAACCGTGCCTTGCGCAAGCGCATTGGAGGCTTGCGCTTGAAGATGTTTCTTGGTTTTTACCGTTCCGAACTCCATTCCCAACTCTCGTCGCAACTCGAAAGCCTGGAAACCATTAAAAACAGGAAAAGGCCAGGGTCCAACGCGCCTCACCTTATGGAATGATTTCCCGTCAGCATTTTCTGACTCAGCTGGCGCCGGCTTTTCTCTCAAGGAGCCTCGCACAATGAGCTTCCGCGCCGGAACGATCTTCAAGGTGTTGTCGTTTGAATCATATACGCCGACGTAGTGGGTCAAATCTTTGCCTATGGTGTCGTCCACATCTGCCGTTGCCGTGTAATCAATCCGCGGGTGCTGCGAAGATTGTAGGAGAAGGTCATGTCCTCGAGATTCAGCGGGCTGTCCTCTTCGTCGTGATCGTCGTTCGCGCTTGTATGGCTGGAACGCAAGCTTGGGATTCAAGGCGATTCCGGCGGATTCGGCTGGTAATATGTAAGTACGAGTCCGGCCATGGGCACCAAAGTATATATCTCCGTACCGATAACGGGGCAAACAATGTCTGCATCTTCGTATTGAACCTTCAACTTCCCGCTTTCGCGTTTGTCCTGGAGCGACACTCTTTTACTCGGATTGCTTCCTGTGTCACTCGTCCTTTTGCGCTTCTTGGCCGGGGCTTGTGAGGATGAATTCATGATCAGTGTAAATACCAGCTTTCCCGCTCCAAGATATCTCAAATTGAGGTCTGCAGAATTCCGTGGCTCGCTGGATTCACGACTCTAAAGAGTTGTGCCAAATATTTTCAATTCGAGGAACGAAATCTTGGCGCTCAGGGTGCGGGAACGTGGCGGTGCATGTGGAATTGGATGTGAATTGTGGCGGTGCAATGACGTCGAACTAAGGAAGGCGCGACTGAACGTCTACTGTGGTGATCAGATCCAGTGGAACAACTTAAACTTGGATATTTACCAAGATTTCTTCCCATTTGCAGGTTCATGTCTCTCGTTTCTCGTTGAAATTGAAGCGTTGGAGATGGTTCCTACCGAGTGCCTTGTCTAGAGTCCCTTCTTTTCCGTCTTGCACTACTGTGTACTACGTTCGATTGTACAATCTCTATCCTTCTGGTTCACCAGATATAATTCTACGCATTCAGTCAGTACCTGGACCATGGCGAGCATCGTGAGCGGCCTACAAGGGCTACTTGGTGGCTTTCAAGAGAAAGCTATGGCGGTTGTAGACGCCCTACTGCCGCCCCAAAAGAGGACCGAACTTTTTGATAAGATCAAGTCGTTCACTGCCGAGAATCCCAAGATTGCGGTACGTATTCTTATTCATAGCCACCCGGCTCGCCATTGGTGCTGACAGTACTCTTAGGTATTCCTACTCGCGAACGTTGCTTTAAGCGGACCGCCTCTCTTCCTCTTCGCCGTCTTCACCCTCTCCGTCTTCGTATTTACCCTCATATTCGCCTTACTCGTAGCCGTTCTCGTCGCCCTTCTCTTCACGGCGTTCATGCTCGTAGTTGCCTTGGTATTTATCCTACCGACTGTGTTCATCACGACAATGGGAGCTTCTTTCCTGTTCCTATGGGGCTTGGGCGGCTACTATATCTTCAAGTGGTTCAACGAGGGGGCATCGCCAGCGCCATTAGGAGCGGCGCTCGGCGACAAGCTCAACACGCTGATGGGAGGGCGGCTGGATTTCCTCATGAAAAATGCCCGCGCCGCATCGAAGCCGAATGGGAAGACTGAGAACGGATCTGCGGACGAGAAATCAGGGCTCCTGAGCGATAATTCGAACAAGGCATCAAATGGTGGTGTTACCGACGCAGCGGATGTGAAAAAAGGACCCCCGAAACTCAACAAAACCGCAAACGTCGATGGGGTGTCGAAGAAGACTGCCGGAGCTACCGATACCGTGAAAGGGGTAACTGGTGGAGTGACGTCAGGGTGAACGTAATGTCTGCGTGTCCTGTCCGGATGATTTGGAGTTGCGTACAGGTTTCCTTATCAGACAACACGTACGAGACAAGGTGCGTGGTTTCGACTTGATTTCAGATGAATTGCGAGCGTGTTATTGTGCAACTACACGATGAAATTCACCGGCATGGAGTTTGGCGATCTCGGCATGATTGGCCATATGCGCATGCAACAATGTTGCTGTTATGCGTATCCCGATTCGTTTAAAAGCGGATTCTTGAATGACAATGCAATGTTGATAGCGACACTTGGTGCCATGGTCCAGAATCCGGTGCATGAGCCCATCCAGTCCACCCGCCTGGAACAAATAATGCCAGACAATACGGATCTACCCCCTATTCGCATCCGATGACTGAGTTGACGCTGTAAGTAAAGCCGATTTAACACTTCTGAACTGGAAGTCCTCCACACGAATTGCCCATCCACACATCACCCCGCACTCAGGGTCGCTGGATTCGGATAGACGCACACCTGCCGTCGAGGGTAGCACTGAGCCTCCGCAGTTGGTCCCAATGCAGGTCCCCGGTAAATCCCAGGTCTGAAGGGGTTTGGACGGGGGGTGGTCGGGAAGAAAGGCTACGGTACTAAACGGATGGAGTCGAAATACCGATGTAGATGAGCTAGATGCCTTCGAGCAGGCACTGACTATGTATACTTATTAGCTATAGTTATTAATACAACTCCTGCTTAGGCATGGACAAAGGAGGAGGGGATAGGGGAGAGGGAGAACTGAAGCTATGGTTGATGAGGGGACACTGACAGGCTTAGGAACAACCTTCACAGATCGCGTTGAGATTTTAAAGACACCAATGGATATTCATGATCGTGGATAGTATCCCGTGCTTCCTGCACAATTACAGGAATTTACCTGAAGGACATCTAGGTCTTTGAGTTGCACTATGGATAACGCTGCTGGGGTGTGATTGTTTATACTAATCGAAAGTTTCTATTATACCATAGTCAAAGACAATCAAAAACATTCTGGAAGATGGAAACGGAGATGGAGTTGAATGTAACATTGCCTAGGATCGGGAAGATATGCAAGCTCCCACCGCCTGGTGGTAAAAATCTAGGTGAGTGCTTGCAGCGACTGGAAATTCAGTCGCAGGTAGTAGGATAGACGCGACTCCCATTCTGATATCAAAGAACGAGCAAAAGCTTTCATTTATATATCTTCTAGCCACGTGCCCTCTCTGCTGTTGTGATAATTACCTGAGGAATAATAACAGAATTGAGGTGTGGCGGGCAGAGAACTGAGCGCTCGGGTCGATATTGGATATATCGTGAGTGTTCTCGCACTATCCTTTCTCTTCCACCAAAATCGATCACAACCCCTTCTTTGTTCTTTCATCACAACGTACAATGATCAAAGGATAACTGAAATGGGCTCGTTTATCAGTTCCCTTATGCCTTCTGGTAGCGAGACAACTTCTGTCCAACACGGGAAGATGGCGCGTTCCCCGACTGCGCTAGGTCCTGATGGCGGACTCCGCGATCTCGTCCATGAGCTCGCGAATCTTTCTGAGACCGCTTTCTGGGAGACTCTGAAGAAGGCTTATGCTCTTCGAAAGATGAGAAGCCAGGGCCGGGACAGTGATGACGAAGACATCGCTGATCGTCTCAAGCTAGAAGATGCATCTTTGCTCATTAACAAAGCAACCACCCCTATTGTCGCACGAACTCGACCCCGGAAAGCAAGTGAAGCAGGATCTGTCACTCCCTCTCGCTATGTATCTGCGGGGCTCAGGATGAGGGTCAGCCAGGCCGGGAGGTCTCTTTCGGAGTGCAAGGACAATCGAATTATCGCATCTTCTAACACAGTCGAGCGCGGGCACGATACCGAGAACCGAGCCATTCCACTCGCTCAGGACCCAGTCAAAGGCGATGACAAGAGCACTGCGAAGGAAATAGGTAAGAAAAATAATACTCATCGTCTTGTTAGGTCGTGCGCTTATATACCTTACAGCCCCGAAACAAGCCAAGACAGCCTCCACCGCAGACTGCGTTGAACAGCCAAGCTACTTCAAAGTTAACATCGATGAGACCAAGGATGTTCAGTTCGCAAAGGAAGCTATCAAGGAAGAAGTGAAGATCCCCGCGCCCAAGTCGGCCGCCGAGAATTCTGTCGACACCGTCAAGGAGGAAGTGAAGATCCCCGCACCGAAGTCCACCACCGGGTCTTCTCTTGACAAAAGCAGTGAAATGGGAGTCCGCAAGGGGTCTCTACCTCAGAAGAGTTCTCTCTCTGAACCGACTGGGATCGTCGAGCCATACGAACCAAGCACCCCTAACACCGCGACGCAACTGGTCAAGAAGAGTGAGTGGATTGCGCCGTACGCTTCACGGTCGCCCAGTGACTAATATTTGTTAGGGTCTGCGGAACTTACAACAGTCAAGACCGTGAAGCGATTCATCCAGTACTCGAGGACGGAGCTTCTTGTAATCGGTGCAGCCATGGTCCTCCGTGACCGTGAACGTGCAGCCAAGGCCATCATTTGTGCCCGTGAAGATGGACTTACAAAGAAGACTCGGGCTGCATCGTCGTCAGCAATTGAATTCGCCTCTAACCGAGAAAGCGCAGTGGTTCGGACTCACGACGTGCCGGCAAAACCTCTCGATACGCCTCTGCCGAACATTGTGACGTCAACACCTGTCATCCAGGAACGAAAGGAGAACAAGCCTGCCGACAAGCAGGAGGCGAAGGTTAGCAAGGAAACCATGCCCATCGACAAGGAGGTAAAGGCTGGCAAGGAGACCATGCCTATCGACAAGCAGGAGGTAGAGGTTCGCCATGAGACAATGCCTATCGACAAAGTGGAGATCCACAAGGAGACCGTGCCTATCGACAAGCAGGAGACGAAGGTTGGCAAGGAGATTATGCCTATCGACAAGCAAGAGGTGGAGGCTAGCAAGGAGAACATGCCTTTGTCCAAGCAAGAGCTAGAGGTTAGGAAGCCGGAAGATCAAGGTGCCACTAGTCCTGATCGTGGCCCTTTCAATCCTAAAGCTAAACCGTTCACCCCAGGTACTAGTAGGCAACCGTCCTCAGGCACCGCGCAGAAGACCATCTACTCTCCGGATGCATTCGACGCCTTCGAAAAGTACGTGACCCGCAACCACTCAGAGACCCCTGAGCCAGCGAGCAGCAAGTGATGCATCCAAGGAGACATGAGACCGGGGGACTTCTGGGGCTGTTGAAAAAAGGTGTTGGGTGAATAGAGAGGAATTATTGGTCTTTGCTAGACGACATGGTGAGAAATGACCTGTGAAGGTAAACGTTGACAAACAGGAGAACAAAACGCAGGTACTCTATACAACAAATTGATTGGTTCTTCTCAACGGCCGACATAGGACTGGCTGAAAATGATAAACGATGCTCTTACTTACCGTACGTACTCCCGGATGGGAACTTTCGAAATCGCATGCCGGCTTCGAGAAGTCACCTCATTTGTCGTCATAGGAACCGCCATCCCCGTCTCGTAACGAAAACGGAAAAAACATGTTGATTGGCAAACGATCAACGCTTTATCTGTCCTCACGACAGCAGAATTTCACCCCAGGAATTCGGCCCGTGTGTCGCCCTGTAAAAGCCTGAGTGTTTCGGAGCTCTTGAGAGTGAGGCAGTTTTATCAACGCCCGATTTTTTTTGACGTGTCGAATGAATAGTCGTCAACGGTTTCAAAATGTTGTGGAGAGTCAATCCAAAGAGCCCAATATATGAACCATTCTTCCCAATCAGAGATAAGCACGTCAGCCGATCAAGGATCAGAAGGGAGAATTCCTAGTCGGGTCAGCATTCTTGAGGGGTATCGTGTGCTTTCGTGGGCAAAAAGCACACGAGACAACGAGGCTAATGCATGATGCTGGCTGCGAGTTTTCACACCCGAGGCGAACTAATTATCACGCCTGGATACAAAGAACTGCGTACTCCTTAGAGTCGCACAGAATTCTTGCGAGATGCAAGGGAGGAAATGGTCTGCTTTCCATGCTCAGTACCAGTGTCGGTAGTGTCACCATATAATTTGATGCGTTGTGCCATGGATTTAGAAGCGGCTGCATTGGATGCATGGGAATTCTGCCAACGAAGTCCGAAAGCCCTCCCCTTGCTTGAGTAACAGACAGAAAGGCGAGGCGCCCAACCGCCCTGTGAGACTCGAGTGAAGTTACCGTAGCCTTGCCTGTCCTCTCCGTTGTACAACAGAACCTTACCTCTTGCATGTATTGCGGTCCCGATCGGACATACATAGAGAGCCTCATGCTCATCAAAACGGAATTTCCCCCCTTTGTGCCTAAAATCCCAAACTTCGATCGGTCGAGTTCGCCAAACTGATGGACTAGCCCCTCTTCGAGAAACTTGACGTGTTTTATTATTAAGTTATTATTACTCCGATAGGTGACGAGAAAGTCAGGGCTGGGTGGCGTTTCAGTTGGCCAATCGGAACTTAAGCAGACAACCGCTTGGCGAGAACTCAGCCTCAACATCCAACATATTCGCTTCAAGGGCTGCCTTCATTTTTGTTATGACCAACCTCTGACTGATGTGAATGGACTCATGAAGTCCTCTTCGAAGTTCACCAGTCTCTCCACAACTTTACACATTGATACCCAAACGCAACTCAGGAGGCACGCGGATCGTCTGGGCCATATATCGACGGAAGTCCGCATACACCCCACGCCACCGGCGGCAGGGTGGACTCCGAACAAATTTTCTGGGACCTAAGGATGCCCGCAGCTGCACTACACGTTACGCGTCCGATCCCAAGACGCACGCGGCCAGTTTAGGACGACGACCTTCCAGACGAATAGACGTCCGACAAACCGATCTCAATTCGAGATCCTCATCCATCAATAGGATCAGGCATATGGAGCGGAGACATAGACCTTGCTGCATGTCTCAAGACTTGACGGTGACGGTTATCTCCTTGAAACACTCAATACACAGCACCCGATCACGGGTCAAAGATGTGGGATAGGACGCTGAACTCATTCAACAAAGGTTACCATTGGTTAAAAAAAGAGGAGGAGGGTGCACGGGAGCAGAATGGGACGAGACATGGCTTGGGAGAGGATAGAGAGGCGAACGATGGGCAAGAGCTAGCGAGACGGAGAGCACAATCTAACGTCATCCCAATGCTTCCGAAAGCCTTCACCTTCAAGAGACAGAACTCGGAGATGCGAGACCGGTTGATGCCACACGAACCGTCCCCTGCAGAGCGAAGGGCACATTCGACAGACAGACGAGTTATACCAGGCCATAATCACGACATATCACCACCTCCCCTACCCCCTTACGCATCCGCTCCACACATCATACCGGCTCCAGAAACGACTTCACACTTGGTCCTTGACGACACCGAGGTGTCACCGAATGCGAACCAGACTGACAATCAGTATGCGGAGGACGACCAGTCTATATCATTAGGCTCTATACATCAAGCGTTGGAATCCGTAGCGGACAGTCTGGAAGACCCGGTTTTCCAAGCCGAGCTGGAGCTACGATGGATCTTGAACCTTAGCATGCATTTCCGTGACATGTCCGACCGCGAGAAGTTTTTCATCACATATGCGGCGGAGCCCAACCGCTGGCTACGGGTTACGGTCTCCCTGGACTACCGAAATCTCGATTCCTTACCCAACGATTCGCTTGAGGCGGACCTCAAATCATTGCATTACCAACGGGACAAGTCCGCCAGGATCTATGAAGCCGTAAGAGACAGCCTGAGTGATATCAAATGGTACGACACGGTGACGAATCTCAAGCTGCAAACCCAAGATGGCAGGCTCCATGTGCACGTCACAGAAGATGTCTACGAGAATATCCAGTATCCCGCAGCCTCGGTCATCGGGCATCTCGAATGTCCTCATATCCCCGAGAGTGATGTCGAGTTCGATAGCCATATTAGTGGGTTTGTGTATCGGGTTCGGGTTAACGGCTACCCATCTCACAATGATGCCTCCATTTCGCCGCCAGTGGACAACTTGTTCATTAAGAAAGAGATCCCAGGACCGGATGCGGTAGAAGAGTTCCTCTACGAGATCAACGCGCTGGCTTCGCTTAGGCATTCGCACCATGTCGTCCACTTCGACGGTATCATTGTTTCCCATGACTCTCAATCTCCTAATGCCGATTCCGCGCCAGCCGAGACTCCTAAAATCAAGGGACTTCTTCTTCGGTACGCTTCTAAGGGTGCTCTGATCGACATTCTCTATGACAACCGCATCATTCCTTCTCCGACCCAAGCCCACCATCCGTCTCCCACCTCGACCGGTGCGCTGGCGGATATGGATGGGACTTTGTTGCCTCTTGATCTTCGGCTCCGCTGGGCCTACCAAATTCTGGTTGGTTTACAGGACATTCACGCAGCCGGATTCGTTCAGGGAGATTTTACTTTGAGCAATATCGTACTCGATTCGGAGAACAATGCGCGGATCATCGACATCAATCGACGAGGATGCCCCGTAGGCTGGGAACCACCTGAGCTAGCTTCGATCATCAAGTCCGGTGGACGCGTCGCCATGTACATTGGCGTCAAGAGCGACTTGTTCCAGGCGGGAATGGTCCTCTGGGGTCTCGGTGAAGGCTGGGATGAGCCCGAGCGAGTAGAGCGCCCGCTCACTGACAGGTGGGGATGCAAGGGCGGTGATGCTCCTGGATGGTTCCGGGACCTCACAGCTATGTGTCTAAGCGAGAGACCGCATGATCGTCTCCCTGCAGAAGAGCTGGTTCGAAGATTTGAACAGCACTGGAGCCCACCTTCCGTCGTCGACCCCCAGGCCGGATCCGAGGCAGTGCTTCTTGGATCCAGATCCAAATCTCTCAGCATCGACGAGTGTGAGTGGCCTTCCGAAATGAAAAAGGAATCCCCGAGCAAAAGTCCTGCAAGAAGCCCGAGTCCCCATCGACCGGAGAAGGAGTACATTGACCCAAGTCTGGCGATTAGTCTAGATGACATTCGTGTATTCAACGAGGAGAAGGCGCGACGCGGAATCCCCTATGAACGCCTTCCTAGCGAGCCTGAGATTGAACCTGATCAACAATACCCGAATGCCCCAATGGATCCCCACGAAAGAAGCCGCTGGATTGAGAGTCCTCCCGATGTTCAGCCATGCCAGCCACATGGACTTCAAGCCGTCGGTTCAGACAACAAACCTAAATTGGATTTGGAGGGCATCCAAGACTTAACGTGTGGTTTGCATCTGCCGCACGTGGACGACCCTCTCCCCTCAGAATTTGACAATGATTTCCTGGCGCCTCATAGCGCCCCTCCACCCACTCTCACTACTGGAACTGGCACCGAGGCAGAAACGAGTCCTGAGCGGAGTCCTGAAGTCAACCATATAGACTATTCTCCGAACGATGGGGATAACGAAACGTTGAATCTTGACGATTCGATCATGACGCCTCGACGGGAGACCCGTGGGAAACGGAAGGAGGTCGGCAATGACCCCGACCGAGATCGAGACCGCGAGCACTCCGAACGCTGGGAAACGATCTATGTGGACGGAAACCAGCGATTGGTGTCACGCGGAAGTGGCATCATGGCCGCCAAAGAATCGCAGCACGACATCCCACTTGGTCTCGCTGGATCGCCGAGGAACCGCCCAGTCGCGATCGAGGAGCAGGATGAATCCGTGACTCCCCCGGGGCTTATTCCACCAGCCGATCTGTCGAACCACGGCTCGCGGCCAGGCAGTCACCCCAGCTCGCCTGGAAATCTGCGGCCATCTCTTCCAGAGCGGAGGGCGACGTTCCAGGAACGAATGGCACAGTTAAACCTGCGGGATGCCAAGGGGTTGGAGGGATGGGAGAATCAGATGATGAGGAGGGAGGATGTCGGTGGCATGAGCCTTTTTGGCCCACCACCTCATAAAGACTCCGGATTTGAGGACGACGGTGGTGGTGGTGGTGGTGGTGGTGGCGCTGTGGGAGGTGGACGTGGAGTGGTTTCCGGTGGTCTCGATGGCCGGTCAGAGCAACCAAATGGTGCGGAACTATCTGCATGAAGAGCCATGCGTTGTGCTCGATTGTAGCACTGGCATTTAAATGCGACGGAATTGATCTCGGGATATTATGGGGTTCGATCAAGCGAGGCGAGCGGCGCAGTTGTCAATATAGCATTCAGTTGGACAGCGCATTTGATGGAGATTGGCGCGATGCGTAATGGTCTGTCTGCTTTTCTGTAAAATAGAAGTAAATGGATTCAGGATCCAGCTTGACTACCGTACGATTCTCATGGCCCTATTGACAACTTAACCGCAGTGATTTACTCACTCATGTGGCGACAATCGCGCAGTTATCGGTCAGATACAATCCGTTATCCACCCCCTATCTGCCAAGACTTTCTCGCTTCGCCTGGCTTCATTTCTAACCCTGGCTGTATCCAGCATCCTCCATCTCTGCTCCTTGATCCTGTTCGTTGGATTCATGGCCTCAGCCATGATTTGATTCATTGTTTGTGTTAACAATTCCCAGCAAGAGCAGAAAATCCACGTGAGATAGGATTCCACATGTCCAAACGATGAAATGTTTGTTTTGCAATGGGGACGCGTCAAGCCATCATCACAGCACATTCACCTCGCTCTCTTCTTCTCATTGCCTCACAACAATATAGAACCTCTTTCAAGGGCATTATTCAATGGGATTGGGCAATGTAAACCATTGCTTTATTTACATGGAGGAAGTTGATGTGGTTTCTCCCCTCTACTCGTCCCGTGCTTGAACTTTGTCCTCCGACAGTGTACCAAACTATCATTCTGAGAATCCGAGTCTATAGTCCCCTACAGGATGTCGACACCCCATCCAAGCTCCCAGTCTGTGCCGTCTTCATTATCACGTAAGATGATCTTTCCAATCAGGAAGGGGCTTGAGCTAATTCGGACCAGATCGCCTTGCGAGTGTTTCGGTCCTGGAGGCGCTCCAAACGGAGTCCCTTGCCACTACACCTCTATCAACGCAGCTACGTAGCCTGGACATTCGTCTCCATGATGGGAAGGACCCTCAATATTCTAGCGATGTGAGGAGCGGAGGCTTGCCGCGCAGGCAGATAGCTGAGTTGTACGGACCTCCCGGCTCCGGAAAGACGGAGTTCTGGTAAGTATACTACGCAACACAGTTGACAGTTCCTGACCATTCGACAGTATTCAGCTCGCAGCAAACGCTGTCTGTAATGGAGGGAATGTTCTTTGGATTGGTGCGAGACTATATCCGAGTCCCTTTTGGCATGATATCTAACATTTACTGCTATCAGATTGCAGCACGAAGCTATTTCGTCCTCGTTTCGACCAAGTCCTAGCAGCTGTGAATCCAAAGGCTTCTACAAGTTTCCCAGGCCAGATGAAAGAGCGAGGGGCCGGACTTCGCCATCTAGCGACGCCGTCGCTTGCGCATCTTCTTAGCATTATCAAACGCCCTCCTTCACAATTGGGTCTGGAGAAGAAGAGTCTCATGATACTCGAGTCGCTATCTACAGTTGTGGACCTAGCATATCAGCGCCTCACTAAGGAGCAGGAGAAGGAAAAGAAGAAGGATGGGGCTTGGCGAGGAAGCCGGAAATACGCTGTGCTCAATGACGTCGCATCTTCACTCAGCAAAATCGCTGCTATTCATAATATTGCCATCGTCATCACAAATCAAACCATAACGCGTATTACGGGAGGTGGTCGAGCTCTGCTCTGTCCATCAATATCAGGACCGGAATGGGAGAACTGCATATCGACGAAGATGGTAGTGTTTAGAGACTGGGGTCGTAAAAGAGCCACCTCACAGGGCAATGGTGAAGATGAAAAAGTTGGCGGTGTGCATGTCATTGGACTTTTGAAAGCCCGTGGAGAGAGATTGGACCAAAACGGCCGTTTTGGTGCTGTAATTCCGTTCGTCATTCACGAGGTGGGCCCCCTCCCTTTGCTGCGAATCCGAAGATCAAAACTAAGTGTACAACAGCATGGAATTGAAGAAGTCGACTTACAACCATCTGCCATGCCACTGGCTATGCCGCTTTCGCCAACGAGGCCATCCACAAGAGTTCTGGCGGACGTGATACCCGACTCGGAGGATGAGCTTGGATCGGACGGAGATTTCGATTGGTTCGAAGAGGCGGACTTTGCAATGGTTACTGACGAACCGAGTGAGCAGGAGAAGGATGCTAGCCAGGAAGATCGCGGAGAGGGCAGGAAAGAACAAGCCGGCTTCGCAATGTTGGCTGGCGAACCAAGTGGGCAGGAGAAGGATGTCGGTCAGGGGGATAACGGAGAGGGTATGGAAGAAGAAGCGGTGACCTGAGTCGAGAGAGCAATCCAGCTGGAGCCAGTTGAAGGCGCGATACTGGCTGGGAATCTATGTATCCTTCAGCAGAGGCGCTGATCTAGATCATTAGTATCAATGGCCTAGGCCCAAAGCCTCACCCCACGACATCCATGATCGACAATGTCGTCCCGTCACAGTACTACTCTCATGCTGTCGTACGGAGGAGCATCCTTACCCGACACAACCCGTTGCGAAACGCCATCTCGCACAAACCAAGTATCCCATGCTGCAATGTCTGGATATTCATGACACTCTTCAAAATATGACAGGTCAACTGGAGCATGTCGTGATCTCCAGCCAAACGCCCCATACCCCACACCCCCGCGCTACCCCGCGCTTGCAGTCAAGATCCTCGTTCACCTCCGGAACTTCGTCCCAGAATTCCGTCCCTTGTGTCCATTATGAGTCCCAGAGAATTGGGAGCGGATTTGTGTCTATGTCTTCCTTGAAGCCTGCTAACTTGAGATTCGGTGTACTGTGAGTTGTCACAACGTTTGCACAACGAGGCGGGGAAGATTCGGGATTCCCCACGGATGAACCTTCTCATGGAGAGTAATGGAGTGCGCGAGCGGCCTCCGAAATCTTAGCGGAAAGGTTTGTTATTTGGGGGTATTAAGCCGAAGTTCGTTTGATGCGGTTGGAAGTTGTATATTTTCTCATGCACAATCCTCAATGTTGAGGACTCAACAGCCATTGTTGTACACCGATATTTGGAAGACCGGAAGTTATTGAAGCACAGTATGTAACAGGTATGTGGCTTCCCAGATTGCTTGAATCTACGACTGACCAGGTATTGCAGTCCTCAATGGTTCGATAAACGATTCATAGAAACATGCCTTGCGCAAACTACCGAGGATATATTCCACCGAGAGTGATATATCACCATTGTTCCCACTCCTCCCAGTCTACGATATTGGATTACGATTGCCTTGCACAAAAGTATGCAGGTTTACCGTAAATGAGACGAACCACTTCCGGCCAGGAGCCCTGTCCGCCTCGCTTTCGGCCCCAGAACCGAATAGATGAAGCGGGAGACCTTGGCAGCTGTCCCAGGAAACCAAAGCGTTGAGGATTCTCTTCCTTGCTCGATCGAAATCAGTACTAATTATACCGGTCATGAATTAAAGGTTCCTGGTCGTTCTTCCGCAACGAGATTACTCATACTCGATGCACCGAGGCCAATTCCAACCCGTCATGAATTGACTGGCCTGCGACACCATCAATGGATTACGTTAAATCACATCATCAGCTGGCTACAACGATGTTTCCTGCTTTGTCACTCCCCAAGCTAGGATCATGAGCCGGATAATGAGTGCGGACACTGTGAACGACTGACTGCGGAATACTTCGTAACAGAACTCATACACAAAAACCATGAGGCAAGTCCATAACCTCATTTATTTTTCAAGTTTCCAAGTATATTTGGTCAAAAACCAAACACTGCATAATTATATCTCAAATGGCTCATATCTGAGTTTCAAATGAGTCCTTCCATCCCAACAACCTCCTCTCACGTCGGTCCGAATCTGTTTTATAGGACCGCGCGAGATTATGAAATGATGATGCCAAAGCATCCACGTAACGCTTTAATCAACCGACCCCTGAGTCTTCTAGAAAGACCAAGGGTAACGAACGAGTCTGTCTCTCACCACCGCGGTCCTTGACCGAACCTCGACCAGGACCGTCCACTCCCATGTAAATACCCCGTCGACGACCGCACCCCAACATCCGAAGCCCCAGCCCTCCCCTCCGCAAGCACCCCGCGCATGAGCCCCAACAACCGGGGCCCCGGATCCGCGTCGTAGATTGCCCTATATTGATACTCATATACCTTATCGCACGCCCCGTCTGGGCCCACTCATACCACCGCAACGCCTCCCTTGAGTCCCTTCCCTCTCTGCCTATTCGTAACCGGCTCGACTGCTAAATTTGGGACCAGCGCAACAGATGCCCATTTTGGGCGTCTGAAGAAGACCCGCGTGTCTGGAATTGAGTGTAGCGTGACGAATCCATCGTGCCGTTGGATTTCCGCGGATGGGCTTCGATGGTGATGAAACCGAGGCTTCTTGTTTCAGAAAGACGACATACGGTCATTTTGCCACAGTCGGTAAGTTGCAGGTCCATAGGCCAAGAGCTGGTTGTCTGTCTAGCGGCATGTAGAGATGGTCTTTCGGCGTATCCGCTTTCTTGAGTAGACTACATGTGGCGATTCTAATAGGCAGCTATCGTACGGTAATGAGAAAGGTCGAGCGTTCCTGAAAAATCTCTTGCTGTTGTGGACAGATGTCTACGTTGGTGCGAAGCCATTCACCGAAATATGCCAAGTTCAAGACGAGACGATCCCTAAGCTCTCCATTCAGGCTCCGCTGGCCGTAGTGCATTCCATATCGACGATCATGCCGTGGCTCAATAACTGCAGTAGGATAGGTTACCAAACTGAAGTTCCCCAGATTGAAAATGAATGGAGGACTGGAAGAGATTGAAATCCTGCCTCAGGCATCAGTGCTACATGTCGATCATCAATTTGAGTCCTCCGCTGGCATGCGCGAAGGCATGTGATATCAATTCATCTTAACGACAATGTATGACGACAGCGGTCTCCTGTGCCAAGTGGAGAAGTGTTTACGGCTTGGATGGTTCGTATTCCTGTGCTCCGCGCGTCTCTGGGACGTGTCGAAGTGTCGGATATCAGGATACAGTATTAACCGCGACAATCAGGGGCTGGCACATTATACGAAGTAGTCCACTTCAGATGAAATTCAATTCTAGACAATGCCGTCATCTCTCAGTTCTCATGATCCATCTCAAAGCACGGGAACGTGAACGCGGCATCACCGGCGTACAGATCAAATATCGACGTTGCGTCGCTCAATCCTATTAGGCCTCGCCATGGTGGCCGAAAATCTATTCTGAACAAACACGTCGTATGCAAAGTACATGTATGAAGAAGAAAAAGGTAGAGAAATCCGAGACGCACAAAGCACCGGAAAAGTATGATTGGAGATGTGTATGTTGTTGTAGCCCGAAACATTCCCGCCGGAAAGCGGGAACCACGGAGTGATCATGTTGATGATTGATAAAGCGTGAGGGAAGAAGAGAAGATAAGAAAAACAAGATCATAGCCATCGCTGGGCTTCCAAAAAACAATATCGGTCTATTTCAAGGGGGTTGTGATGCGTTCCATTCATGTCCGTTCCGAACCCAGTCAACCTTTCGCTTCATGCCCATCGATAAGAAAAACCCATTCGAGAGAAAAAGGATAACAATGAAATCCTCCTTCTCCTACGTTTCGTTTACCCCCTACTGTCGTGATCTCACTCCCGGTCGCCTCCCAAAAACCCATTTCCTAACCCTTGGATGTTGGGTAATGGCAATTTCCTCTGACTGCCTTCCGATCGCCCGATGATCTCGCTGATCGACATGCCTATGGTGCCACTTTCCCGCGGCACGTATGGACTCGGACCCTCGGCGTTCGGCTCCAGCGGTGCTAGCGCAGGCGGCGGCATCATCGCGGGTTGTCCGAGGCTGTTGAATCCGGGGATCAAGTGGTCTCGATTGAACGCCGGCTGCGATGGAGACGTGCTGCTCGGATGGAGGTGCGAAGGATTAGACCCGGGAGGATGTTGGTGCTGGAGGGAGAGGTGGCGGATGGTCGGCAGTGTGAGCGCTTCGTTCGGAGGGAAGTTGTAGTGGTAGTTTGGACGCAGGCGGGGTGAGTGGGCGGGCGTGGCGAGCGGAGTGTGGTCGGGGGTCGGAGATGTCGAGGAGTGAGAGAAAGAGGGGGATGGAGGGGCGGTGGAGTAAGGAGACGACGGGCGAGATCGCTTGCTTCGGTGCGCATAGGGGTCGAGTGTGGGGAATGGATGGGGATCGTACTCATGCGAGTGCGACCGGGACATCGGCTGTGAGGATGGGGCGGTCGAAGGGTGTTGACTTGAGTGCGAGCTGTATGCGTACTGTGCAAGAGAGGTCGGACGAGAGGAAGAGGAGAGTGAGTAGAGGGAAGTCGAGCTGGATGGGCCGCTTGAGAGGAAGTTGTATGGACGGTTCGAGGCGCTTGACCCTGCATTGGTTCTTCCATCCCGTTCTACTTGCGAAGCAGCAGTTGCAAGCATGTTGATGTCGAGATGTCGTTGCATAGAATTCGGGCTGTTCCCTTGGCTCTGCGATCCGTGAGGCCGGTTGAGATGGGAGAAGCCAGCGGCATTGGATGCATACGATGCGAAGGAGTGCGGAGGAGAGACGTCGGGAGATGCGATGTTCGACGGTGGAGCGGAACGAGAGATCGTTTTCGGCGGAGGCGGCATCATGCGTGGGATTCCATTCGCATCCATCCCCGAGTTTTGAGCCGCGGCAGCGACAGCAGCAGCGGCGGCATGTTGTTTGTTCCCTCTCCGGGAGTTGGGGTTGTTGTGAATTCTCGAGTGACGAGTCAATTCGTCGGAGCGGGAAAAGCGTTTCAAGCAACCCGGATACTGGCATGCATGAGGTTTTTCGCCGGTATGTGTCCGGATATGACGAGTCTGGTGCTCCAGACGGTGAAAAGCCTTGTCACACAGGGGACATTTGTATGGTCGAGGTAAATCCTGTCTAGGTTCCTCCATGGTTTGGGACGATTTTGGTTGCAGCATTGAATATATCAGACTGATGTTCGATGCTGCCATAGGTTGTTGGATGGTGGAGGAGGATGTGGAGGATGGAGATGTAGATGTTGGGGAAGCACTCGGGGGAGAGGCGGAAATAATATCCAAAAAACCTCTCGGCACTGGAGCCGGCGATGATGATTCGCGGCCCACGGCTTGCTGGGGTTCGGAAGAGATGGCCGAATGTGGGTTGAGAAAGATTTCGAAAGGCGGCGGGCAAATTCGATGATGCTTGCATGTGAAAAATGAAAGCCACAGAAAGCGTGTTCCTGAGTTTTGACGCTGCCTGGGCCCTGTGGAGTGCGGACACTGGAGTGTGGTGGCGGAAATGATGTCGGAGCCGGATGTGGGAAAGGTCCGTGTAAACCACCAAGGCCAAGCTGTCCACTTTGTCCACTTTCCAGATGATAAGGCGGAAGGGAGTGGTACTCTGTGGTAGAGATATCGACGGCCTGCTGGGGAGAAACACTACAGTGGACACGATGGAAAATCCTTTTCTGGTTTCTGAACAGTGCGAGAACCGACAGGAGAGTGGAATGCGAAAATGGGAGAGGATTGAAAGGGATGTAACGAGAAGAGGGAAATGGAATCGGACGAAGACGGGGGGGTACAGCAATCAATAAGTAGGACAACGTCAAGGCCGGATGTATGCCGTTCCCCAGGCGCTCCCTCAATCCGATTGTCAGACGAGGCAACTTTGGCGTACGGAGATTCCGGTGTCAAGTCAATTACCTTCTGGGGCTCCAGAGTCTGGGCAGAGGGAGAGTGGGTGACAACCGACAACTGACAACTGACAAGCCGCCCACTGTACAGGGCAGGATCAGAGGGTGGGATTGGGGATTGCGGGTGTGCGGGAAAGCTGCTGCCCCCGGCCTGAGGTGGCTATCCGGAAAAAGAAACCCAGTAATATTAATGGTTTAATACATCATCAAACGATTCTGAGTCGCCGAGGGGGCGAGGCGTTTGGGGTGTGCTGGACGTGCTGGATCTGCTGGACTCCCCGCGAACCAGACCTGCGTGGGCAGCAATGAGACAGGGCCAGGGGGGAGACTGGCTGTGAGCCGCGGATCGTAGGCAGGGGACTCGGCTGAGGGGGGAAAGATGGGGTTTTCCGGGGATTTCTGTTGAATCCAACCAAGGGCATTTAGAAAGGCCGAAATCTTCGGTAAGGGGATCCTCAGTGCATATCGGTACGGAGCTGACCTGACTTCTTAAGATACATCCGGCTATTTGCTCCTAGCCTCCTACGCTTCCTCCTGGCAAAATGGAACGTGGGGAATGCTGAATGCATCGCTTAACCGCCCTGGCGATAGATACCGTTTGCCCCGAAAAGGCCAATTCTGAAGACACTGAACCTCAACTTCCTCAAGACCGCAAGGCTGACTGGACGAAAAGAAAAGGGATGAAACATTGCTCCTCACTGCTTTTTCCCTGTCGTGGAAGTCACTGGTCTGGGTTTTCCGTTCAATCTCCTGTCGTATCTGGTCGTATCGTATCTGGTCGTTCTCATTCGATTGCGGAACACTCCATGAAGCAGCGAAGAGTGTCAGACCAATCGTTCGTGCCATCCGGGAACTGCAGGGAGATCCTCTAGGCTGGAGGAGCGGGATCACCACATACTCGATGGGGGATGAGCTGCAAGGAATGAAGCAATCTAATTAATATTATTCTAAAAGCAGTACCGGATGCAAGGCATCGTATGTATTAAAGATATCATTTCGCTTCACCGTGATTCGACTGTATAGACCCCCCCCAACCATTCATTATTGCTACATATCACGGCTTGATTCTTGATGAAGGCAGCATCTGAAGCTCAACAATTCGGTATATTACAGCCAAGCCAAGACTCCTCCGTACTTCCGTCCCCCGTGCCTCACCAGTCTCCCACCGCAAGCGGCAAGCCACATCAGGCGCCATCAAATATCAACCCAAATGTACGGTGAGATCAGAGATGTGATCCGCCATCCCTGCATTGAGCGGGTTTGTAGAGGCTAGAGTGGAAGTGGATGGGGATGTGGGGGCGCCACGCCTCATCGCTCCGGTTTAATAAGGGGAACCCGAATTTTCACCCCGATTTTGCTCCGAAGGTGAAAATCCTCGTCTCTGCTGCGTCAGCATCGCATCCATGTGTCGCCTCACTGGAAGTCGGGTACAGGCCCTCCCGTCGTCGAGATACGTCGGTAGATCCCTAAGTTAGTCATATCGGTCGAGATATCCTGCAACGCACATCTGTCTGGTGCAGCTCAACGTACAGGTATCTGATATCATGCATCTATTTCCCGGTGATCGACACCTGTCCTTTAATGTCATCGATAAAGGATGTGTTCTCAGTTTGACAGATTGTCAACCGATTTTCGATCTGATCGCAAAAGCACGCCACATCGACAGGCTCCTCCTCGGCCTTGGTCTGGTTCCTCATCTTTGGTTCTGAAATCTGAATACATTGACGAGCCAATGCGCTGGATGAGTCTGTCCCACTTTTCCCAGCCAGCCGCAACAGCTGTCCATGAATCTGACACCGGGGAAAGCTCTTGGACCGTTGTCCGTTGGAAATGGAGACGGGAACTGGCGTTCGCCGATGGATTCTGTCGCCATAAGAGGGGCCAGGGTCGCCCGATATGAAGTGTGGTCGTGTGTATGGCGAGACGATGATGTGATTTTCGGGCTGAATTGGTGGTATTTTGCTGTTCCGCGGTTAGTGATGGCCGATGCGAGACTGAATCGGCCGACTGGGACAAGGGCTATTTGCTCACCCCATCATCCATGGCCTCGATTTTAATCCTTGCTGGTATTCTTTTGCTGTAGTAAATGATTCAACGGTTTCCATTTCGTGATCCAGCACGTTTCCGATCGCGATTCCTGATGTGAATTATCCACGCTGAACTCCATGATGGGATACCCCAAGCCGTTTGATACTGCCGAAGACATTCCCACAATCGATCCTCCTACATAATCGTCCTACACTGCAGGCTGACTCCCAGATTGTCAGCAGCAACCGCCGTCCAGGGGTGCATCCAACATCCGGACCAGTACTACCATTCGCAAGGCTGAGCGGCTGATGATGCAGCCAGTAGCAAGTCCGGGGCCCCAGAAGAATTCCGTTTTTCGCGCCAGCGCCCGCTACCTACCTTATCTAGATTCTAGACTAGAAATGCGGAGCGCGCAGCGGAAAAAAAGGGCCTGAACCGAAGAATACCGTTTCCCGTCCGATAAGCGCTTGGTTTGAATTAGCCGGAAACATCCAGGACGGGAATAACCAGCAGCCTAGGGATTATAGATAACGTTTGGTTGCATTTCTTGCCCTGTACGGAGTACGAGGACCTGGATAGCATGGTCAAATTGGGTGGCAAATTCGAACCGGTACGGCCAAATTCGGTTGCTCACTGGCATGGTTGCATTCTGGTTTCAAACAGATTGCTGACCTGGAGTCGACTGGCGATCATTTCGAGAACATCGCTGGGGAATTCCCCGCATTTGTGACTGCCTGAAAACGACATCAAACTGAAGTGCAGGTGAACCAGATGCTCATAGCCTCAAACTGGTTGGCAAAGATAAGACGTCCACTGTTGTCTCTCCACCTGATGGTTTATCATATGAAGACCCCACACGCCCTTACTTGATGTCCTTTCCATTGCCACTCTCTGTCCACACGTCAACAGGTTTGGTCCTCCAGCTGCGGCCTCCGAGCAATGGAGCATGCCAATGGCAGTTTCTATATCCAATCCGATTACAATACTGGGTTTTGCTTTCATCAAATCCACGACGGAGTGACTCCTGTCGCGAAGCTGACAGACGTCTCCACAATCCACCAGGGCTTCCTTTTGAAATTCGTCATAATAGACATGAAGGACGGCCGCTATTCGATAGACCAAAGAGATGTTGATATTTCAATGACCCAGGCACGGACGAATGGTCCCTAGTCAAATTCCTTGACTATTGTTGATATTAGATGTTGAAAGGGAGAACGGGTTCCCTGATGCGGAGCAATAGGATGTCGTGTACGGAGTAACAACCGTATTCAGCCGCTGAGTCTACCCGTCTGGTTCCTTCGCTGGGTATTACGAATCATCTCCTTAATTGTCATATCCGTTTTAGTTTATAATCTTCAAGTTGCACCTGTCTTCCAGATATGGTGAACCCCTTTCCCCGCACTTTTATCTTAAAGTTTATGTACACCCCGACTTCCCCGAGCCATTGGTCTTGCACGTGCATGTGCCTTGTCGTGATACCACAAAGTCAAATCCCACCTAATCCTCCCTATCCAACTTCCCTCCAATCTCCGATCGGTGCTCGACGCTCGTTCTGCGTACTGCCGATGAAGTCCGCTTAAAACAAAGTACCGATCATACCCAGCGAGGCTAACATTCCTTCGCTGTCTGACCCTTCGGACACAGTCCGATAGGTGGACAGTTACAAAGTTGAACAAGGCAAGACCTGACTGTATTCATGAATGGGGGGGGTGGCGTGGGGGGTCGTTACCCCAACAAATTCCCAACCCCAGCTCCAAATCTCTCCAGTAGTCACTGGTCACCACAGTCAGCCCAGATTCGGCTGGGCCGGTGGGGAAAGGCAGGCGACCCCCACAAATTCGGGGCAAGAGCGGGCCTTTCCCCGTGACTAGCAACTAAATCGGACTGGTTGGGCTGTCATGACTGCCTGGGGCATCAATCAGTTTTATACTTTTATCCACGTCGGTTGGCTTCAGTGTGTCCCATCACTCATTCCCATCAGGATCTTTCTCCTGCAGTGTCCAGTTCTCGTTGAGTCCGATATGTGTTCTTGTCGTCATTGTTACATTGGGCACAGCATGATGCGACAGAATTTCGTCGCGGAAACAACCGAATATCACCAAGCATCAGGAAATTAGCAAGCAATAATAGGCCAGGGGTGACTGTCTGCAACGAGCTAGTCTGGATATCTGCAACAAATCAGCAACTGGATTAGACATGATAGGAAGGTAACACGTCCAACTGGCGAGCATGCTTCCTTCTTACAACGACGATGATGACGCTATTTCCGTATGGCGGTAATTGATGGTGTTATACAATCTAACATTTTGGTTGAGGATCCAAACTCCCAATCCATTTGGCTTGCAGAAGTCTTGCATAAGGGCAAGAACCCACCCTCATCTCCGGATCCCGATATGAGGACATCCAAAACCTGATGTTGAGAATTGAGATGCAGCGCGGGAAAACACATGTCCGATCGCCCCGTTCCGCATCCCCTTTTAGTGTGGAACGCAGTGCAGGGAGGAGTCGTGGGGTATATAGTGCTGACGACTGGAAACGCAGTTGCATCGCGATATGGCATCAATGCAATGTGATCAGGTGCTAAACAGATCATTGGAACTATAATGACACCGCAGCTGCGGTTGAGAAATTGTGTCCAATATCTGCATCGAAAGGGATGGCCAGCTTGACCATTCCTTAGTCGCGCCGCTCCGTGATAGCTGTTCTGGGGCTTGGGGGTGTGCATAAACTGCATATTCCCGCTGACCGACACTTTGCTTCTCCAGATTATCGGGTTGCTAACATGGAGTGGCGCAGGGATTACGATTCGATTACGTCCTAATCTGGAGAAACCGTCAGGGCTGGGGACGGGATCGGATGGTTATCGAAATTGATCTATCCCGTCACAAGAACTGTGTTCGCGCTGCTCCTTTGCCGCTCTGAACTGGCGTCGCCGATATATCGAAAATAGGAGTGATAGGTCTCAAGAGTCAAGAGACTCTCTGCATGTGTAGTGAACGATCAACTTGTAGAATAAGACGGATAACTACCTATTGGCGAGACGGCTTGGAAAATCATTTCCCGGCTCTAAGCGTATGGCGATCATACAATTCTACTGTGCTATGCCTGTTTAGCAGGCAGCAGTCTAGGGCGCTCCAGAAATAATTCCCTATTGTTCTCGATCGGAAACTTGTATACGCTCTATTTGGATTTTGGATGATCCTCGACAAGATAACCTGGCATCACAGAGCGGCTAAAGAGTTAGGTTACGTCCTCTCTCTGGGGAAAGTGTGGGGTGAGCCAAGATTAAATGGGCTCATGTAGTAATGGCATCTTACCAGATCATCGATGCCTAATGTCTATTCTTACGGTACGCAGTATCTACAATCGTGCCGATATTCAACACGTATGAGCACTTTCCACTACCATTCTCTCTTCTCCATTTGCCTATGAGTCGCTCAACCTCAACTGGACGGCCAGCTGACATTGAAGCTAAGACCGTAGAGCTGAAGCATGTCCGTGGACTCCGTATCTGACTCGAACTGCCAAGCATTATGGCTGAATCGCGAGATACGAATTACGATTCAAGCCAGTAGTTATACGTTTTAAGTAGACAAGGGATCAAAGTTAACTTCGTCTGGGGCGGAGACTGGAAGTACCGGTAATTAGTGCACGCTTCGTAGGGGACGAAGTCAGAGAGACCATACTAACAGAATGGATTAATCGACGACCGACAATTCCAGCCTGTCGTCCGAGAATGGTCATGGGATACCAGCGAACCCGAATCGCTAGTTGAGGCTCTTTCATGAGTTGATCGGAGGCGATATATAGGCTCATCGCATTTCGTCTCACTTGCTTCATTACCCCCAATTTGGATATCATATTTCCGGCGATCATTTATAGTTCTCCAGAGTCAAGGCTAACATCAATAGTTCAGAAATCAGAATCAATGAATCATTCACTTAGATTCGAAACCGATGCCGATCTACCCCAGACGGTCTCCTCGCCCTCACGTCACACGACAATGAACAGGAGGACGTGTGAGATGAATAGAGGTACGTACCAGCCGAGGTCGGGAACTTTCGGGGCGGTGGTCCGTCGACATCAGTTCGACCCCCAATCCCCCATCCCCCCAATTCCCCCAACCATCGGCTACTCCACATTTTACGCCTCGGCGGCCGGCTCCCGCTGTCGCTTTAGCAAAAGATGGCTTAGCGCATCCCCCCATCCCTCATTTCCTCCAGCGTTCCAGAAGCCAGATCTCGTCGGGACGAGGCCTTTCCTTTGCACGAGCCTCGCAACCCATGATGATGATTGGCGTGAGTCTGGCACTTTGGAGGCCTTTGTCCCGGGTTGGGGTCTCCCGGAGCGGCGGGACTCACCCGCGGGAGAGAAGGGGGAGAGGATTGGTACCTTTCAAGTTTCATCTTTTTTCACTGGAGAGGTATCCGTACAACCGTACATCCATTCATGCAATATGTTTGCCCCTGAAGCCGGTATCCGGGCTTGGTCCAGATTCGACGATCGACAAGAGGCATAAGAGATCATAGACTGGATTTCTCATATGTTGAGATTTGCATTAATATTCGATTCGGCTGCCTGGCATCTCACTAGCTGCATATCGTAGGTCAGGACTCGGGACCGAAATCACATGTAGGTTTTCTTATCCATCATGGTTGATGCCTTCCACGGTCTCTACACTAAGCCATCCATATCAATTTGCATTATTATTGCATTCATCGCCTTATTATTTCAAGCACAAGGATACAAACACATGAAGTTCTTATCACCCGAAGCCACTGGCCAATGAAAAGAGCCGGAGCTTCCTGCGTTCCCGGCCAATTTTCCGTCCCAGATCATCTTAAACCCGTTCCGTATGGGGTGCCGACCCGGAAAACTTTTGCCCTAGGATCGGCCAACATGGCATTTTGTATCCATCAATTTTGGATCAGACCTCGGAAATTGTAGACGCATATTCGGATGTAAATCGGGTAGGTCCTATGCGGAAGAAAAAATACTGCATACCATTTTCGTGCCGATGGACACTGAGCACCGGTGGATACGGAAGACTGTTGCTTAATTTCCTCATATCCAGTGGCCAATACTGCCTGCAGCCTGCAATTATGGCGCTATCGCTACCACTGTGGACTATCGGTGAGATGACTCCATTTATTCGTCTCTATTCGAGTGCGGATGTCAGGTGGCCATCAGTGATCAGCCTGAAAATTCGATTTGCCTTTCGCCTTCCGCCCTCCTGCGTCGGTTCAATGGAGATGGAAATAAGGATTATTGCCGAAGGTGCCCCTGACAAGCGGTAAATTTTCATTTTGAGCCTCATTGTAATATCCCTGTTATTCCCGGCCGGCTCATCGATATTTCTTCTCTGCCGAGTAATCACGCAGCATCATTCAATGAGTACTACAGTGCTATCCCGAGAAACTCAATTTTCTATCCCGAATCTCCTTTGTTACATGTCTCGCATTGTTGAGTTGGATGCTCTCTGCATGTCGGGCTGTAAACCTCTCGAATTCATTTCTAATCCTCGGTTGACATCTGTTCCCAACAATCACCTCGAACCTTGTATTCATGCCGGTTCATGACGTCTCATGCTCTACTCCTCGGATGATGACTTTACATCCAATTGGAAGATCCGTCCTGGTAACGTGATAGGTCGCCGCGCCGGAGTCGAACCAAACCCAATTTCGCCGAGTTGCCGTGCCTCGGGATCTACCTCATATAAACTAGAGCGGCTGGCCAGGCTTCCAGAATCTCCTTGGAATCTTGGCCGGTATGTCATCACTAGTAGAGTAGTGGGGGACTTCTTCTAAGGCGGAAAAAGCTTTTAAAGGGCGTGTGAGGTTTTTGCGGTTTGCCAAGAATCTCAGGCATTCCCCTGGGAAGTTTGCGCCACGCTGGCAACCATTTAGGGCGTGGGGCCTTGATTTATATTTGATAGTGAGAAGATAGTGGTAGTAGAGGTTCGTCACCATAGATGAGATCCGGACTTATCCAAGCTACTACCTACCTATCCAGGACTACTGTGGCATTTCTTCATTCAAAGTTTCTCTCTCAACGCCCACCTGCGGAGTTTGTTGAGGCTTGGACTTAGAAAAAAAATTGCCAGCAGTCTTCAAAGAGTGGTACAATATCTGGGGAAGCGGCAACAAAGCCTTCCCCGCAATCTGCGTGCGACGGTTGAACGGCCCTTGGTAGCCGTCGGTCAGTGTGCCCAGTTTGTGCCATTCGATATCCAAGAGCATCGAGCACCGTACCTTTTCGTAGGACTCATGTTCGAAGAACTTTCCTAAAACATGATGTGACGTTGATTAATAGTTTCGTCTGTTGATTGTGAATAGGGGCAAATAGCAACTTGATGAAGATGACAAGAGATAAGCTGCTGATGCCTGATAAGGACGTTAAAGCCGCCATCAGATGTGGAGTTGGTGGAGCACCTAGCACAATAGTGACGAATATGAAATCCCAACGCCAACATCAAGGGGGTGCTTCAGCGCTTCTTTAACCAGAGTGCCAGACTCATTGGCATGATCCGGAAAAAAGGAGGAATGGTGATATCCAAGTTAGCGTCAACAACAATGCTGCCTATTAATGTTACCTTACCATGCATGCCTCAGGAGTCGGGAGATAATATTTTCATGCAAAAAGTTTAACTTAAGACATTAAAGCTCCCGTCACTGAGGCTCGGATCGAGATTGGGATGCCTTTTCGTTCGAGGAAGACGTCGGCAACCCTCGGCGCACTGGAACTCATTTTCCAATTCGCATCCCGACTATTACCGTCCTGAATGGAGTCAAGATTCTGGCTTGAAAAATAAAAGATACTACCACGACGGTATTCCGCAGAGTTGATGGAAGTTCCAGTGGAATACGCATTCCAGAGGCGCAGCTCTATACAGTGCACAGTGCGTACATAGGTAGTAGGTACGGAGGCTTGATCCGAACAAGTCAATCGTACTCCAACAAATCATGAGAGTAGACTTCGAATGGTAGACCGATAATTAAACGGGTGGCGCATCCCTTGGTATCGTATTGTTACTATTCAACTCTCATGAAAAGCAGTTGCGCATGTATCCGTGCCCCATGACCGCCCCAAAACCTCAATTTTACCATCATCTTCAAATCTATACCACCAAACATGTCTAAACGCGTCAAATATTCAGAGGAGACTATACAGAAAGCAGTCAAGGAGGCTACAGACCCCAAAAAAAGCAGGAAAACCTGTCAATATTTCAGCATTGGCGCGTGAGTTCCAAATCAGCCAGTTCGTCCTTCAAAGGCCGCCTTCAAGGAAAAACATCCTATACCAATCGTTCTCCGTTCGTACAAGCCACCAAACTCGATCAGCTACAAGAAAAGGCTCCCTTAACTTGGATCTACCAGCTTGATAAGTGGGAAGCGCCTCCTACACCTACAGAAATCGAAGCGTGCGCCAACTCTGTACATACTCCGAAGAAAACGCGCTCGATACAACCCAGCCACCACCCCACGTTAGCAAGAACTGGAAATACAACTTTATTAAGCGCCATACCCCTCCGCTTATCAACCAAAAACCAGTTAAAGACGACCGCCTACGTGCTGAGGATCTTGGACATATACAGCATTGGTTTCAACTCCTTCAGGAGCAGATTCAAGAGCATGGAATCGAGGCCCGGAATATATATAATTTCGACGAAAGTGGCTTCCGCCTTGGTGAAGGGAAGCGCCAAAAAGTAGTCAGTTTCCGACCGGGGGCAAAACGAGGCAGTCCTAGTACGGAGTCATGCGAATCGGTTACGGATATCGAGTGTATCGCTGCTGATGGTTTCGTTCTCCCGCTGTACTTTATCCTAAAGGGCGAGAACCATCTTGAACGATGGTACGAAAACCGGGTTCCAGACGATTACCGTATCAATATCTCTAAGTCTGGGTGGTCAAACGACCTTATTGCCTTCGATTGGATCCAGCATTTCCATCGGTATACAAGACACCGGGCTAAGAAGGGGAAACAACTGCTCTTGATGGATAACCACGCTTCGCATCTTACCCATGAGTTCATTCAATTCTGCGAAAAAGTTGATCTTATTCTTTTCCCATTTCCTCCGCATACGACCCATTTCCTTTAGCCGCTTGATGGGAAGCCGTTTCTTGCGTTAAAACACTACTTCCGGCAGACAAATACGCATATCTCACGGTGGGGATTCGACGCAGCGGACAAGGCCTCATTCCTTACGGAAATGCCCCGGATCCGCCAAAATGCCTTCAAATCGCGTACGATTCGACACGCTTTTAAAGAGAGGGGCCTTTGGCCATGCGATCCTGAGCAGATTTTGCCAACCCTTCGGCAACAGGTTGACCAAGAGGTAGAGGAGCTTCACATATTCAATGGCTCGCCCCCAACGTCAAGTATTACGGCGACACCGACCGTATCTCCACCAAATACTATTCGTACGGTACGCCGGAAACAACAGAAGATCATGAATACGCCTGAGGCCCTACTTTCTAGCCGGAAATACCAACGTCGCGTTCACCAAGCTACAAACTCATTGATCAAGGCGGTCGAAGAGATCGAGGCGTATAAGGAGTCCGTTTCAGCCACACAACGCCAACAAACCAAAAAGAGTCGCCGCCAGGTTAAAACAGGACTTAGCCAGACCGGTGCTTCGTACGTTAGTGAGGCGAAACGCCATATCGAGGCGCGTGGTCAGAAGGAGCGGGAGGCGGTAATTAGGAAGGCACAGCGGGACTGGCGGCGGCAAAAACAACAGGAAAATCAGCAGGAACCATCTCCTATACTCGATCAACCTACTAGTACGGAGGATCTCGGTTTTTATATCGATTTACATCCTGAGTTCTGATATATAGATGATAGTAGTGAAATTGGACTTTTGGCGTGAGTTTGACTTTAGCACCAACAACCGGAGGTTGTGGGGCGGTCATGGGGCACGGATATGTTCCAAGCGCTGCTCGCATTAACAACTACATTTGTTTGCACAAGGGATCTATTATGGCGAGCTAGACCCTATGTCAAGTGGACAGGCAACGGCCAGGCTGATTGAGGAGAGATAGTGCTCGTTAAACAGAAAAAGATCAAGTACATGAGTTGGAATCTGGTAGTGCGGCATTGATGTGTAAGGAATCAAGAATGAATCGACTTCTTCCAAGGTAACTTTGGGTTGCTGACTTGATCTGAGCAGTTCATCGACGGAGTATCTCCCTTGTTTGACCTTTCCCCAAAGCCTCTAAGACGACAGAGAGCCGTGACATCGACGTACGAGCGATAGCCGCATAAATTGAAACGCTGTGAACAATATGAACTCCAAAAACACTCGTTACGCGCGTAAGTTTCTCGTGACATGAACGACAATCTTACCCTTCGTTCGCTGGGTCTTGAGTCTTTCATATGCTTTGGGGGTATCCTCCCACTCGAATGTCTGATGAATGACAGGCTTTACTTTGCCTTCCGTGATCCATCTCCCGATCTCGGCCAGATGTTCGGGATTGCATTGGGTAAGGTAAGGGTGATAGGGCCTCTTCCCGCCTCCAAGAAAAGATGGCCTCAACAATCTCCCCGCTATGGACAGACCAAAGGAAAATATAGAACTGACACCAACTTGAAAGAAATGCCCATCTGGCTTCAAGAAATGGTGGCACTCCTCGTACAGATTTTCGGGCGTCCCAACATTGTCGACGACAACATCAAAGACTTCCCCTTTCTCCTTGAGAATTTGGATGATGCTACCCTTCGTGTAGTCCAAGACCTCGTCAGCCCCCAGCTCTTTGCAAAATTCGATGTTTGCGGTCGAGCAGGAAGTCGTCACATGCGCTCCGATAGCCTTTGCGATTTGGATACCCCAGGTTCCGCAACCTCCACTACCTCCATTCAAGAACACTCTGGCACCTTGCGTTTCCCTCGCATGAGGTACGATGGTTTGGTATGCCGTGAGACCTGCAGTTCCCACTGTCGCAGCATCGTCCGGATCCACCCCGTCTGGCAAGGTTGCGATGCCGTCCACATCAGCAACAACATACTGTCCCAGGGTTCCATATTGCCTGTTGTTCTTAAATCGTCCGAAGACGACTTGTCCCATACGGTGGGTATCGTTGGCCGTCGGGATCGCCACGATCTTACCGCAGAAATCGACGCCTGGGGATGCCGGGGTGCGGATCAGGAGGCTCGTAGGAAAGATCTCGGCGAGCTTGTAGTCGACGGGATTCAACGCCGCAGAAATGACTTCGACAATGACTTCATCCTTCGAAAGACCTTCCTTGCTTGGAGGAGTTGCGGTTTCAGTGAAATAGAGATTCTTCTCCATACCACCCGTGGTGGTCGTGAAGAGCCAGGCTTTCATGTGCTCATCCATTGTTGATGATGAATTTGAAGGTATTGATGTCCAAATAAAGGTTTCTGGCGGTGGATTTTCTAAACAGCAATTTTTAGAGAGCGAGTCTCGCTCAAGGGACTGCGCTTTCCTGACATTGCTAGAGATTGCGCCATGTGTCAAGCTCTTTGGGTTGCACCTATAATTAAAAAAGGGTTAACATTCAATCTGAATTATTGGTAATCAGGTGCAATTATTAATGCGCTGCGGCATATCCGTGCCCCATGACCGCCCCAAAACCTCAATTTGATTACCATCATCTATATATCAGAACTTGGGATGTAAATCGATATAAAAACCGAGATCCTCCGTACTAGTAGGTTGATCGAGTATAGGAGATGGTTCCTGCTGATTTTCCTGTTGTTTTTGCCG